AATATTTTCCCGAATGGTCGCATTTTCCATCCATGGGTTCTGCGCTACATAGGCTAGAGCCGTATCTATAATCCAGTTGTCACGGGTAGCTCGATCATCTTGTCGTTCTTCTAATGAAGGCGCGTGCGGGACGCCTATTGAGCCTTGTATAATGTCGCATTCACCTAAGATGGCGGCAAGGAGTAAACTCTTTCCAGACCCAGTCCTTCCTGCAATTACACTTAATTGCTTCGGTGGGAATTTCAGGTTCAAGTTCCGGAGAACAAAACTGTCGTCCATCTCCGGAAGCTTGGGAGTCCCTTCTTCTTGACTGGGCCATGCAATTGTAGCGCTTTCAAATGAAATCTCATCGACGTTGCTCGTATAGGGCACCTTTTCAGCGGACGCAAGATACTCGTCGATACGATCAGAGCTGACTTTAGCTTCCATACCTTTGGAAATAAGGTCCGGCAGGCCAGCCATTGCGGACTCGAGGTTTCCAAAAACCGAGAGAGCAGTAAATGCGATCGATGCAGGAAGGTCACCGTAAGTCAAAGCGTACACAGTCAAGGAGACTGCAGAAAGCATCAATGGTCCCAATATCCACACTGCCACCAAAGCAGTAGTATAGAGAGAAGTCTTCCACAGAAGATCGAGTTCAATCCGACGTTTTTCATTTATACGATCTTGCCACTGTTGCTCAAGAGCAGCGAACTTGATCTGTCGGATGCCTTGCAGTACCTCAGTCACAGTGGAGGTGCGTTTGTCGTTAGCCTTCATGAATTCCTGCTGCGCAGCAGAGTAACGCTTCGTCACGAACGTATTGAGAGGAGTTATCACTAGTGACACAGATAATCCAGCCAGAAGACTTTTCCATCCAAGTAAATGAGCCAAGAATCCAGCAGCTAGCAGAAGTCGCATAATGCACGAGGGAATAAGATAGTTAAATGTTGCAAAATCAGCAACTCGCTTCGAATCTACCGCTGCCAGGTTCATGATACTCTGGCGACCCTGTTCCTCTTGTGCCCCTTCATCGTCGGGTGTACTATCGTCCTTCACCGTTTTCATCCCCTTGACATCCTTACAGCGCATCGATTTGGCAAATATGATGGACGAAAGCCCCTCGTAGATCGGAACCCACAGCTGCGAGGATATTATCCACCACAACCACGACTCAATGCTGTATGACACGACAATCACCGTTCCCAAAGCTGCAACCCATAACCACGCGTGAAGGTTATTCCCAAGCCCCACCGACCGCTCCTCCAGTGCCTTTAGGATCCCATACATTGCTATCTGCGGTCCGAAGCTCAGCACACAAGTAACCAAGCTAAGGGCAGCCTGCCAGATTAGCGGTCGCAAATTCCCAAGCATGAGTGCCTTCCACAGTTTGCGGGACTGACGTGTCTGTTCAAGACGAGTGTATAGATTCTGAGCACGAACAGCAAACGGCAGTTTCGGTAGGTTGTCAATGTCGAGGCTATTGTTCTCCGCGGCATACTTCATGAGATCGTTGACCCAGCTGAAGGTAAAGCGACTGTATACACTATATGTGAGCTCTTGATCAACGATTTGTCCATCATGGTACACATTCGGCCGTCGGGGAATTAGGATCGAGCAAAGACCGCGTAGGAGCGCTGTAACAACTTGACTGATAAGAAGGCCTGTCTGCGAACGTCCCGGGTTGACATCGTAACTGGCTGACCAAAACAAGCTGAGTTCGATGCAGGGAACCGCGACCGTGAGTGCGCTCGTCCAGAACGAATAGATGCTAAGCCGATACCGCTCTACCGTCGAGGACTCTGTAAAGAAGGCAACCGATTGCAAGCAGAGCAAAGCCTTTGTTTATTCATATTAGGATATCATGCGAGCATCAGTGTAGCAGTAACACTTACCCAGCACCCCAAGAGTAGCCAAAAAGGGATAATGAAGTAGCTCTGACCAGTTTCCAGACAAACAATTGCCAGCGCGAGCGACAGTTCTAATCCGACCACAGATAATATCGCGATCGTCACTCTCTGCCAGGAATCGGCGAAGTTAAGCAATGATGACTCCGTAGCTTCTCCATCCTCATCTTGATATCCCGGTTTGGCGATTAGCAGCGTCTCCAGACGTATCGGCTGGGATCTTTTCGACAGCCGGTGAACAACATTGAGTGTTGCTGGTGCTGTATTCAAGGCTATCAGTAATAGCCCGAGAACACCAGTTGTAGCCGACCAAATCTCCGGATTGCCTGTCATTCCTTCTCGACCGTGGAAATCATCCGGATAGTTGTTGAGGAAGAAAGAAACCGGGTAGGAAGGGACAAATTCACAATTACGACGTAACTAATTCACGGGATTCCTATTATCTAACAAACGCGGTATCAAGGCATGGTGCGACTCTTCGCAGGGGCACCATACCACCTACCAACCCCTTGCTTACAGAACATCGCGCCTGCATGCCACCACCACTACCATGATAATTTGATTGGATATGGGTGCACGAATTTATAACGGCCTCTCATATGAGCCAATCAGATAGGTTTATTGGCCAGGTCTAGGAGCACCAGGACTAAGCGAACCGATGCGTCGGGAGAGTGCAGGTCGCGTCGGCAGGCGGCGATGGGGATAGGGTACAGGGCCAGTCATGTGAATACACCCTTGTCTCACTTCTGACTATTCATGCATGTGTTGCTTACTCGTACTAAGGCTTCAAAAGTCAGATGTCTTAAGAGAAACTCACAGTTATCCATACTAGTAACAAGCATTCAGTCAAGGTCACAGGCAGCTTCTAACTACATCAGGCGTCGTCAAATCTCTTAGGCTGTAATAAAATTGTAATTCGCTACATACTACCTTGTCAGAGTTACTGTTGATATCTATGATGATTTAATAGTTTCTTAGAAATACTAAACTTTCTTTATTTCCGAAGCCGCTGGCAGTTAGTCCAGTGCTTTCGTTGTCGGTTTAATGACGCCCACGTAGGGTACGGATTGATCGATCGTAAGTGCCATGACCTATTCGAGCTATAGATATTCTAACATGAACCGTTCTATGTTACACAAATGCAATCATCACATTAAACTTCGAACAGCAGACTTTTAAGGTAAACCTAAGACGTTTTCGGAACCATAACGTGTACGTCAAGTAGTCGATGGGAAGCAAGTTCCAAGGTTCTGGATCCCCTTTAGTGGTTCCGGCTAAACCCAGCAAATCGGCTTTCCGATACAAAATATCCGGTTCTGGGTCTTTAAACATAAATGTCCCCAGTATGAAGGGTTTGTAATTGTATAATACCAGCAGTGGTCATGATGAGGTTAGATGCTACACTGAGTGGCTTTGGGCGGTGTGAGAACATACAGTGAACGATTGAATGTAACAATAGGTCTGTGGAAGAGGCAAAGGGAGGTCCACTTGCAGAGTCGCTGATTTATCAGTGAAAAATAGAAATCTATCAAACCCAAGTGTACTGCTAACGTGATCCCCTGGGACAGCCTTCCACCAAGTCATACAGCGATACGGATGCCAGTCCCTTAGACCTGCAATAAAGATCACTAGAAGCCAGCGTAAGTGTCCCAACACTCCAAGTCTGCTGAGTGCGGAGTAAAAGTTAGGATAACGAACATCGCAAACAAAGCTAAGTCCCCTTTTCAGGATGACCTAACCAAAGGATGATGCTAGTCTATTTGCGTTATTAGCTCAAGGAGGTAATCTTAATATTTCCGCAACAGGCAACAGTTAGGATGCCTTTGTTGCGTATATACAATTAGAAGAACGGACTAGACGCTCCACACATGATCTCACTAGTATTACCAACTAGCTAATGGTGGTTCATACCAATGTCTAGGGCTTTTCCTACGCCTCCACTCTGTAGGACAATTGAGTCCACAGAACCCTCTACTATTGAATTTCCACCGTTTGTGTCTTGGGGATTCCTACGAAGGATAGTACAATCGGTATCGATCCATTGACGTAAAATGAGGCGGTATACGTCAAATTAAGTCAAAAGAGGATGAGAGTCGATGACGATCGACATGTTAAATGATGGATATTGACGTATAATGCACAACTCAAGTAGTTAGATTTAGGGAAACAATAACACTACTGAGATCTATTCTAGTAGACTCAAGAGTTATAAATATCCTGTCGAATACCGGTCACAATTCGAGCATCTCCCCTCACTAGCACCAGACATATTTGTTTCACCAAAGCTTGGTCATCTTGTATTACATTTTATTTTATAAAGAGCCACCTCGAGAAGCCGCAATGCCGAACAAAGACGACTATATCTTCAACGAACTCGTCGGGGGGAAGGGTGGTAGAGATTTCGGTGATGCGCTTTGGAGTGATAAGCCTGTGACCGAGCTTGAGGTCTGGTATGGCCATGCATGGAATGCGGATTTCACGGTATTGAAGGGATTGAGACTTCACTGGGGCGACAGGTCCAGCCCAATGGTTGGCAATACATCGCATGAGGCGTTGCACACTAGCTACTCCTTTGCCCCAAATGAAAGGGTCCACTGGATGGCGCTGAATGGAGCCCCGCCAGACTCTGAGGGTCGTTGCGACGCTCTCAAGTTCGAAGCAAATCATCCCTTTGCTGCAGGTGGCGCTGGCGGCTATGAACGCGATGAAAATCCCGGAAATCACTTTTTCCATGGTTTTGTCGGAAGGGCGGAAGGAGATATCGATGCCCTGGGAGCAGTTTTCCATAAGTAATCAGGGTGGGCTTCAAATCCACGTGTTCAGTGTTGTATGGCCGCTCATTAAGACAATTAGATGCCCACACAGACCTTTCGCGCATCTTTCAAGGTCAAGCTGAAGCACGGAGCGCAAGGGATCTACTGGCACAAAAGCGACCATTTTTAGTGGTCTCACGTACACTAATGTACCTTAGCAGTAATCAATTGCCTGTTAGTCTAAAAACTCAAACTATTGTATACTCACTGTAATATCAGCTTGTGATCGAATTAATCACAGATCGAAGTGACCATTACCTTCTCTTTTCGCGATCTCTGTCCTTCCTTAGGCTGGGCTATTCTAACAAGCAACATCGTATAAACTAGAATTTATAAATCTTGCACCCGGACTGTTCCGTTCACCCAAAGCGATTAATGTAGTCCCTAATTTGGGTTAGAGTGAATCTCGATCTTGTATCCCCTTTAGAATGTACACACCATCTAAAGAAAAACGGAGACATCCTAGCTTCTCCAAACCCTGGTGTGGATCAGCCACGAAGGCAGCCCAGGCCCGCTGCATCTTCATCTGTAGTTGCACTTGGTGGGCACTCTGAGAGATACTTGTTACGGCTTCATAGTTGCCAAAAATCATGTTCAACTCCACTCCGTGATAAGCACCACTCGTAGGGTATAGACGGGTGTTGTTCCAGTCGGCAAAGTAGCGGAAACGCCAGGTGCGAACACCCGCACGTATCCGAGCTATGACTGCGTCATCAGTAGGACATGTGAAGGTCTCTTTATTAAGGCTTTGCCATTCTGACTCAGGCAAGGTAGATCCTTTGGACCAGGCTGAGATCTTGTAGAAGCCGGCCTCATTATGGTTGTGCCTGGCGAGGTATGGCTGATGAAACGCGGTGAGTTTTACTCCAGGGGGTTTGTGTGTGCGGCAGCTTACAAGCTGTGCAAATCTTCCTGTCCTTGCAAGCAGTCCGTAGTCACTTAAAACCGTCATATTGTCAACAGTCGGCTGAAAGGCATGTTGCGTTCGGGCTGCACTACTGGCTACAGGAGGATTGACCTTGCCCGACGCAGTTAATAATGCTGCTGCACTTTGTCTCTTCATGCACCCAAACACGTCACCCAGTTTACACCCATCAAGGAGGTGATCTCCTCCCAGTACTGTGCTGACAATTCTGGGGAGTTAGCTGGGAAGCTATCAGCAGTTCCCGAATGCGAAATGAGGCCAGCCACAACAGAATCGTTACGATATAAATATGCACAATAATCGGCTGCGGTGCCACCGCAGGACTGTCCAGACATTACGATTCGATTGGGGTCACCGCCGAATGCCTGGATATTGCCTCGTACCCATTCTACTGCCTTTCGCTGGTCGAGGAGTCCGATATTGGACTGCTTCCCAGGAACACCGGGAAATCCAAAAATGTTCATTCGGTATGTCGCAGTGATCATAATGATGTCTTCAGCGGAGGCAAAATCCGCTCCATGGTAAAAAGGCGTATTGGTTGTTCCGGACGTCCATCCTGGAATATAGCCAGTCAAATACCTGAGCATGCATTCTAAACATACGTCCGCCATGGAAATGAACTAAAACAGGCTTTAAGGTGTCATTGTATGCCTGCTTGCTCCAAATGTTTAGAGTCAGGCAGTCCTCGCTATGGCTGTTATTGTTCGATGACGTAAAAGCGCTCACTATTTTGTCAAACGGTGGTATTTTATTAGGGTAATCAATCGTTGACCCTACAGCGTATGGACAGTCATTATACATTTTAGACAAATACTTCTCTGGTCTTTGCATTTGTAACTTACAATTCCTACAGGCATATTAGTCAATATATATGGAGAGTCAAGAGTGTACCACTGAAAACCAGAGACTAGATAGACTTAATGGCCGGCAACATACTTTTACCCGCCTTTATATGCTTGTGGTGGCTCAAAGCGTAATTCACCAACGGTGGTGCAGCATAAGGAATCCCCAGATACTCAATCACGTCGGGATATTTGTCCAAACTATGGCCGAATGTCTCACCGTTGGATGTTTGCGCAACCGATCCACCTACAGAGCTTGCAATTGCCGGGTTGCAGAGGCTAAACAGAAGGATGGGTACGAGAATGACCATCGCGATAATTTGCAAGCAAGCGCAACCATTGGTATCAAGAAGGCGGTTTGTGCTGGACTGGAGGTGTTAGGAGTAAGGAGCACGTCAACATATGTGTCCATCTCACCCCCTCGTATGACAGGGATTCGAACCCTATTTTCTTACCACCTTCGGCAAATCCCGGTCAAGCTAATATAAACCCCCAACTCTCGTATTTGATCGTCATCGTTGGCTATCCACGAACCTCGGTATATTTTGTCACCTTTGATAAAATAGTCAACAGTAAGTAAAACACAGTCCCATGCCAGTGCTGGCCAGCGTTAGTGCCGACAATTAATCTCCTAGACGAGGAATTAAAGCTACGATAGATAAGATACTAGCATTCGGCTTTATTATACCTTCGACCGTAGGTCAGATACTTCACGTTATAATTTGATGATGATGATGATAAAAACCTCTTTGTCCGTGTTCCCAGCGGCCTTGACCCATGTTTAAGCCATTCTAAGAACCCATGCCCCCAATACTGCATAGCAACTGAGCTAATCAATCAAATGCTGTTAAGGAGTTGCGCCAAAGCGCGAAAATCCACTTTTCATCTTAAGTTCACTGTGCACCGGCTTCGAAATGATTCAAGTAAGGAACGCGTTCTGTTCACGCGTTCTGGGTAACGGGAATGTGGTAACAGACACTCGCATCCCTTCCATGCAAGGTACCGCTCATGCTCAGACTCTGGAGCCTCAGTACGCCAACATGACTCGTACTCACACCTTTAGTAAACCCATGATTCATAGCTATTTCCTTTAATTCAGCCTGTATATGTCTTGATTATCTTACGCTCTTGTCTTGTTTGGTACGGACCTTGAGGAGTTTCCCTCTTTTTATCTGCGGGGCTACCACCCCCAAGCGAATAATGTCTCTTGTAGTTAGCTTACTGCTCTTTTTTTTAAAAAAAAAAAAAAAAAAAAAAGAATAGAGTAGTAAAAATAAGCGTAGAAGCTAGTTTACTTAGTATAGTCTCGTTCTTAAATCAAAGCGCAGGCAGGATTTGAAAGCTTTTGCGGTGGATGTGGATGAAGTGAACACTGTGAAGGGGAAATATATATTTAGGTATTCTGAACTACGTTGATCACTACCTACACACCGTACACTACGATATTATGATCAGATTTGCTGCCCCCGTTTAAACTACATGTCGAGAGTTTCGGCATAATAGAAACTTAAAGATTTACCTACTCAAGATCTTCTGTATGCCATCCAAACGGATTATGGATGGTATTGACAATATGGCCAACCCGTAATCTCATTACGCCATCATCAAGAAAAAGCCCCACTCGTTGTATTTATGGTTTCTTATTGGATGGCCGCTGCCAAGGCAGGTCAGCGGTATACGAACGAATACGACAGAACGGCACGCGCTTCGAGTTCTTCAGGTTCCTATGGTTATTTTCTCTCACGAACCATAGACTCACTGTATCAGCCATGAATCGCCCATTCGGCACATGTCTAATGATCTACGCAGTCGGGGTTAATCGACAGTGAATATACAGATTAATGTTTCAGCGCAAAGCCAGAATCAAGTGCCCGCGTCAACCGCGTCATTTTTAATTTCTCGGAAAATAGAAAGTGAGAAGCGACATGAAAACTTCAAAGTAACAAAGGCCGAGATGGTCATTGGGTAAGCTCCAGTGGGGAGATCATCGCGACGGCAAAAATATAGTACTAGGGTATCATTCCGTAGCCGAATGATCGGCATCCCGTCGATACCAAGATAAGGCAAGGATTTGGCTAATCTTAGGACCAGCTCGTAGGCCCACGAATAAAACTAGACTAATCACTATTAAGCTAAAGGTAACTTTGCGCCGATGACGCGGTACTGGGAAGCTCGCTTCTAAAGTCAGCCTTTCCTGAATGTGTGCCTCGGTTAGTGGGAGCTTTACCATGATATCTAAATTGATGGACTGAAGATCGCCTGCTATAGCTTAGTGTTGTCCACAAGGTGGCACCCCCACGCCATCTGGCTTGTTTAACTTGCTTCTACTTAACTGCTTATCTATCTTCGGCCGAGTGAAGGTGGGGTTTTACATGAGTAAAAAGAAAAAAAGACATCGCATTATTGTCTGTCTTAGTTGCTTCCGTTGTGCTTCCCCAATGCCTCGGCAGTACGCGTGGATTATATGATTGTGATAGCAATGAACCTCCCGTGAACAGGTTACTCGCTTGAGATGCGGCAGTTGTAGGCCCACTTGTGCTCTGAGTCTTATTGTATGTACAGTAACCTACTATCGAGTATGTCAAATCCGATTCACAAATTCATGCTTGACATGTCTTATCCGGGAAGGGCTTGGGAAGACAATAAACCTACATTGGCTAAGATTTGTTGGAGGAAAATAGTATATATTGAATGTTTAATGGTATTATAGGAACTTCATATAGACCAGTGTAGGGGCTTCTTGAGAGTACGTATTCAAACCCGGGGTTTTGGGTAATGAATACCCCGACGTAATACTCATAAAGAGTTCCAAGAGCGTCGTTACATTGTCATCCATTGCTTAGGTTAAGCGATGACCCAGCCCAAGTCGCTGAGCCTTCAGTAGCTGCAACGCTAAAGGCGCGTCGGGTGTTATGCAAGCCGGTGCATAAGACACCGTACGCGTGACCTTCAATTTTGCATTGAGCCTCTGCAACGCATGATTTCGGACCGAAGTTTTGTTTGCGACCAGACAACTTTGAGGTGAAATCCCGTTGTACCTTTGTAGTACGCCTAGAAGCCAAGAGCCACGGAAACATGTCCCGCCCCGGAAGGCATTCGGAGAATTTAACAACAGTCTCAACGGACGAAAGCTCCATCCACTGATCAGTCTACTCTGCATGTTCGCTGGCAGCAACGAGAACTTCAGTTCGCATACAAACCTTGATCCTACAGGGGTCCGACAGCAGGTCCACCAGAATGGAAACATTCGGTAAGAGGGACGGAAGCACTTATGACGGTGTTCCTACATCCTAGAGCTACTACAGCACTCGTTCCAGTTTCCTTTCGTGGAAGCACTCTGAGACGCGTAGATGACAACACCTGAAAGGACATAAGTAGTAACATGCATGGTCGTCTCTTTTTGAGAAAACTTGCCTGGAAAGGAAAATGCTACACATGCGGGTCCTTGCCAAGCATTGTTGAAGACTGGACCTTCATATTATCCACTTCAACTTTTTTTTTTTACGCGCCCCCCTCGTCAATGGCGACATAGTCTTTCAATTTATGCATGTCCAGAATAGATTAGCGTCTGCATAAATCTACTAGTTTCAAGTCCAACCCATGATTGCCACCGGCTCGGAGTCATCCCGGAGAGCTTCCGAATTTAATAAGCTTAATCAGAGACCTATTAGTGGCAGGCACAGTTGGGTCCGATCTCCATTTCTGTTCCCTGGTAAGCTCATCAGTTGTACGTATGTGATGTCTCACAAAGTGTGGATCAATTTCAGCAGTCTAACTCTACACAATACGGAGGGGCCATCACACCACAAATCCCTGTCAGGGGAATCTATATGTCATTTGTAATTGCTATGTGAGGTTCTATCTGCTTTATTCTTCAACTTCTTCATATTGAGGTGTCTCCTGCGGCATGTTACTTCAAGAAAAGTAGGAGCAGGTTCTTGGGCTTTTTTGTCTCAGGCGGTTGTTTGGCAATAAACATTACTTATGCAATCCATTCTGTGTGCTGTCAGTGTCAACTTTTCAGCATTAGTGTGCTAGGGAAACTCTATAGGGGGGTTCAAAGGAGCAGAAGGAAGGAGGGAAAAAAAAGTAACCCAGATAGAGAGGCTACGAGGGCTCACCTCTTAAATTTATGCCTCGGAGAAACGATGGAGAAACTACTGCGATTAAAGAATAATTAGCGAGCGGATCTTATTCCACATAAAACGAAGATCTACATGGCCAAGACGCCAATTTTCCGCCGCTGCCTGAAGTTTGCCTTGAGTGGGGAATGCTATCTCCAGATAAATCCAACGACAAGTATTGGGCAGATCATATTGGTCTTACATATATGAAGTCGAAGCTATCGAATCCTTCGTGTCATTATCCCGTTCTCCTGCCGTGTTGGCATGTACTGTATGTAATGCAAATGGCTACGGTCCGACGAAATAGACACACTGCTCGAAAATTTGAAGCTTATGACTGTTCTGTTCCTATTCGCTCTATTTTATTAAAGGGTGTGCCATATGATTTGGCACCGTTACGCATGTTGTTGCTGGATTAGTCTATGTGTATCCACCCTGCCTTATAAGTCTTCGATGTGGGACGGAAATGCAGAAGATGCTCCGAAAGAGTGGGTTCTAGCATCAACAGTCACAACGGCCCAGTACTAGCGTTGATCTGCTTCACACTTTTGTTGCGAGTGGCGAGTGGATGCAACTAATCTTAATCAATATAACCTTGAGTAAGGCGCTGCAGAAATCATGGCATAGTGCGATCTCATCTCGGCTGGACTACCTGGCTCCATTTTCAGCGATACATATGTACTAAGTTTACTAACCCACTGTGTCTGCACGGATTCTGTATCATCCCTAGTTATATACCAGGTGGGGGCTACCCGTACACAAGTCCGAAGTCGGGCTGCTCTTTCAATTTTTTGATCAATGCTTCTACCTCGACCTCTACCGCAACCCCGTCCCTGGCAACGGCAGAGGCAGACATTTTAAGAATGTCTGCCAGTGTGACTGATACCCATAATAAAGGTCCCCGGATTCTCGCAGTGGTATGGACATTATCAGCCCTTACGACAATTTTCGTCGCTGCACGCGTGTACATCCGTCAATGGTTGATCCGCAATGCAGGTGTTGATGATTATATCATTGTTGTGGCACTGGTATGCCCCCATGTTAACTTCGCATATCATAACCTCAAAGCTTACCGCGTACAGTGCCTAACATTGACATCTGTGGGAATGACAACTGCAAACGTGCATATGGGATACGGAAAGCACGCTTGGTTCCTGGAGGAGAGTACCGTGGAGACAATAAGCTTGGTCAATACAATCAGCTTTGCAATAGGCCTATGTTGCTTTACCGTTCCAAAGATCGCAGTAACAGTTCTTTTGACTCGGATCCTCAACCCAAGCCGTCTACAGCGTATATGGCTATGGACCATGATTGGAATCACGGCTTCGGTGTCATTCGCATGCATATTCTTGTTATTCATGCAATGCGATCCCCCTCAGGCCGCATGGCAGCGCCGCCTCGTCACCGAAGGCAAAGCAAACTGCAATGATGTACAAATATTGATCAAGTATGCCATTTTCAATGCTAGTAAGTTGTTCTTAGCACTTTTGTGAATATATAGCTGATTGTGGGCCAGCGCTATCTGCAAGTGTCGACCTGTACTTGGCCATATATCCCAGTACTGTCCTCATGAAACTTCGCATGCCCTTGCGGAAACGTCTAGCACTTTGTGCTACCTTGGGTATGGGGTCTATGTATGTTAACTGCCAACTACAATTTCTAGACGAAAGCTAATCAATGTCAGTGCCGCGGCAACGGCTATTGCAAAAAGCACGCAATTTCCAGACTTTGCTCATCAGGATGACTATACCTGTGAGAAATCCCAAAACGCCGTTTCCCCTGGTTTTTGCTAACAACACTAGATGAAACCGCGGATCTTGTCATGTGGACAAAGTAAGACATCCAGATCCTCTCTCAACACCCTCGTGCTAATGATTGTAGCGTTGAATCCAATGTTCTCATTCTAGCATCCTGTATTCCGACTCTCCAACCGATCCTCGAGCTGACGCTTAGGGGGCACATTCGCTCTAGAAGCCCTCGAGGGAAAGATGCCAACTATCTGCGCGATTCCATTTTCCAGAGGACCGGACATAAAACAAACCGACGGTCGGATCGTTCGATCACGCACGTCGAGAGCCAAGAGAGTATCCTTGGTGCTGAAGAACGGCAGAAAAACAGCCATCCCCTTGGTGCTATCGTGAGGACAGATGATGTTTCGGTGGAATTCAACACTAGATCTGCGCATAGTGTGCCAGAGAGACACATGACGTGGCAGATTGGTTAAATACTTGTGCTACGAGGTGTGTGACATTCTGTCGGGATATCGAGGAGGATCTTCTTACATTATTTGTTTCCATGTTTGATATATCGTTTGAGCCAGGCAGAGACATAGATTTCTCTTGTAGTATGATACTTATGACCTGCAAACCTACCTTGTTATCTTGCTTGATGTCGGCTATGGGGCTGGCGCAGTGCAAGATCCATGTCATGGAGTTATCTGTATTGTCAATCAAATACTCTCAGCCCCTGAGCGCATCGAGGTTCGAATAATTTCTTTAATATATTTCCACCGTTGGGCCTATCTATGTGGACCAGTTGTCTTACTTTGAGCCATATTTAGATCCATCCAAATGTCTGTGCAAAAGTACGGGATTTATCTCGGTATGTATTTGGTTGTAACTCGGAAGGATTTAACTTTTAGCTTCTGGACTAGCGCGATGCTTTGGGTAAGCTCGTGCAAATAAATGCCAATAACTAGAAGAGGGTCTCTAAACGATAGCAGGGGTTGATTCTCTCTACATTGCTCCCTGTATACTACACTTGGCAGACCACAGGCTCGAAACCTACATTACTAGGGTCAACCCCTCCACTGTATCTACAACTTGACCACCCAAATATAACAGTCCAACGATATTCAGCATCGGCTAATAGTTCATGCACTTTCACATTGCATTTTAAATCATGCAGCCTTTCCGGCCCTCGACTTCTGGGGTTATGCAAAACTACAACCAGAAGCACACCGATCCCCAAGTCACCGATTCGTCCATCATTTATCGTTTTAAAACCTCCTACACACAGAGAAAACATGACTCATCAATGACCATACCCGCTATCATATGATATCAGGACGATATTAGACCGTGCAAAGAGCATGGAATCTAGACCGCAAAGGTCCGAACTCTACTCGGTTTTCTGGTAATCCCGATGTGTTTGGCTTCGGCATCCGAATTCCACCCGGATCGGCAAGCCGGAAAGGCTGGAGCACATTCCGTGGGTCTCTTGGCACATGATTCCTTTTCTTTCGGACAGTCAGGATTGAAGTGCCTGCCAAACCTGACAGCTGCTTTGAAGTTTTGAAGCCACTCTTTTAGTACTCCAAGAAAAGTCGGCTTAGGCCACCGTGGCAGTGTCTAACCAGGACTAAGGAGTTGGAGATGCATATCCACACCGGGTGAAACCGGGATACCGAAAACACCCACACGTGACAAACTTCTCATCGCCTAAGGCACCAAAACAACACCGAATCGATAAGATAAGCTTCTCAGCATCGTCATCCCAAATCGCTAGGCATGGATATCGTGCTTTAAAGCTCCTTTCTCCTCTCCCTATCGACCCAACTTGAAGAACGACACTGGCAAGCAGCGAGGAACACATTCAGCAGAGCCCAACAAACCCCGATCCTATGATATCATAATACTCCAACAACTCAAACCCCCAAAAGTCACCCCACCACCAACCCAAACCCTTATTCACCGAAGAAGCCCCAAAGGGCAAAAGCAACACCTCCGCCCCACAGTCCCATATAAGAACTCCCAACTTAGCTCCATTACCCCTCCAAACCTCCACGTTTTACACCCGGAAACAAATCCCAAAACTGCCCAAAATGGTCTACACAATCGTTGTCCGTACGTATCTCCCGTTTCGCAAACCTCAATGGCGTTTCTCGGCAAAAAGCGCAATGATGCTAACTCGACCGGGTGATATTAGACATGCGCGCGAAGCCCGATGAGGAGTCTATCTCCAAGCTTCACGCGAAGCTCCTGGAGGCCTCGGCCGTTTACTCGAAGGATAAGGAGACGCTCTCCTGGTTCGTTATGCAGTCGGTCCATGATAAGCAGGATTTCTGTATCGTTGAGCGTTATCTCAATGAGGGATCTCAGAAGTATCACCTTGAGAACCCGTACTGGAAGACTTTTGATCCCTATGTTATTCCTCTGTTGGAGAAGGAGATGGATCTCAGGAGATTTGAGGAGTTGGTTCCTGAGGGCGAGGAGAAGAAGTAAATATGTTTGGGTTGGGTATTCGATGTATAATGTTTATGTGACGATGAAATACATTTGATGTCGTACATATCTATATTTGTTCCAATATAGTATGCTATGAGTAGGCTTCTACAGGGAAAGCTGACTGGCATTCTCGCAACTGTTGCTGTATCAAGTGTTTGTAGGTGCTAGATATACAAGCTCCTGGCTGCACTCTGTGATTATATATGACCACTCGGCAAACTGTTCACCTCTCCTCACACTTGCTCGACTTTTTAAATAAATGCCATTTGGACTTTGCTAATATTATAATCCCAGAAAAAGAAGCGTGCATCAGACCAGGTTGCAATAAAATAAACGGCATCTGAGCAATACTATGAGTTCTTCCGCTCAACAATGCTGACCAGGTTATCGCACCCTACCCTAATCTTGTGGCCCGTGCACTTCCCGATCTTTCCTCTAGTACTGGGCAGCATCTAAAGGGTAATGGGTCTTCCTAAACCCAGCGACGCAGGGGGCTACTAATACTGTCGGACCTTCTTTTCTTATTGAAGGTTGTAGTTTAAAGATTTACCCCGCATTATCTAGCCGAAATTCAATCGATGTTCCTGAGAAAATCATGCTTTGTATGACTAAGACATATAGCTTTTCGGCGACAAAAGCCCTATTTAGTGGATGATAGGAGAGTATTGCCGAAATCCGATACAAAGATCCCATTATCATTCGACGAGGCTGCCGATCATCTAGACTGCATGAAATGTACAGTCACCCTGTCACGTGAGTCTATTAGAAGCTCCTCTGAAACGCTGCCCATAACAGACGAAGATATCCGCAAGGTACAAACTACGTAAGCCGAGTTCTCGCGTTAAAATTCACCTTGTCGATAACTGGTATCAGGCTCTGGAGCATCATGGTGGACCAATCGCCCAAAGAGATGATCCTGTGCATCGAGGATATCAAATCCGCAGCGGGGCAGAAGTTACCCGCATCATCCAGAGGTGCGGGGTGATACCGACATGAGCATTCCACGCACAACTGCATTGTTACTGATTACGAGACGATCTAGATTTCTACAATGCAGGCTCGACGGACCAAGTCACCGTAACAGAGAATTCCACGGCCTACGGGAAGTACCGCCTGCGTCCGCGGGTATTGGTCGACGTCTCGAACACAGATACTAGCACCACCGTGTTCGGACAAAAGATCAACTTTCCGCTATGTGTAGCGCCGGCGGGCATCCAGGCAATGGCACACCCGGACGGCGAACTGGCAACAAGTCGCGCGTGTGCTAAACAACAGGTCCACATGGGGGTTTCGTCGTTCGCAAATTATTCTGTGGAGGAGATCCGGGCGGCTGGGCTCGACATTGGACCGATACAGCACACCATGCAGATATATACCATGCAAGATCGAGCACATCAGGAGCGCATTATCAGACGTGCCGAAGCGGCGGGTTGCGTCGCGATCTTCCTGACGGCGGACAGTCCGATTCTTGGCGTCCGGTACAGTGAGCATCGGAATGATTTCCGAGCTCCTGAAGGTCTAGACTTTCCCATGCTAGAGAAGACGTCGGAAATGATTCGAGCTGAGAGACACGAAGATGGGTTCGCGGGAGTCAATTCAAGCTCACATTCATGGGCCCGAGAAATCCCCTGGCTTAGAAGTGTGACAAAAATGCAGATCTGGATCAAGGGTGTGCTAACGGCGGAGGACGTGGAGCTTGCCATCCAGTACGGTTGTGAAGGAGTGGTCGTTAGTAACCATGGTGGCAGACAGCTTGATGGCACCGCGGCCACGATTGACGCCCTTCCGGAGTGTGCTAAAGCTGCGAAGGGTAAGATTCGAGTACACATCGATGGGGGTATCCGGAACGGAACGGACATTTTCAAAGCCCTGGCGCTTGGCGCGGAATGCTGCTGGATTGGGCGGCCGATCATCTGGGGTCTTGCAGTAAGTCAGGCACCTAACGTTGCTTTTCCTGCCTTCCAAGCAGTAATGTCGCTGACCACGCTCTCACGGTAGTATGACGGAGAGGCGGGGGCTAGTAAAGTGTTGGAAATTCTGTATACGGAGTTCAAACGCTGCATGCAGCTAACGGGCTGTCAAAGCATAGCCGATATTTCTCCAGCTTCTTTGGGCGTGGTCAGAAGCGATGGGCCATTAGCCCGGTTGTGACCTTTTCCGCCAATCCTCCTCTCGGTCATTCGGTTCCCTTCTAGTTACTCTGCAATTTTGGCACTGTTCCATTATTCTGTTGCATAGATACGGAGTCCTTGTGGCTATGTTGAAGATCGGTTAGGCATGCGGATAGATCGCAATTAAAAGGGGAACGAGATGAGTAGACGGATGCGGAAGTCCCGAGCTAGAAAGAGTGAAAAATAATTCAAAAGGGGAAAGCCGTCAAGGCACGTGCCCCGCTATTTGCTTTCTCCCTGTGGAGGCGATCCAATTCTTGAGCGGCGATTTCATTTCCTTTCGGAAGAGTCGATATTCTCTTTGATCACGAAAAGAAAAGCAAGACAAACAATGCACGCATGACGGTGGGATTTTTGTTCCTTTTGTAAACGAATACGACCATCAGCTGGTCGAATCTGAAATGCTGGTTTCAGGGCTATTTATAGCAGACTTATATGCAAGGAATCCAATGGGATTGATCCCCACCAGCTTAAGATTTAAAGACAGTTTGAGGTGGTACCTTTCGTTAGAAGGTAGCCTCTGTGCCCTGATTTTCCCCTGCACCCCTTATCGCCTGAAAGTTCCATCATTTGTGCACCGTGCCGTCCCAACGTAGGGTTCGTACCCTGGGAGAAATGATGCCCAGAAACTCAATCAAGGAAGAAATATCTTGTCCAGTCTTGGACGGGCAAGAGATTCGTCACAGACGGAGCAACAGTCCGGGGAAGACATACTTACGACGGAACCGAAGACGATCAAACCCAGGACAAGAGCGATCCGGGACTGACATGAACCCCTAATAGAGGACGAACAGGCAACCAGGAAAAAGGCCAAAGACTTGGCACGCGCTAAAGCCCCCGAAAAAGCAGGTAGCGCAGCGATCCCATTGGCCGAGGCGACTGTGGCGTGGATGTCTTGGCGGATACAGTCGTCTCTTGGCGTTTCACTGCCAAACTTCCCTCTTTCTGTTTTTCCCCCCGGCCCCTTTAAAATTCCACCACATAATAATAATGTCTTTCCCGTCGCCCCTGGGAAAAAATAAAGCTCCGTTATACCAGCCCTTCCCAGTGCTGGAGGTAACTAGGGCGACTAAACCAGAATTAAGCATAAATCAGTTCATAATACATACTTACAACCCCCAACCCCCCAATGCGCGGACTAAGTTGGCAGCAGCTCGGCGGAGCTGTCCTGCTCCTTCTTCAGGGGCAGGTGGCCCTCTCGGCGCTCAGCGTGCAGGTGAATAGTAAGGGTATGTTGATGTTTTCGATTTCCTAATTCGGTTATGTGGTTGAAAGAGTATGAGTTCTTAGGGCATAATTTCCAGATTCGTTGGCCAATGCGGGGAAGCAGATCGCCGATCCTATGATGGACTTCTATGCACAAAATCAGACGGAAGGCATTCCCGGCAAGCTCACCGATACCTGGTACATTGCTGGCGCCATGTTCATGACCTTGATTCAGTACTGGGCCACCTCTGGCGTCGATCAATACAACAAGGTTGTGTCACATGATCTTATGTTCCAGTCGGGTGAGAATTATGATTACTTTTCGGCGAACTATAGTCAATGGCTGGTAGGTTTGAGACGTGTCCCATGGATGGATGATATGGTTAATTCGTGACCAGGGAAATGATGATCAAATGTTCTGGGGTCTTGCCAGTATCACCGCGTCAGAGACCGGGTTCCCTGAAATCTCGGGTAAACCTACCTGGACTTCCCTGGCTCGTACCGTTTTCAATATGCAGGTCGAGCGGTGGGATGAGACCGCTTGCAATGGTGGTCTTCGTTGGCAGATCTGGCCCTACCAGGCGGGTTATACCATGAAGAACTCTATTTCTAATGGTGGCCTTTTCGAGTTGTCCGCTCGTCTAGCCCGGTTCACCAAGAATGAAACCTACGCAGAGTGGGCAGAGAAGATCTGGGATTGGTCAGCGAGCTCACCTCTCATCCGCACCGAGACCTGGTACGTGGCCGACTCGACACAAAATGAGAACAACTGCAAAGACTCTGGCAACAACCAATGGACGTATAACTACGGAACCTTCTTGTCCGGTGCCGCTTTCATGTACAACTATGTGGGTCATTGCATCCCAGTCTGTTTGTTCTCTGGCCAGTATACTGATCTGTAACTAGACCAATGGTGACGAGAAGTGGTTGAAGCGCGTCAATGGCTTGTTAGAAAGCACCTTTGGCACGTTCTTCCCGTCCAACTACGGCGGTAACGTGCTGTCTGAGGTGGCCTGTGAGCCCATCTTGAGCTGCGATCGTAACCAATTGGGTTTCAAGGGATATACGGCTATGTGGCTGGCCCATACCGCCATTCTAGTTCCCTCTACCGCGGACCGAATCACTCCCAAGCTGCAAGGCTCCGCAGAAGCTATCGCAAAGCAGTGCTCGGGTGAGTCCGAGAATCTCTGTGGTGTAACATGGGGCAAACCCACTTGGGATGGTGTAAAGGGCCTGGAAGTTCAGATGGCCGCACTAGCTGGACTTACTTCCAACCTGATGCTCTTGGAGAGCAAATCGCCACAGACCATCGACACAAATCCCGACGCAGCGGAACATCATATCGATAATAACGAGAATAGCAGCAAAGATCCCACCCGGTCGAAGCCGATTGAGACAGCGGATCGGGCCGGAGCCTGGATCTTGACGGTCATGATCGCCGCCGGTGCGATAGGCGCTGTCGGGTGGTTAATCAAGACGCAATAAGGGATTGGGTTTGGTTTTCATTTTCATGTACAGATCGTCGCGCTCCAACTGGTCAGGTGGGACATCTTTTATTCAGGAAATAGCTTTCATACATTATGTTTTACTACTATGCTTTCGTTTCATCATGACACCCAAGGAATACTTAATTTAGAACAGTCATCAATACCCCCGTGACAAATACTTCGGAATCCAAGAGAACATGTTAAACTAGATAGCCGAAAAGAAAAGCAAACTATACTAGCCCTATCTGCGATAGATCAATTGTATCCTACCCATCAAGTGCTTGCACAACCTGTGCCCAATCCCCAAACCCATAAGCACCCGGCACAAACGGCCCATCAAACAAACTCGCCAAAACCACACGATCCGTCTGCTCTCCTTCCCATGGCTCCCTCCCATGCTGTGCAATGATATTATCAAACACCAGCACATCCCCCTCCTGCCACCGATGCAGCACCCGAATCTCATCCGTAATCTTCGCTAAATGCGCCAGATACTTCTCCGGAATAGGCGTCCCATCACCATAAAGCTGATGCGTAACATTCTTCCTCTCATCATTTGCCTGCAACCTCTTATAATACGACGCTAGCCCAGTAAACAACGTAGGTAGGTTCGTCCCCGGCTGCGTCCGAATCACCGGCAGTCGATGCGTAAGCAGAACCCCAGTCTCGGTCCATTCCCATGTCGTATGGTTCCCACGACCATACCGAGCAATCTGTGCTTCGATCTTCCTCCGCTTCGTCTCTTCGTCGTCGTCATCTTGGATCGTCTTTCCAAATGCCTGGCGCAACGTTGAACCACCCTCATACTGCTTCTCAATATCGTAGGCAACCCTACTCAGAATCCCCTTCTCAGCAAGCTCATCAATAAACTCCGGTATCTCCGCCTGTGCACGGCGAAATAACTCTAATGACGACGAGATCGGTGTTTCCCCACCCTTAGCCGGTGCACGCTGATTATAAAAGAAGATATACTCCGGTGCATGCGGAACCTGCGGCGACTCGTTGTGGTTATAGATCTGCACTTCCTTTGGTGCCTCATTCGCGGGGGCTACATTTGGGGCGAGTAAGGGGCGATCGACGACTATGCCGATGATCTCGTGCGGTTTGTAGCCGAAAGCATGGGCGAATTTACTGAAGTCATCAGCGTTGCGGATTGGGAGATCTCGGAAGAGGAGAGTTCCGTGGCGGGCGAGGTATTTGGTGAAAGTTTGATCGCGGGATTGTAAGGTCTCGATTGTTGAGATGATGGAGTCAACGGTGAGGGAATTCTTGCTGTCTTCAGCTGGGCGTAGGGCTAGGGGGATCACGGTGTTGCTGGGGTGAGGTGGTCCGAGGATGCGTTGGTTGGTTGAGGGGAGAGTGAAGGGTTCGAATGTTATTGTTGGAGATGGGTTGTCGGTGAGGTGGAGGTTGGGAATATTCAGTTGCTCGATGGAGGCCGTCATTGTGTATCTATGTGGCTTGAAGAATATGGGTCTTGGTGAAGGAAAGATGTTGGACTACTGGGTATATATGGAACTGCCATCCATCCCCCGCATCTACTATCTTGGTGCGATAGGCTGATGATGTGCTCAGTGGCGCCAAGATTGCGCCAACCCCGCCATTTCGCAGCTGCTTGTGATAATCCTCGATAAAGACAAGGATTGCTGGACATGAGTGGCCCATTTAGATATTGCGTCACAAGTCTGGGTTCCGAATTATCGTTCCATCAGTTTTTTGAAGTGCCAATGGCCGAGGTTTATAGCTATCATGCAAGGCGGGAATGATCTTGCGTGCTTGGGGATATGATGAGTGATATTTATTTATAATAGCGAGGAATATTTCAGCATATGCCATTGAGACTGCAACCCTCCACGACGCCAGACATTGGAAAAAGCAAAGAGGAGGGGGGCAACCGCCGTTCTTCTGATCCAACATGACAGCAAGCGGCAAGCATGGAGAACAAATATCCCAAACAATACCAGACAATGACATGAACCAGCCCCACAAAAAGCGATCTTTTTTTCGTAGTACCCTATTCCAAATCCTCGTCGTTGGTCTTTGCGCCTTTTGTGCCCCAGGGATATGGAGCGCCATGAACGGGCTGGGCGTGGGTGGCTCACAAAGCCCTAACCTAGTGAACGCCGCAAACGCCCTGCTCTACGCCTTCATGACGGTAACCTGTTTCGCCGGCCCCTGGCTAACTAACATGATCGGGTTCCGCTACACATTGGCGATTGGCTCGATCGGCTACCCACTCTACGCAGCAGGTCTGTACCTGAACAACCGCACCGGCGCAACCTGGCTAGTCTATCTTGGCTCTATAACCTGCGGTCTCAGCGCCGGCTTCTTCTGGAGCGTCGAAGGAGCCATCGCAACTGGCTATCCAGAACAACACAAACGAGGTCGCTACATCGCCACGTGGTTCACATTCCGGAATTTCGGAAACATCATCGGCGGAGCCATATCCCTGGGAATCAACCACAATGTCAACCAACGGGGGCAAGTAGGTTACCAAACCTATCTCGGCTTCATCGCGATTCAATGCTTGGGTCTAGTTTTCGGTCTTCTCCTATCGAATCCAGAGAAAGTCCAACGCGACGATGGAACTCACATCGAGGCACCCAGGAGCATAGATTGGCGGACAGAACTCCGCGCCATGTGGCGTCTCGCCCGAAGCAAATCCATTCTCCTCCTCACTCCCCTGTTCTGGTACTTCGGCTGGATCCAAGCCTACCCGGGTACATACCTGGCAACCTACTTCACAGTTCGCTCCCGGGCCCTCGGCAGCTTCCTCTCGGCCGTAGTCGGTACACTAGCTACCTGGCTGGGTGGTACGCTCGTCGACCTGCCCTGGCTTCCAAACAGGAAGGCAAGAGCGATAACCACATACGTCCTCATTGCAGCTATGAACACCACAACTTGGATATGGGCCGTGATTATCCAAAACGAATACCGACATACAAAGCCAGTTTTGGATTGGGCGGATCAAAGTGCGTTTGGGCGCGGCTTTGGGGTCTACATGTTCGAGCGGATTAGTTTGGGCATGGTGGAGAATTATATCTACTGGTGTATTGGGAATCTGTCGGATTCACCGGGGGATCAGATTAGATACAGCTCTTTGTTAAGGGGGATTGAGACTGCTGGTGTGGCGGTTGGGTTTGGGGTGCAGGCTGTGCCGACGGCTTTGATTGTTACTGCGGCTATTAATCTGGGGTTGTGGTGTTTTGCATTGCCATTTAGTTATTATGCTACCTTGGGAGTTGTGAGGAAGTTCACGAAGATGGGGTTAGTAGGGCAAGAAGAGCGACCTGTATCTACGTCTGGGGCAAGAAATTGACGCAATAGAATCCGGCGTATACGAGCGAAAGATAGACTGGGGTGTAAGTCCTGTCAATTACATTATCTACTGCGTCCAATTGGTATTAATCTCACTCAAAATCACATCAGCGGCTTCTTCCGCCACTAAATAGATCGACACAACAGGAAATGTGCCAGGTATACGAGGAAAAGCAGAACCGTCAACGACGCCCAACCGGTCAACCCCACGAACCCGGAACTTGGAGTCAAGAACTGCCATTGGGTCATCGACTGTACCGATCGGACAAGTGCACATAGCATGATCCCCCCATGCGGTATCTTTGATGTAAGTCTCGATGTCTTCTTGAGTGGTAACGTTCGCTCCAGGTAGAACCTCAGAGACAGGAAGAGGTTGACGCTTGAGAGCCCTACGACCAAGCTCGAGTGCTTCATACATGGCCTGCAGGTCTGCTCTGTAGTCACCAACGCCGGTGTCAAAGTAATTAAACACAATTTCCGGCGGATCGAGCGGGTCGGCAGACCGAAGTGTCACTGTGCCAGAGTTATTTCGCGGATGAGCTTTAAGCGCCGACCAGGTGAACCAGTCGTGCCTGGCAGTGGTGTTGTAAGCGTGGCCAGGGTAATAGCCTCGAAAGTTTCCGATCACTCCGAACATATTGATCTCGATTTCATTGTTAGTGGTGGCTGTACTCTTGTAGAACATCGCTGCGGCACCACCTGAAGCGCTGTAGATGCCGCGGTCGCCGAGGACTGATTTCGTCCAGCGCGCGAGGCATGGGTCGGGCTGGCCGTGGAAACCGAACGTACAACCTTTGAGAGAGGAGAGATCCTTCGGGGTGTGAATTTGTACCATTGCTTCGTATTGATCTGAAGATTCTTTCCCGCGCCGGGTAGGTCGACTACGGCAATACCGTGTTTCTTGAGCTCGCCTGCTGGACCTATCCCGCTTATTTTAGTAATTGTGGCGAATTGTAAACGCCCCCAGCGACGATGACCTCGCGCGACGCAATCACACTGCCAGGGGTGCCGGTTTTACCTTGCCCAGACAAGGGGCTAGCTTTGTATAAATACTCGCCGTCGAGGAACTCAACTCCTGTTGCGCGAGGTGGATTAGCAGAAGTATCGAATATAACCTTGGTAACAAAGCAATTGATCCGAACGTCAAGAAAATATTTCTTGCTACCATCCTCATTGACTGCATCGCGAACAGAGACTATAAACTCCCGTGCCCCCGTTGCGCTTAGCATCATTAACCGAAAAAGGCAAGGTATAGTAGGCCTGCTAGAGCCAGCCGCGCTGCTAGGGGGCCACCGCCGGCGCCGGATCCGACGACGATGTATTCGTATCCTTTGAGATTGATGGCATTTGTCAGAATAGCGAAGAGGGTTAAAATGCCAAACAGTCAATTGATGAGCATGGTGCGGTAGTTGAATTGTCTCTTATAGATTATCTTGTGTACTAGTAACGTGATGCTCTGTGCATGTGCTGCCCGTCTGAAAAGTAGTCGAACGCCCCGAAGTACAGAAGGAGGTTCCAACAAAGTGTTTCCCTTTAGTCCAGGTTGAATACAAGCAAGGTTCCGTGAAGCAACTAGTGGGACTAAGAACTGAAGGCTCACATGCACCTTGTCAGCTGCAACTATTTCGTATTCCTCTCCCTGTCGTGTAACATTTTATGCTAAAAGGCTTCCGATTGATAGTAACCGCTTACTTCTTCGCCACTATACTCTCCTATTAAAGCTTTTCTCTGGCTACTATCATTCTATGATCAAATGTGCCCGTCCAGTAAAGCCTCATTGCATTGGCAATATGTACCCAACCAGACAATATTATCTCAACAGGAGTAACGTCGTAATCATATTCAGGCATGAGTCCAAACGAATCAAAATAGAAGACAACTATACTTCAAATATGGATGAATAGTTCTCAACACAATGAATCGCACCTTGGCTGATTCTTAGGGCTTCTCAAACCATGCCATATAAGGCATAGACCCAACACAACTTTGAACTCCGAAACTACTCCGTAGTCCGATACATACGGAGTTCTCACCCGTCACAAAATCTCATATATATATACTAGTCCCCTCATAGCATTTGACACTCTACTTACTCTATAACCCGTTCTCAATTCACAGATCAAAAAAAAAAAAAAAAAGGCAACAATGTCAAAAACACCCACACTCCCACCCGGCTACACCCTCCGCCAAGGCTACCCCTCAGTACGAGATTACATCCACCTCCGTTCCGCTTCAGGTTTATCCCCGCATAGCGCCGCCCAAGCAGAGGCTGCAATGCGCGGCAGCTGGTATGGATGCTACGTTACATACAATGAGAACCCAGAGCAGAATGACAAGGATACCAATATATCCCACACAAACAATACAACAAGCCATGAATTGATAGTCGGCATGGGTCGTGTCATCGGTGACGGCGGCTGGTATTTCCACATCGCCGATATGGCCGTGTTGCCTGATCACCAGCGCAAGGGACTGGGCGATGCGATTTTGAAGGATCTTATGAACAGAATTCGTTCGCTGGCACCTCCTCCTGAAAGAGCGGCAGATGGGAGATTGATGGGTACCTATGTGAGCTTGTTTGCTGATGTGGCGGGTCGCAAGTTGTATGCTAGGAATGGGTTTGTTGATTCCATGCCGCATTCTATGGGTATGGTGCAGTTGTGGGATAGGGAGTCTGCTTCTGATGGTGGCGTTTCTGAGAGTTAGTGGTGGTGTTTTTACCTGCAAGAAATGGGATAAAATAGTGTATGCCGGGGCAAAGGTTGACATGGGTCCAGACAGGCTAAACCAACAAGCGTATTTACGCCAGCTGTTATTTAATCATTATGGCAGGTTATGAGCGATAAACCTAAACGAGAACTTATATTCGGTGGGAATAAACTAATATATACATAATTAACTATATCAGCAGTACTTCAGTATCTGTACATTTATCCGGTACAACACCGTTATAGATATCCATCAAAAATGACAATGCCCTTGGGAACCCCCTGAAGAGCGCCAGAATATGGTCGGCCCCAGCCACCTGTTCGTAGTGTATAACAGCCTCATCATCACAGAACTGCTTTACCAGATTGGTCGCGCTTCCAAGACTACCAACTGTGGTTTCAGCCGTTCCTTGGAACACAAACATTGGAAATTCCTGGACCCCGTGTTGGCCCATAACATAGACAGTATCCAGTAGTTCCCCGAATTTGGATACAACAGAGAAACCATTGTCAAAGAAAGCCGAGATATTCTTGTAGGCCAGTTTGCTAACATAACCGTCGCTTGAGTTGAAGACGTTAGCCGCACATTTTGTCATTGCTAGGTCATACTCCGGCTTAAACTCTGGTTTCAGATGCTGTTTGATATACTCGGAAATCGGCGGGAAAGCATTGGCAATGCCTTTCAGTCTACCCACAAGTAGACCTGAATTTCTGGTGCCATCAAGGAGAGAAAAGGCTTGGGTTATGTTGACAGGAAGACCACCGATGGCAGCCCCAGCTATTTTCACATCTGGCGCATACGTTGACTGAAGTTCTCCTGCCCATTCGAACGCTAGAGCGCCTCCAGAGCAGCCAAATAGAGTGGTCGTGGCATTGTAGTCGATCCCAGTGATATCTGTAGAGCTCAATACGGCGCGGAGTGAGTCAAGGAGGCCATACAATGATTGCGTTCCTACCGTATAGGAAGATTCAATGCCCTCGTAATCGGGTATGCTAACAGGTATTCAGGCCAACAAGAAGGGCTCCACCCAAATGGAAAGCTCTAAGACGGGATCGTCGACCGCTGTTGGAGTGCCAAACTGGATCGTATAGGATGGTGAACAATCGAGATTGGGGCTGTCATATGCCACTTGGTAGGAAAGCATCTTGTCTATTTTAGCGCATCGCGTGTATATCAGAAGCTCCTTACCCCTTAAGAAGTATATATACCCTTACTAAATCGCGACTGAGGTATATCACTCAGTATATGCGGCTCACTATCTACTTTCGGCATGAAAGTTCAGATATTTCTGTGATGCTATTAATTAACTCAAATGAAAAGGGCCTGGATGTGGGTTAGATCTGGTAATTCATGAACACAATAAATAACGTAATTAGTATATTGGAAGCTCAAATGCACGTCAGCGTTCACTTGAAACCCATCTCAACCTTCCTGACCTAACATACAAGTATATATACTCTAGTTCGCACCAGTTCGCCCAAAACGCCACATGCATTCGCTTTTATTGCATAAAATCAGATAATTAAACTTTATCCGAATATATATTCCCTGCAGGATCCTTCCGCCACGCCTTAAGGTTCTCTATACTAGCTTTGATCGTCTTCCACCCAAGTGAATAGTACACTAATGCAAGCAAAGCAATCGAATATCCCACGATCTGAATGGTGCTCACCTGCGTGTGCCAGAGCACAACAGAGGCAACAATAAGCAGAATATTCTTCGGAATACTGACAAGTGTCGTCGTGAGTCCGGATGTCTTTCCGATCTGAACATATTGTTAGCCTGTTCATTGCATACGCTGGACCAAGTGACTCACCAGGACAAAGATCGAAACGTTCAGCATGAATCCCACCACAGCATTCGACAACAATGTCAAATAGCCAGTGTTGGGGACAACGCTCCAGTGGAAATCCCTGAGCTCTGTATTCCAGGCAATTATGGAGTTCATGACGGCACAAACCGGGGCCGTATAATAGAGGGTGACGAGCGGGTCCATTTTTTGGCCGTCTTCAGAGAGCAGGATTTGCATCATTACGAGGCGGTTCGCGTCGCAGACGAGACTGGCCATTTGGTAAAAGATGCCGAGTAATGAAAATTGGATTTCACCTGATACGGCAAGGCCCACGCTGCAGGTGATGATTAGGATGTTTATCAGTACCTCCATTGAGGGCGTTGCTACTCCCCATGACCAGCTGACGAGGAGGGTCACGACTGGTCCGGCGGCCTGGCGGAAATTGTCAGTTTCAAAAGTGTCTCAGGGTTAGGGAACAAGATCAGCAGAAGCTAGGCGATAATACCTTTAGCATTTGAATAAATGAAATGTTGAGGTAGAGGTAGACAATATTCCCGAAGACCAAGCTGCCGCTATAGAGCAGGCCAATAGGAACCATCGTGCGTGCATACAATCGGCTATTCATCTCGATGTTCTTACGGCTATCCAGTAATGTCGTTGTCCGCGCCAGAACTTGCGTGACCACGGTAGCGAATATAAGGTGCCATGTCGTGAGAAGGATCGCTGCAATTCTTTAGCAATTGAAAGCAGAGTCAGATAGCAATCCACTCACGGTATCCTGGCAAGATAGTTAGTTGGAATAATTTTCTTGCGAAGCATGCGTATTAAACTTACTGAATTCCGTCGAGTCTAAGATCCATTTATTGAATAAGACGGTGAGGTTTGACCAGAAGACCCAGGATCTGATCGCTGTGAGCTAGTGAAGCAAAGCCGGGGACACTCAAACTACGTACAGAATATCTAAGGTGATATTCCATGTCGGCTTTTTGCCGCCATTGAGTTCTTGATATGTCATTTCACCTCTTTCGTTTCCCATGGTATTTCTGCCACAAGGAGAAGCTTTAAGATTTCTCGTATTGACTCCAATTCCAATCCCAGCCCCAGATCGAACGGAGAAAATGTGGCGGAGCGATGTAAGACCAGGTCGTTACGTGGGGTCCATTTGGCTAGAGCGCGTCTAGTGTAGTCGAACGACCATTGCTATTAAGTGTTAGACGTTAAGTGTACGTGCAAAATTGCAAAACCACAAGGAGCAGTACGGAAAAATTCATGAGCTGGCTCCAATGCTTACTTAAATTCGTGATTTGGAGGTCTAGGTATCATTTGACTGGGTGGTTGTACGGAACTAGCGGATGGGTGTGATTGCCCGTTGCCCTAACCAGGTTAAAAATGGTTGCCTGGAACACCTTCCATTCGCTGAGCGCGTACCACATTCCCGCAAGACCCTCAAAAAAAAAAAAAAAAAAAAGGCTAAAAGGGTCGCGAAGCTAGTAACCATAATACCTGTTCTGCGCTCGCTTGGCCGTTTGCGACAAAGTTCGGGGCAGGCGCGCCCCAGAAGCCGAGTCAGGCACCAGCCGATGTCACAGTACATGAAGCCGAGGCAGAGTTAGCTTAATTTTCTTTTTTACTTACCTTACATCGAGGGTGGGGAAATAGCGGGTCTTTGTTCTCGTTCCTTGGTCGTGCTAAGCTTGCCAGTCTCAATTGTTTGGGTCGATGAAACCTTGCAATGAAGTCATACATGATCTTACGTTGTTTCCTGCACCGAGGTTTTGGGGGGGGGGTCTAGATTTAGAAGTCATCGGCGACACATGTCACCCGCATGCGGCATGTAAGGGACCCACTGCATTCTCATTCAAGCCTTTTTAAGTCTTCCGTTTTTATCGCACTATTTTAGTACTACGGAGTAATTTCTCTAGTAATTAATAATATGGGTCCCATGTTTCGATTCTGTGTAGCTGCTAACGTAAAAGTCAAGTGGTGATCATATAGAATTCAAATCATCGTGCGTATTTGTAGTGATAGGAATGTTAGCAACACGAAGTGATCGATTTGTATGGTAAGAAGTGAAAAAAAGAAAACCAAAGCCCCTAGATATACAAGCCTCACCAAGAATGGGTACAGTACGTAATGAAGTAACTAGGCCAGGCTTCCACCTCCATCAACCGCTTACACTCCTCCGGGTCGAAGGTCGGGTTCTCCCACGCCGCCTGACAAACGGAGGCATTGTTCGCATCATCTACCCAGCTAAAGGGGTATATCTGTTTCTCAGGTAGGAGTACCAGCGCGTCTTGGAGGTGCGCGCCCATGGCAAGCTCACTCTCATCGCAAAATAACTGCCACGATTCTTGATGCCGTTGAATAGTCTTGCAAGCATGCTGTCGCAATGAATTATCTTTGAAGTTATCCCAGTATTTCTTGATCATCAAACTCAATGCCCCGGGTCCGGTCAGACCCTCAACAGAGCCATCACCAGTTCCCTCGGGGTGCTCGATCACGTTGAGAACTGGAAGAAGCCAGAACGGATGGCCTGGGGGTGATGCCATCCAGCCGTTGGGCACCGCGGCGGAGCTCAGAATATCGACAGTGCGAGCCATGCGTCCCAAGAATGCGCGTTGAACAGTAGCCTTCTGAAACGACGGTGCAGATGAGAGGATATCTTCATGGGCGGCAAGAGCGGTTTCATGACCGGCAAACAATGGCGCAACAGGGCGCAAGGCTTCGGTATCCACGTCGGCGTACATCCTGTGAAATTCGTTAGTTACAATAATTATGATCAAGTAGACCAGGCACTTTGAAAGACCTACCCGCCAAACAAGTACATATACAAATTGCGGACCACATCCGCCCGGAGAATCTCTTTCGGGAGACTGTCATAAGTCTGGAGAAACCAGGGAAAATACTGTTCAACAAGCATTCGATTGGTTTCGTCATCCCAAAGCACATATTCCCAGTCCGAGTTCTGGGTACGCATGCCATGGACCCAGTCCTGAGCACGCTCGCTCATATTGCTGCCCGCTGGAAACCATGTCTGGTGGATAATCTTAGGAATCGTGGTCCCATCACGGGACAGTGGACGCGACAACAGAGTACGAGCAGGTAGTGCACGGGCGATTGGAGGCGAGGAAGCTGGCACCACCGAGGGCACGATAGATGAGCGGAATGGGTAGGAGAGGAGCACAAGAAAGACAGCGATACCGAGGATGAGCTGGATTCTCCGCCGAGAAAGGCAGCCAAATGGAGAGTCAGCTATCATTCTGAAGCAAGCTACCTCCGTGGTTTCGAATCTCGTAGTAATAATCGTCTAGTTTATAGGCACGTATTCAGAAGTTCGAGCCTTGACAGCCCTCATCGAGCTTGCCGTGTCGGAATATCTCGAGTTGACAGATGCATCGAATCTACTATGCTTATGAAGATGCCAGTTGAAGAAATGAGAAATGGGACGATGCCGTGTTGCGCAATCACTGCCCTGATCCTGGTCCAAGACCGTTTCCAGCCTTTACCGCGAGCCCAGACCCAGCATGCCGGAAACGGCGATGTATGATACTTGAGTTAGGTAAATGTCTCATCGGCTCAGCTGTCACACAGATACCATATTTCGTGTAAGCGCCGCTGAAGCAGCTATTCAGGGATTCTAGCTCTCCTCGTTACAGGCCAATGTAGCACTTGCTAACGCATGTTGCAAGCGTCGTCCCCACCGGCCGAACGACGCGTAAAACTAGTTGTCCACGCCCGACAAGAACAGTTTTAAACGAATCATCGATCTGAGAATAAAGCGCTAGATATATTGCAGTGCACCTGTCACATCGGTTCATTCGTCGTTGCTACAGACGACTTAGCTTGAATTGTGTGTTCTTTGTCTAGTTCGATGCTCAAGCCATTTGCCGTGAATTGTATGATGTTCCCCAACATTGCTGGCCATCCATCTTTTTGATTATATATTGCCACTATTCCATCAGTATGTAATCATTATATATTCTTTTCGTGATGTCAGTCAGGTCTTGAGGTTGGTTATGGTCATGTTGTTGTGTGTTGCGCATTCAGTGCTAGTGTTCAAACCGGAGAAAGGCAGCTAGCTCCGGATTAGGCTTAGTGGGGTATCAAGAAGCAACACCGGCGGCCCGGCTCAATAGATGATCCGCCTCGCGATCATCAAGCATTACATTACAACAACAAGGTCTTGTAAAACCTTCTCTCGGAAAAGAGCCTGTGTAAGGGTTTACCGCTATCTTCATAGTGCACCGTTAGTTAATATCTGCTTATCTGTATAATGTGGGTGATTGTTTCCGGATGAACAAATGATATCATTCAACCATGATCCGTCATTTGAAAACATATATTTTCGACGGTCGGATGTAGTTATGCAAAAACGTCCTCATATCTTCAACTCTCTATGTTATTATAGTGTGGGGCTCTAGCCTCTGGACTTAAGACACTTGTCCTGTGATACGGTGACTACTTATAGAAATGAATGTCCAATCCTGGCTGAGTTTGTTCATTCACATTGATATTATCTACTGCCTAGCCGCAGCTTTCCACGGTATACCTTTGCCTACCATAGAGCGATCGTACTAGTTGGAGTAATAATTCGTGAGAGCTTGATTTGGCTCTCCATATTGCAGGATCATAATTTCTTACGCAATAGTTGCTCCCACTATGTCCTCGGTAGAACGATGCTCTACTGCTGGGGCAAATAAGTACTAACCTCCAGCCCATTATTAAACGGCAGCGTCATGTTAACAAATCCACTGCTGGGATCACGCATAAAGTCCAAAAGTTCCTTATACTTGTCGGCTGCGGCAATGGTATTATCCGCCACAACAACAGCCCCGTATCTCATATGCGGCAGGATTAGCTTCAAAGTCGGCAAAGCCATGGGAGTCCAAACTATCGACAACAATTAGCGAAGGGAAGTGAGCGATGGAAGAAGGAAAAGCAGCCATACTATCAAGAAGCAGCAAATCAACCGCCTCCACATCCCGCTTCAAAGTCTCACGGAGATCTCCCTCCCGCAGGTCAATAACATCAGTGATGACGTTCCCACATTGCGCCCAATGTTCTCGGGCCTTGGCAGCCTTTGTTGGCTCGTTCTCAGTCGCTATAACACGGCCCGTGCCACCAGTTGCTGCTACATTGGCCGACACGGCAAGGGCCAGGTAGATGGTGCTCACGCCGAAGGAGGTACCGGCTTCGACGACGGTCTTGGCGTTGATGATGCGACAGAGCTGATAGAGATATTGGGATTTATCTTCATCGAGGGCGATGAACTTGTCGCGCATTACATCATCGAAGGTTTGGCTTTCAAAGTCGGCATTTGTGATGGCCGATTCCTGGGTCGAGGATTGTTTGTGGAGGGTGGTGAGGAGGCTGCGGATGTGTGGCGCGACGCCTTCGAGAGGGCTCGGTGAGGACATTCTATTGCTGGTTTCTTCTCAATGGGATGATAATGAGGCAACGTAGACCTTTTCTTTTGAGGGTGATGATGACAATCAATTGGGGATTTTAGTAGCTTTTAAGGTTACGTGGTTCGGGAAAGACGCCGCTAAAGCTTGCATTATCTGATGTTGTTTCCCCGCTCATCTACGAGTCACGGATACTCTTTGAAAACTAGAGATTAGATGGTATTGGCCGATATACCGACAGCGCGTGGCGCTAACCCCCGTTTAGGATTTCCACTGATATATGAAAGATCTTAAGACAAGGATCCCGATGAGTCACATGAGACTTTACGTCAAGAGTGCATTGATCCGCCTGGCAGCAGCAGGAAAAGCAAAAGGCGTCTGAATAAATACGGGATGCCAAAACAGCTCGGCTAGCTACGGCACCAACGCACCGGCTATTCAACGCGTTCGACAGAAAGGTTCTATAACTTGAAAAGGGCCTTTCCAAGCTGCATACAGCGATTGCCATTCAGATACCCACACACCAAATGGAACTTTACCACTTTTTATATAAGACCAACATAGCTAAAGTCAGATTGGTATAACTGTGAGAAGGACTCCTGGATATCAAAACATTCTCCAGCAGTATCTGCTCCTCCCTTGTGTGGCATGGTAGGTCTGCTTTGAGTATAAACTTGGCAGAGCAGCGCATTGCACAGGGATGGGATGTTATGACATTGCCATTTGCGTCTTTACCGCGGAGCCCCCCGGATCCCAGCAATCATATTAAGTACAGTCCTGTGTAGATCGATATACACCAGACACATGATGATGAGTATGTGCCATTAGTGATGTGTGTGAGCATTGTCAACAGTCCCAAGATTAGACACTGACTACGGTTATCAGATAAGAAGAGAGGAGGTTCAACAGTTACAACATTTAGTCAATTTCCACAAAATAAATACCTCCGATTCATAGTAAGGCTTATGATTCCCACGCAGGGCTGACCTGAGGGCTTGTTCGTGGGGAAACTACATATACATAGTAGTTGCGACTCCAGCAATCCTTCTGCTAATATTTTCCGTATTCTCCTACGAGTCCAAGAAGCCATACTTCTGAGTCAGCCCCGATCAAATGCAGTCGGATCTGTGAACAAACGGCCAGTCACTTTTCCTTGCGCCAATCGCTCAAGTCCCTGTGGAATACTGTCGAAAGGAATCTCCTCTAAAATGGGAGAAAGGCGACCGTCGGCGATGAGCCTTAAGACCTCCTTTAATTCTTCCAGACTTGACCCGATCGACCCCTGCAAGGTAATGTTCCTGGTAATCATGGTATGCGTATCCAAATCCATCTGCTTTGCAGCCAAACCAACTACTACCACACGACCGCATGGCTTGACCGCGTTCACTGCTGCCGCGGTCGTTATGCCAGCACCGGCAAAGTCGACTGCTGTATCGAACGCGATATCACCGAATTTATCAAGTCCGTTGGCGCACCTGACGGCCCCTAGCTCCCGAGCAAGAGGAAATTTGGTCTCATCAATATCGACCGCATACACCCGAGCTCCGTGAATAGCAGCAATCTGAATGGCAGGGAGACCTAGCCCGCCCAGCCCCACAATAGCTACGGTGGTATCGGGACCGACACGGCCTTCCGTGATCATGGCGTGATAGGCAGTTGCGATCGAATCGGTCGCGACAGCGGCCTGTGCGACAGAAACGCCGGACGGAATCCGAACAAGATTCTCTACCCAGGCCATGGCCTGCTCTGCATAACCGCCATCATAGCCGAGCCCAATGGCTTTGAAGAAGCTGTCCTGAGCCACGGGATGCGTGGGGATTCCTGCCACGACCCTGTCACCGATTTCATAATTTGAGGTCCCTGGACCGAGTTCTACGACCGTCCCGGCAACTTCATGACCTAGTACGATCGGTCGCTTCATGATCATGGTGTATTGACCGTCCTGGAGGATGAAACAGTCGGAGTGACACAGACCAGCTGCTTTGATCTGGATGACCACTTGACCTTGCTCTGGTCGGGGACGTGGTATGGCCCTCAACTGGAGGCCACTTTGCACGTCGTCGAATTGAAATGCTCTCATGGTTGACACTTTGCATTGTTGTCCTGTCTCGGTTGTCCTGATCTTGTTCTCCATCTCCGTATTGATATTTTGTTCATTATACTGACGCAAGCGAGCACTTCATTTTTTGATGGGAGGGTGGATATTTAAACTGCTAGAGAGAGCATCTGGGGTGAATGGTTGAAGAACAATGAACTGCAGCCGAAGAACAATAGGCTCCACACTAAGATTGCATATTGTGTTGGTGGTGATATATACCAGTGGCTCGGTCAAATTGAACAAAGGAGTGGAATCTGGGGTAAAGAAACCGACAGCTGACCACTGCCATACGCATTGTATAGAATATTCACTCATATATTGCACAAGAGGTTCGTGAGAAAATGAAACGGCCTCCGCCAAGAACCACGCTGGAAAGGCACCAAGAAACATCTGCCTGTTTACCTGCAGGCACCAACGGCACCGTGAAGTTTCTGCCTGTCTCCTGGAGAAGATAAAAAAAAAAATGATCTGAGGTGCACCTTGTCGCATCATTTAAGATATGAGGAGCAGCCTTCCGAGTACGATCGCAATATGGTCTACTCGGGCTATCGCTCCCGCCCAAGCCGCAAATTCACGCCGATCGCATGGTGTCAAAATATGGCCTCCTTAGCGGGCCGGTGTCCCCGGATTAACCGTCTGGACCGTGCACCACGCCTAGAAGATCTTCATCGAGTATATTTGCGGATGGTTGAGGACACTGATGAGGTGTTTGACACGCTCTAGTCCATCTTGCGACAACCAGCCCTTGGCCAGTATGTTCGTCATGTGGAGATGGATCGCTCCTGGGAGTCCTTGGCCTATGCAAACAATCCACCCGATCTGAATAACAGGAGAGAGATAAGAGAGGAGGACCAGAAACTACTAGAGGTCGCAGTGAACCAGGCCGGATTCAAAGGCAAGCAATATGACATGATGATGATGAACATTGTTACGAATCGACCACGCAAACTCATGTTAGTCGATAGCTTGTGAGCACCTAATAACGGCGTAGGCAGAGCTAACATCGAGTACGCAATAGGGGTTACAATATGCGGACCAAAAGTGATTTAATACATCTCGCGCAGGCACTGACGGCTTTGATTCTGTCCGTTGCACCAAACCTAGAGTCTTTGGCCTTCCCAGATATAAGTGCTGAGTTCGAGACCCCGAGTGAATGCTACTTGTGCAAGCGTTCTTGGAGCGAACAAATGCCAGTCCGACAGAGATACCGTACCTCCAGAATCTACGCGGTATACGCTGTCTCAGTAATAAGGATCCACTTCTGAGTGATGAGCGATTCTATGAGAACTATGACCTTGCGGCGCGCATGAAGTTGGTCGGCAACTTGCCGACCATGGAAAGTATAAGGGTGGAGGCCATAGAGGACAGACACAGCGATATAGACCTGGAACCTCGGTCGGCCAACTTCAAGAAAGTGTATATCCGGAACTCGAACTACTCCAGCGGAAGCCTGGCCGAAATCATCAAGTCGTGCAGACGTCTCCAAGAGTTCAAATACTCGATCGGCGGACGGGCTTCTGTCGATGGTAGCTACCCCATGTTCGTAGAGAGGGATCTGCTAGGCGCACTACTATACCATATCAATACGCTACAGCAGCTCGAGGTGGACGTCGACGAGGGATTCACTAACCAGCGACCAGCATCCTGGGACAAAGATGGCGAATGTACGATGGGAGAGGATCCATACGAGAAAGACTGCACCGAGGGACGGCCTACGTCACTCCGTGACTTTACCGTTATGAATCATCTCAGAATTGGCATTAAGCTGTGGATGGCCCTTGCACGGGCTAGTATCAACAAAGGTGGCTCAGAAGAACTATCGTTATGCTTGGTCGACACCCTCCCCCCCAAACCTGGAATACCTCTCTATTCTAGGATACACCACTGGGGCCAATAGTGAGCATGACGCCCAGATCAACTATCTCATGAAGAATCGTGACAGACTACCATTATTGAAAGAGATTGCTGGTGTAGAGGAGCATATACCGAATGCAAATCAGTTGAAGATCCTGATGAAGGCGAGGACGGCTATGCGTATTGGCTCCATTAAGGGTAAATGGGCCTGGAGTTTGCTGAGGGTCAGAAAGAATCCATATGCCTCTGCCCGGGCAAAGATAGCTTGCTGAGTGGAGTCTCCTTTCAGCAATCATTTTATATACCAAGATGCCGTGTCTATAAATTGTGGAAGGTGGCAAAAAGGTACTAAGAATCATAATCAAATGGGTATTTTTGCAATATGAAGCCTTTCCTACATCTATGGGCAGGTTGTCCTATTGGAAGTTCAAAACAGAGTCGCACGAGCTTGCGCACATGATCGCGCAATTAGTGTTGTCGGTGAGAGCCTCTTCGCAGGTTGCAAATTCAAAACCATGGTGAAACGAGGATGTAAGCGTTACGGACTGAGTTCAGGGTAAGCAGGACTTGCAGAGACGATTGTGTCCGAGGCTTAGACCTAGGGTCTAGGGTAGAAGCAGCCCCCGACGTCTAAAATCCCACCCTTATTAGCGTTTCATGTAAGCGGCCTGAGAGGCAAACATTCCATTTTGGCCTAGAGCTCAAAGCTAACAAAATCCTCTCGTAAGCATGATCAGGTTAAAAATACTTTTACTAGTAGAGTAAGTAGCTCGCCCCACATTACATTACTGACGGACTGTTGCCTGAAGGGAGTAAGTGGCCATTTTTGAGCTAAGACCGATGTGATCGTCGTTCCACGGAAAGTGTCCTGCAGTTCCCAGTAGACTATTTTGGATCAGCTCTTTTCCAAATCAAAAATTCACATCTGGCCCCCTATGCAGGTCATCCATGACATGACCAATGCGTCAGCACATATCCCGCTCGAACTGCCACGATGCGAGGATGGCTAGATAATGTCTTAAGTTGCGACCACTAACACCGCGTATCGATTCTAGCTTACGCATTCTATTCACCATGGCGCTGCCGCGCTGGCGCTTTCGACGATTAGTCGTCTTATCGTCTGCCCTGGCGTTTGCTTTTATCTGCGCAGTCCAATGGTCACATGCAGAAGCTCTAAGTGCGGAGCGTGGATACCCCCTTCTTTCTAAATACATACAAACTCAGACGGGGAAAGGGGGAGGTGAGTGTCGTCGCACTATCGCAATTTCTGCTGTGCGACACTCGTGACTAACAAAAGTCACAGCATGGCATATTCCGCAAGACTGGATTGAAGCTCCAACTTCTCGCCCCGAGACAATTGTCGACGCAGCAAAGCTAGCGACACACAGAGCCACGTCGTCGTCGGTCGAGAGAAAGATACCGCATTCTGAGATTCCCCTGATCGTTCACCAGACATGGAAAAATACCCAAGTTGAGACATGGTCGCCTTTGATGCGCCGAAGTGCGACAAGATGGCTCCAAGCCGTCGAGGAAGATAAAATGGCTTACTTTCTCTGGGACGATGAAGGTGTAGCGCAGTTCGTCAAATCTTTTGAGCCTGAGCTGGAGGAGCAATTCTACTCCCTTCCTAGCAACGTGGAAAGATCCGATGTGTTTCGTATCTTGGTGGCGAAATGGATCGGTGGGATTGTGAGTATCTGAGTGGGATTCTAGACATAGCGATTCGGTCTGATGGTCTAACTGATATTCGTTGTTGGTAGTACGGCGACATGGACACCGAACCACTTCGCAACCCCTCATCTTGGATTACGACAGATGATCTCCGCAGCTGGGAGGATTCGGAGACAAATCAACTATACGGGGCAGCTGGCCCGATACGAGCGATCGTGGGTCTAGAAGCAGACTGTCCTCCCGACAGCGATGCGTACTGGCGCATGGGCTACGCCGAGCCTGTTCAGCTTACACAGTGGTCCCTTGCGGCGGCGCCTAGACATCCTATTTCCCAGACGTTTCTCGATCGTCTCTCGACTAATCTCAGGAACACAACATCTACAAAGACGAGCCAGAAACATTCCCCATCGAACCAGGCAGCGCTGAACAGTATTGACCCCCTCCTCCTTACGGGGCCCGCAGCCTTCACGGCAGCCGTAAAGGAATGGCTGGTAACAACTACTGGGTTGCGATGGAATGCCCTATCCGGATTGGCGGATGGAGGGCAAAGTAAGGTTGTGGGAGATATCTTGGTGCTGCCAATCACGGGGTTTAGGTAAGTTGTGGCTTTTCTACCTTATTCTTTGTTCCAATGCTAATAGGGGCAGTCCGGGAAGAGGCATATATGGAAACATGGGTTCGAAGTCCGTTAACGATCCTTCCGCACGCCTATTCCATCATGCACAGGGTTCGTGGAGAAAAACTGACTTTGTGGTGGAGGCCGGGAAGTTTTGTCGCACGGTATTTGGGCTATGTAGGGATTGGCCAAAAGTGTCGTATGTTCCCGAGTGACAGGATCATACATACGTATAAACTTTCGACTAATGTATATGATTCATAATTCTCCAAACCTTATATTCCGTGAAGATCCGACAATTTATGTCAGATGCTATTCAAAAGCGTTGTTTCGACGGTTGGACCGAAGGTAGTGTAAAGCTTAAAGTGAAATAACAGCGAGCCCTGATCTCGTAAATCTACCAATTGTTATTTCTTTTTGTCTCTGACCTTGTAGCACTTGTCGAATCAGCATCAGAGGCTTGATGGTATGCCTACTAGTACGGTAAGTAGTCTCACTCAGGATGGAAATTCAAGATGATCTAGGCCATTCCACACAATACCGCTGTTTGGTGGGGCCGAAGAAATACCAGAAGAGTGGATACTGCAGGCAACCAACCACCTCAGTAGTTTCGTCACTGTTGTTTTGAGATGCGCGCCGTGGGACTGTTAGTCAGGATGCCTCATCTGCCGGGGCTAAAGTTGAGGCATTTAAGTCCTCGGAGGATTCTCACCCAACATGCTCGGAACCTTTCCTCTGTAGGGTAAGACAGCATTCCGAGCTAAAATAAGGGTTGCCTGATAGGCAGTCACATTAAATGCGCACAGATTGGTCAGAGAAGCCAAGCCTTCGCTAAGCCTTTGGGGGTGGATCGCCAATCAAGCCCTAATCCAGCCTTACCCAGACTAACTATGGTTCCAGACCCCACTCGTCGACCCTTGAGTAATGTCACTCGACGAAGGTGAGACGGTGACGGAGCCCGTGGATTCCGCGCGCGACATTTGCTCTTCGGCAAGAGACTCTAGTAAGGAATATTCGCTCAACTCGATACCTGTTCTACTCGTGCGGGTAATATTGTTCAGTATCACTGCCATGCGTGTCCTCTGGTTCTTGAAACGCCTCAGTCGAATGGTTAGAGGGCAAAGCCTTAGGCGTCTGGCATTTCCCCTTACTCTCCTGATAATAGCAGTTTCGCTTGGACTCTACCTACTACTTGCTTATTCCCTGGCAAACGATCCTCGGCTGGTTCCGATCGCATTCCAGGAAGCTAAAAGTATCCTCCTGGTAACCGCACACCCCGACGATGAGACGCTTTTCTTTAGTCCGACTATCACCTATCGCCAGAATGATGCCGGTGTAAAGCGCTCATTGTTGGTTATATCTTCGGGTGGGTAGATGGTAATTAATAGAAACAATGATGGAAACATCTAATAGCTGAATAGGTAATTACGATGGACTTGGGGACAAGCGACAAAGTGAGCTTCACAGTAGCTGTGACGAGCTAGGAATCCCCGAGGATCGATGTGTTGTTCTGGATATTGCGGAACTTCAAGACAATCCCAAGCAATGGTGGAACGAAGACATGGTTAAGGACCTCGTTACCTCTTATAAGGAAAAGTGGCATGTGGACCTGGTATGAGCTCCTATTATGAGGTACACGTCTTCCACATTTCGCTGATTCCGTCCTACAGATTGTCACATTTGACAATGGCGGTATATCCGGCCATATCAACCATCGATCCGTCAGCGCCGGCGTGCGGTATGTTCTGATTAACCCTCTTCATATAAAAACACCATGCTAACGACGTGTGTAGTAAATATGTCCAATCCACACCAGATGCGCCCGCCGCATACATGCTACAGAGTACACCACTTCTACGAAAATATTCCTCACTCCTGGACCTAATTCCCACTTCGATCCCATTTACCTGGCGCATCCTTAAAGCCCTCCTCACCACCCCACTCGGTAGACAAGTCGAGCATAACACCGTACATGACGTCGTTCCATTGGCTGCATACAATAGCAAAGCGCTTATTGTTAGCTCATGGCGAACATATCGAGTCTCACGAGCGGCATTCAGTCAGCACGATAGCCAGTATTCGTGGGATCGTTCGCTATACCTGGTGGTCAGCCGGTATATGTGGTTCAATACATTGGAAAAGATGATCTAGTTCTTTACTGCGGTTGCGCCAAAATTAATGATACGACGAAAGAATATAGTTTAATTTGTATATACGCTAAAAGAAAACTCAAAAAAAGCGGATTAATATATTTATACCAGCCCCCTATTCCTACTTCACTTAGGCGATCTTTGCCATCCACTTGATCGCAAATGACGGCAAGCGACGTTCTTCGTCATCTACCTTTGGTGCACGTCTTCGACTAATACAGAGCAGTGTAATTACAGCCGCACTACCCAAGAGCAAGATGAGGCCAGCAAACAAGATACGCTGATCGAGATCTTTGAAGAACTGAATCAACCGCGCATCATGACCGTGCCAGGAAGAAGAGCCGAAGTGTCGGAAAAGTGGCGTATTGACTACACCATTGAGCATGTGCATCTTAGGCTGATCAGGAGGTCCTGCAAGAATGCGGAGGTTTGTGCGATTGGATTGCAGAGTGAATATGGTCCTGGAGCAGGGAAGTCAATTAAGGTCCTTGGTTCGCTATATGAGTGTTGCGACAGCACTTACGACGCGTAGTGGCAACCTGTACTGAACATTACGGTCGCATATGGTAACAATGGCCAGACTTGGTTGTATACCGGGAGGTTTTCAACGAGCGCATGGACATAGGGGTTGTTGGGCGCTGCGAGCATCATGCCGATTGAGAACCCAGCAGGATGCGCAGCCGGAGCTACGAACTCAAATCGACGCAACGGCTCCAGCGATCGCTTGCACGCTAGGTCGAAGTCAAGGATGGCACCTATGAATAGTCATGGTGAACAATTTGATCGCTGGTGCCACAAGAAGGGGCATCGAGACTATACCTCCGTACTTCTGCAATATCATGTAGCGCAATGCATCCACGCGTTGTACATTGAATGGGTAGCGGGTCCACATTTCATAGAGATGGGGATAATTGTCTCGAACGAAGCTGTCTGCATTTTCGTCCGTCCAAAGATGTGCCTCCCAGAATTCATGATGTTTGAGACATTCGGCTCTGGCATCCAGCCAATTCTTCGGCGGTGAGCTCGATCCGAGATGGATATGATGTATCCTTCTAGGTATGTATGGTCGTATGCCTGTGGCATATGTGGAGTAGTTTGCGTCGTAGTCAGCGAATGTGACGTCAAAGTCATCGTGTTGCTGGGATATGATCGCGTCTGCCGAGGATGCTTTCCATACAAACGGTAGCCGAAGGAGGTAATAGAGCCTCAGTAGCGAAGACGACGACAACCATAGTAAAGTCAATGCCAGAGTGCCTACCACAATCAATCTTGCCCTATTGCAAATCATAATGACCCGGTACTGCCTGCGCCAATCAATGCCTTGCTATGAAAGAGGGTGTTTTATTAGTTCGAGATTCATTGTGCTACTGAACAGTGTTGTTAATACATAGCCGTCCCAGGTGAGATTGAGTAGACCCTTGTTTCAATTAGCCTGATTGATTGTGGCATTGGCAGCTGGTAGCATTAATACGAGGACGCAGTGACCATCGAGTAATCAAAATTCCTGTTGGAAAATATTGCGCCCTCTGCATCGGAACGCGTACAGGGTTCGAAATAGGGATACTGGTTCTTCTATCCACTGGACTCAGCTCCACTTTCTCACCCTACTGAGATCAAATTATAGGGGCTAGAGGTTAATCCGCCAATATCTGGTCACGGTAACCTGACCTCGAAACGTGTTGTACATCGTGTCAACCCGCTACATTTACCTACTACGTACTAGTCGCAGTACTATTACTTCATGATTTAATTTCGAAAATAATTTTTTTTCTGGGCCCATCTCATGAATGGCATAATACAACCCCAATATCCCCTTCCGGCCTGTCCATCCCAAAATAGAGTGATCACTTCGCCAGCTAATAGGTCACCCATGGTAAAGCCTCGCGAACGCCTAAGCAAACCAAGCAGATCCTGTCCCAGGTTCGCAAAAGAGAGCCTGTTAAATTTCGGGTTACAACAGCGGCACAATCCAGCCGTAATCCAGAAGTGTATTCGAATAGGGTTCGAACCATAAGCCCAAAATATGGCTGCCTAAAAGATCGGGGAGAAAAATCTCTGTCTATTCCATCGAGGGAGCAGGAACCCTCGGACCCCGAGACCCACCCGTACCAACTTTTAAGGTGGCCGTATGGAAAGCTTAGCTTAGTCTAATTTCTAACAATGCCTACTTAAGAATCTAATTGTTGCCTGGACGCACAATGCTGCCCTGTGAGCGCTAATTTCCCTAATAAAGAGTAAATCGTCGGTAGGCTCGGTCCACAGGAAATGCCTCCCCCGCTGACTCAGGCTCGATATTCGTATGAGAAATTTATCACCCTTGTTGTTGGGTTCTAGTATCCCGTGTTTACCTGGCCCTGTGAAGGGTCCAAGCACTATTTCATTTCAAGTTTAGCTCAGCTATGTAGTCTAGCCCTGCCGATCAGTGCAAGTGTGCCTCTTAAAGTTACCCTTACGTGATCTGAGGGGTCTCTTAGAGCTGAAGGTTGGGCATATTCTCGTACATCTGAACAATCCCTGTTATTGCTTTTGTCACGTAAGCACTAAGGCGCGGACAAATCTGTGCCTTGCTGACCTTTCTAATTAAATCCACATTAGAATCCTCTCGACCCCTTTTCCATCCTGGGCCTTGGCTAGATTATGACTGTTCCTACCTTAGTGTCCTGTTGTAATAATAGGCAAGTTATGTGGCTTTACCTAGTCGGTATTGGAAATCAACTATATGTGTAATCCTATAACGCATGGTGAGGTGGATGTCATCCTTCGAGAACCCCACGGACTATCATTTTCGGGTGTGCGATAAGCGAGGATTGCGTAGATGATGGAATGAAAACTAGAAGCGCGGGTTAGAGGACCAGGAAGATGCAGGAAGCCAACTTCGCCTGGCCGCAATTCTGTCCTCAGAAGAGGTCCCTGAAAATACATAGATCTAGAATGAGGGTCGAATATTACCATGCTGACATACTGTCTACTATCCTTCGGTCTTTTAATTTCATAGACCTCTGTATACGTGTCTTTTGATTAAAAGGGGTATCTAGAGCATCTCAATTTCTGCACAACTGCCGTACCACTGCAGCGCGTTTCTCAATGTAATAATAACAGAAAGAAATTTGGCTCATCGTTGTGTTTTGACATGCCCTAGTGTTTCACCCTAAGAGCAGTCCTTGATGAATCATTTCAAAGTAAGATGATATATGCAGGACATAAGGCATGTGGTTTCATTATGATTACAGGTCTTTTTGGTTTGACTAGCTCTACAGAAGGGGCCTTCTACGGCACGGCTCCAAAAATAGGCACTGATAAATAACGCTCGTCGAGTTTTCCATATTAGCTTCCCCCCGGGGGGGGACGGTTCTTTGATCATGCACTGCGCCTGAACATTCATTGTGCTGTAGTAGAGTTTGCCTAAGGTTGCCACAAGTATCCATACAGAACCTTTTGGCCGCACCCTAGCAACGAGCATACATATGAAGGGCCTCACAAGGCAGTGATCAAAATATACTTCAGAAACTGGACCCTTACGCCTGACGTATACGAGGAGACATTACAGTATAGGAGACACTGTTTCCTGAAGCGACGATTTCGACCTGGACATTCTCAAGCGGACACCCACTGTTCACTCCAAGATTGCTTTTCAATCTCGACAGAAGACGTCAGGACCGTTTGACTCCGGAATAAAGTGGATCTAGCAGAGTTTTGAAAGTCCAACTGTATCCCCCCAACGACTCTATTATCATAGTACGAATCATGATCAAGTCTATACTAATTTTAACCGAGTAGGTGTTATCTACGACTTTCTGAGGAGGTGTTTCCGCCGGACAGAGGTATGGTTCTGGGACTCCGTAATCATAAACTACGCAGATCAGTAGCCCATGGCAACGGAAAGGTGTAACAGAGGATTCATAGCCGGAAGGCAACTACAGGCCTTGCAGGGCCCTATGTACGCTGTCAGAATAGCATTCAAACAATGAATGACGTGGCTCTCTTCGCTTCAGGTGATACTCTAGTGACCCCATATCCACTTCCAGGAGGGCCGCCGTGCAGAACATAGATCACTACACGCTTGCGTGTTCACTCTATCCAGGCAGCGACGTTTCCTTCACTAGTTCCAGAGGAATAGGTTCGCCGCGGAGAAATATCCTATGCCAGATACGAAACTTTTAAGGCCTAGCCGCAGCCAACGAGGTTCTCACCTACGGGTAGGAGACGGCCACCACTTATCCGTGGTTATCTTGGGTCGAGGTGTTCCAGAAAATGCAGCAGGCAGCACTGCAATGCGGAGAACATTATTGACTTTTAGCTAGTACTTCGTAACCCTTGTTTGAACTGATTCAAGGAGATAATGTGGAACAATTCCCTATCCAGCTTATCGTACGCTTAAATACAGAGTAATTCAATTCCTTACCTGTATAGTCGCGCCAGTCACTAAGCCTCATCACACTCCTTGATGGGCAGAGGAATTGTTAGATGTGCTGCGTTAGTACCAGTGGCATGAAGCGATGGAATGTCGGAATGAATTCCGGGCTGTAGGGATTTTGCTTAAGGATATTCACAATATTGGCTAAGCATCAAGTAACACTCCAACTTATGAACGAGCTTCATGATAACGATCTACGACACACACGGGCTCTACCAAATGTGCATATCCTGATGCTCATATTGATGAACCGATGCTATAGTGGCATAGGGCTACTGGCGTTACATGTGACCTAGTAACAGTTCCCAATTCACCAATGGCTACAGTGCTCTCAAGGGGGTATATAAATAGCCAATTGCTCTACACATATTTACGATTAACCCTACGCTGGGGCCTTTATATCGACTAAGGTCTCTTTGAGAATGTGAGTGTGCTAGGTGAAGAACGCCCATCGGCCATGTACTCCCACCACAGTGGCTCTTTTATTAATTTCTTTTCGACTTTATTTTAGTTTCATCCTTTTTGTATCAACCCTATGATCGTATGGAGACTAGAAATTAAGTTCCCAATCAACAATGCGCATTTAACGGCAGCCTTCGAGTTCCAGACCGCTGCGTCTTTTCTTAAATGCGCGGTTAATTCTCATTAAGGATCCACTTTACATCTGCCGAATTCGGCAAGTCATCCAGCGGGGAGCCTTTCTAGGAGAATGGTCCGCTACCCACATTCATGGTGCTCTCGAGCATGATACGTCGTCCACGTGGGGAGCTTGTTTTGCTACTCTATTTCTAGGCTTTTGAAAACGGCTGCCTACTTGCGTCGCTGGGGGATGGGATCTTTGCGCGCCGGGGCATTGCCCTTACACGAAACCAGAGGTGGCCATGTTGCTCCAATCCACTTAATGAATCTACGTCATTTACAACAGAGAAGAACAGTATGATTGCAAAACCGAAACCGTCATTCGTCCACGACATTATACCGAAAGAAAAATGTACATATGAAAATAATAATTTCAAAATCCCAAATACACCCCAAGCAACACCCGATTACGACTTCTCGACTGTAGTTTCCCCTTCATTCCGAGCACCGGAACCTTCGCGGCCCCTTTCACACCCCTTCCCACAAGACCAGTACGCAGCAGATTTGCGCACCATAACCCCAATAAGGCAAATGGCACCACCCGCCACTACACCAAGTAAGAATGGAAGAATAGCCGGGTAAAAGACACGCAGGATATCCACTATAGGCACCCTGCTGGGTCTGTGACTACTCGGTACATATGAGTATCGGTCGGAACAAGGCGATTTACAAGGCCGCGACTTGAACGCCGACGTGAATGACCCGTAACTCTTCTCGCCGAACCTCCGGCCAGCATCGAGCCATTTGTGAACCTGGGACTCGGATTCGGACTCGGATTTATGGCTCCGACCCGCGTGCTTCGTCGGAGCTGATGGCCCCGAAGGTGTTGAGTGTCGGTGCCCAGGGGTGGTATTGCCTTGGCATTTTGAGTCTTTGGGACTAGGGTTTATTGTGATCATTGTGATCCGTAGTGTATCCTGAGTATCGCGGGAAAGTCCGATGGACAGCATATTGGCGTCTGTTGGATGTCCGGACTCGTCGAACAGGTTGAGATCCAGTCGGAACTGGTCGGTTATCGGGCCTGTTTGAAATCGCTGAACAGGGAGTATGTTCATCCCATACCGTAAAGTGAGTGTGTCGGGATCAGTTTTCTGTGATTTCGAGTACTTGGTAGCAGTCAGGCGCATTGGAAGGCGAGCTGGGAGAATGGTGTTGTTGTTCACCCGTAGCGAGTCGTTCTCGGTGGAGAAGGTCAATGCCTGTAATGTTAATCGTGGGGTGGGCTTGGGCTGTCGGAAGCACTTACGAGGTAGTCGTCTGAGCTGGAGCTTTCAGTAGGGCGGCTTCCGCAGATTGACGACGTATGGCATGGAAGATGGATCTCATGGCCGGAGGCAATTGGGAACGGCGAGCGATATTCATCATGATTCGAGTTTGGAGTGGCATCGTCTGGACTAGGTGGCGAAGTAGCAACGCAGCCGATGAACCACAGACACGCCACGGAGAGGGTTACAAGACGCATATCGCAGAGGAGTCAAGCGTTCTTTATCAGTTGTTGTAGTAATCACTTTCGTGACGGTTGGCCGGACGTGGACGGATTCAGAATCATATCAATGGAATGTGGACAGATAGGGTGGTGTAGTCGAACTTGAGACAGGGTACCATGGCTCACCAAGTAGGGTAAGTAGCGGTCATGTACCCTGCACGTGCTCAGAGAGAGTTGGGTCTATATGCACAGACGGCCCAGAGATAAGATGAAGAGACTTCTAACGGTGACCGGTACCATGACTCAAGTGCGAGACTTACTCTGCTGCCTATATCCACGCAACACGGGATGGTCGGGGTCCTCGGGTTCCGTCCACTCTCCCAGAAGATATTATCTCTTTACTTGCTGCAAGACACCGTAGATATGTTGCTTATTTGTACCTTTGATATTCCCCACTTCGACATCAAGTGAAAACGAACACTTGAATAATCTTCCGTTTGCAGTGCAGTTATGGGACGATTGACGCAGATAATTTGTGGGTCATGCTTAGAATAAACAAGCTTTAGTCAGAATTGCAGAGTCCTTTTCTTGGCTGGCGAGGGATTTATGGCAACAGACTAAGGTGTAGCTAGTTGCATCAACATTGATAGGAAACCATATTTTCTGTCTCGGGACTTGGAATGATCGGGATCGTCTAGATAGATACAATGTCCGAACTGAACTCAAACGACATATACCCCAATACTAGTGAGTAAATTGGTGGGGCTAAATGCAAGTGATGCTCGTTGAGTTAGAGGCCTACCAAATGGTCATTGGACTGCGCTAGATGTAAATTCGAGGATATATTATCTGAAAAGCAAAGATCGTTAAGCTGATTTCTATTCTACCTGACTAGAGTCGTAATGTTGTCCCTCCGTACTAAAGCGATCTCGAAGAGAATGAAGAGAATGGAACTCTCGCGTGTTGTACTTCTCATCTCTCAAATTCTCCAAACGTTCGATTTTCTTTTTCAGCTCTTTGATATCATGCTCAATCTCATGGCGGGGGGCCACCCAGTACTTCAAATTGTAGATCGCAGCAGAGATACACAATAGCGCAATGGACACTAGAGGCGACCACTGGCCAACCTGTTGTGGTGTTTCTTGGGACGGCCCATCGTGATGGATGTAGTATTCAATCCAAGCCACGAACGCAATAACGGTGAGTGGACTGACAACAATGCTGAATACGATGGCAAAGATAATGATGACATCAAAGGTCAACTTTGCCCACAAGCCCATTACCCGTAGAGTGAAAAATCGCGATGCGCGTTTCCATAGTGGTAATTTCGTTCGCGGCTTCTCCACCATACTTTGACGATGGTCTCTTGATGTATCAACCGCCGCGTGAAAGTCTTCTTTCAAGCCTCTAATAATGTTCTTTCTCTCATTCCAGATCTCCCATACTCGCGATGAAGGGACCCGAGAATGGTATGGTAACACCCTGATCATCATCAACAGGACATTCAGTATCATGCTGAGTGCGACCAGACTGTAAATGTATCGCTGAGAGTAGATAACCTTGCCCCAGAATTTATGGCGCTTCGTGAATCGATTTTCTCCCGATGCTACAGTCGCCTGTAGCGAAGTTTGCTGGCGTAGTACCTGCGTGGTGTTGAAACACGGATAGAAACAGACATCATTTAGCTGAAGTAGCAACGTGTCATTGCTGAAGATGTCCCATACACTGCTATTCCAAGTCGATGTGAGCTGCCATGACTCCCATCCATCACTTGATACGGGTGATATCGGAGGCAGCTGTGGCAGACAGAAGGCGTATTGAATTGGGGTCTTCTTCAGCCTGGGCCAGTAGACCAGGGAGCATATTGATCCCGCGAACATAAGAACGTTCCAGAGCGTGAATATAATAGAGCTTATCCGTTCTTTAGCGTATACGCGCGACCAACATTGGAGCGGTAAGAACACGAGATACGCAGTCACCACAATAGAAAGTACCGCGTCTGCGTCGAGTTCTATAGCTGCGGGACTGATCTCAATTTCGTTGGTATCAGTGACCAGGGCTGGAAAGTCATCCCATAGGCTGGTATTATGAGGAACCCGGGGGATAGAGACTGCTTGTGGGGTGCGATGTTTTGTGGAGCTAGAGACCAAGATGAACGCTTGAATCGCAGCTGTCCCGGCGTATGTAGCTGCGGCACCGAGAAAAACATCTGCCAGCCAGCCAGTCCAGCGTGTAACACATACTGCCAGGAGCAAAGCGTAGAAGAGATATCGTGGACACGAGTCATAGCTCGTGCTAATGGGATAGGTACAAAGGACCTCTTCGACGACGAAGAGTGGCGACCGTTCCGTCGTGTTCATCTTTGCTGGTGATCTTTGGACGGCTATAACATGCCTGTCTGGTTTTCGCTTCTTCTCTCTTTTGTCTTTCGAGCTCTCTTCCTCAGGGGTGGTCCGTGGTTAGAGGAACAGGTTCAGGGGGATTGTCATCCACTATCGAAATAATTTCGTGGGCGGTCTGCAGGATTGAGCGAAAAGTTTATCTACTTCTGCCTATGATGACCGAATTTGGCAATTGAACCGCGGGAGATCGACGCCGCTATTTGGGACTAGCGCCAGTTTTCAACGTGGCGGTGGCTTGATCCTCATGCTTTCACACAGCCACGAGCCCTTTTTCTGGTTCAACTTTTCTCTTTTTCGCCTACTACTACGGACGGAGTACTCCGTCCAATTGTGGGCTTTAATACTTTTGTCTATATATATCTGTGACGTCATTTGACTTGGCAAGTCCCCTCTTGGCCAGTTCGCCATTGCACCCCAATGTGGGTCAACTCATCTAGTGGCGAAATATATATCCACGCAACTGATTTTATTAGAGACTAATGTTGCAGAGTAGCACGCCATAAGGTGTATACACAACAGGCAAAGTCATGATGCATAAGAATTGCAGAATAATAAAGTGACTTAACCGAAAAATGATAAGGCATCCCACGGCCTCCTGTTAGACTTGCCGTGAAATGCCCAATGTCGTACATAGTTCCTATCACATCCCAGACTCGTACGGCCCATTAGTCCCTCTATACTGCACTCCGTAAGGATTGACGGCGGCAAAATCATCCCATGCCTCGCAGGTTCCTCTCAGGAGCTCTGGATTCAGGAATTTCCAGAATTCAGTTTGCCGCTCAACAATCTGCTGCACAAAGCCTGCAGATGAGTGAAAGCCCATATGGCAGTGTAGAAGCCACGCCCCCGGATTATCGGTCGGAAACGCTATCACCAAATACCCTCCGTTACTCTGGGCCGGCAGTAAGGCGACATCCCGTCTTGGAGGGTTATGGGTCTGCAAGGGGATGCTTTTGGAGAATGGCCCGACACCTTGGGCGAGAATATAGAAGTCGTGGCCTGACAAATGGCGCGATTATTAGCTCATTGAACGAAACATAGAATGCAAGACAGATGCCAAAGAAAGGTAGACTCTACCATGAAGATGGATCGGATGTGGGACTCCCTGGTTAGTGGTTATGATGAACATAACCCATTGGTTTGCTTGGGGGAGTTCAATAGCTCCCGGGTCAGGGATCGTGCTGTTTAAGCCGGTGGTGGGGGAATGTTGGAGGGTAGGGTCTTTCCAAGAAACGTTGAAGGCCCGGCCGCCAATCGTCCATAGAAATATTCCAGGGCTTCCGGCGGCAGTGGGAGCGACTGCATCGTTAATGTTGGTTGCATTGGAGATCATAGCATTCAGGGCGACCCAGGGAACAAGGTCTGACGTTGGCCTGTCTAGACATTGAGTGTCGTCTCCATAATCCCATTTACCAGTCGTTGGCTCTCGGTCATCTTCTGCCCCCATATAATGAAGAATGCCTTTGATGTTGTCACCGGTCGGGATATTAGAACAAGCTGACTGAGGAACGGACCTGATCCAGTAGTTATCCACGGGTTGGTCTGCTTGGACGATAATATCGTAGCGCTGACCCATTGCGATCGGAATGTTATTGGTAGTGAATGGGACGATTGGCACAAAATCATTGGCTATAACCGTTAGGTTGTGGTCGTCTATTGAGAATTGGAAATGAGCGTGCATAGCGGCGTTCACAAGGCGAATCCTATACTTCTGCCCGGGGACGACCTCTGTCTTGAACCTTTGGCCAACTGTATCACCACCACTATTGACCCAAACGTTGGTCATATTAATAAGACCAGTATCTATCACTGGTGTAGCAGGGTTTCTGATCTGGCCCATATACATTTCATTAAAGGTGCGATGCGGCCAGTCATTGAGAAATAGCACACCAAGGTCTTCGTTGTACTCAGCTGTTGCAGGGCCATGAATTACAATGCCGCCAAACACTCCCTCCCATGATTGAAGAGAAAAGTGGGAATGATAGAAGCTTGTTCCATACTGCTCGGCCTTCCAGGTATAGGTATAACTCGTCCCCGGGGCAATTGGGCACTGGGTAACCGAGACAGTGCCGTCCATTTGGTTATTCAGAAACTGTCGGACGCCATGAAAATGGATGCTGGTGCCATTGTTTTCCAGACTGTTCCGTACATGAACCTTGACAGTGTCTCCCCAGTCTGCCTCGATTGTGGGGCCTGGATACTGTCCATTGATAAGCATCATCGGCCTATCGACGCCATCAGGGGCTGCTGTGACATTGGTGATATCAAGCCAGTATTCTCTCACGACGCCTGTGGCCGGGAATTTGGAATAGTAGTCGGTGTTGATAGTGAACCTTTCGTTATCTGAAACCCCCCCGGATAGGATACCTGGCCCAGATGAGAAGGGGCCTTCAAACTGTGGATTGGTGTGCTGAATACTCGTGGCAAGCACGACGAAGACGAGTGGGAGAAGTAAGGTCGTCATGCTACAAGTGAAAACTCAAACCAAGTCGAATCTTCGCACGAGTGTGATTTTCCTGTTAAGTTTAACTGCCATAGATGACGAAGCACATTTTATATCTATAGTATTGGTGCAAATGCCGCTCTTACGGCAATTGATACCATAACGCCCCTACTCCTTGCTATGCCCCTTGAGCCCCCTTAGTTGCGATGTCAACATGACATCGACGTAGGTGCAACAGCTCTTCAAGATCACTGTGATCCATCACAAGGGAATCCCTTGCCGAGCAGACAAAGCAGTACTCAATACCAACCTGTAACTGGTTCTGAAGAATCAAGATGGCTGATTCTTCGAAGTCCAATGGGATGATATTACGTGCGTTGCTCGCCATTGTGCGCTGACAATGACAAATCAGCACACCAAGGGTGACCATTTGCACCTTGTATTGCTGCGCCCTGATGACCGAAGGCGGCGTCGAGACCACGGCACATGATACAGATGTAGATAATTCAGTAGTTGGATATGCATATATTGTAGATATTAAACCTCTATCAGATATACTCGGAGGCGTCGGTGGCGCCAGCCCCAAAAAACTTTACATCCCTGTCAATGAGGCTGCTATGGGGTTTCAAAGATAATTATGAATGATGTGGTAGAAACCTGGGAGATAAATCAGGGACACCTGCATGACTTCTTGGAGCTGGATGCAGGAGGATACGAAGGGGTTGATACGGAGATTATATTAATATTACATCAATGTGATTAAACCTCGCTAGATGTTACACGTAGTATGGTGGCACAAATATTTATATTGCTCAGGGGAACCTGTTTCACAACTAGAAGACCGTGCGTATAAGCCTTGCCGACGATATCTATAGTTTAGAAGTCCATTCGCTGAAACATGCTTGCTTATTGAGCGAGCAAACATGTCTGGAACGACAACATGGAAGATACTATAGCTTTCGAGAAGACAAGAAATACCGCACTTTTCGCAGTCATTGCCGCCAATACTCCCTTCCAGCCAGCTGGCTGCTCCTCCACAGGGAGAGGACCAGGCCTATCCCGCTAAGCCCTGCATGAATAGTGACGTACGTGTAACCACCGGTTAATACATTAGCAAGCTGAAAGCAGTGGGTTGATAGTTCGGGAGCTTTCCTTAATATCAAAGGGACACGGGTGCGTTGTCCGACTAATATGCAATGGCATTGGGATTTCCTACTGCCAAGGAACATATACGAGTCTGTACAACGCAATCATTTCCGTGTGGCGCAGGGCACGAGGCCAGCCTCACCCAGAAAGAGTTTAAATCAGACCGGAAATAACTAATACGATATGGTAAACAATGTCAAGAATAGTCTCATATTGTTTAGGAGCACCTTCCTGCTCCCGCCATATCCGGGATTTCCTTGTACTGGCTAATTGTTACCCGAAAGTTTCTATATAGATATCCATCGCTTGAGGTCGGAACACCGCCAACATTATTTGATTAATCTGCTGCCCCCAGCAGCCTTGGACAACAGTCCTATCTTCTATAGCAATTTATTTATATTGTATATTCCAATCTAATATCCTACCCAACCTCTTCTGGTAGTCTACTACCCGCTGATTCCAAGTAGAATTTCAATATATTGCCTATATATTATACTGGAAGTTAGCCCAGGATCTCAATACCCCGATAAATACTGTATAGTAGAGAGTATTGTCTATAGTATAACTTATACTTATTAAGAGATCAGTAAGTTAATCCTGTACTATTGCACTGGTATGAAGACTATTGAATACTATTTTAAATAAGACTGGCTTGGCTGCAGAATATCTTTGTGGCACAGCGGGCGCGTCGTTACCGTGTGGATAAGTGCCCACTCTGACCATTCTACTTACTGAAGTTCGCTACCGCACCTTTCATATTCTCAATCAATGCCTTGCCATTGAAGAAAGTAATCCATGAACAAAGGATGGTTGACTGTCGGGCAATAGAAGCTCTGCACGCTGTTTCCGATATTGTTCAGCTCTTCACGGGAAAATACATCCTTAATTGTATGAGACAGGGGTTTCCTCGGTTGTCGAAGCTCTTTACCGGGAGTACATCATAGCCGTCGCCTCGAACCTGCACCCGTTGAATCGAGGTTCGTACCGTATTGTCTATTCGGTCTGCTTTGCTCTTCCCCCTTTCTCGGTGTTTCATGAGACTAGGCTCTGCGTTCTTTGCAACTCGTGTGTCGGCGGCGAGTACCCTAGATGTTCCTCAAGGGTGCCTTGTGCCTCCCCATATAGGACCAGAGAGATAGTCATTATATGCCTACGTTAACCACAAATATCGCGCAGATAAAGCTAAGCTGTGTATGGCACTTTTGTCGGCTGCGTTCCTAAAATTAGTAGTTTTCTAAGTGGGGAGGATAGATAATGCAAACCTGAGCATGAAATGGAGAGAATAGGTCTCCGCACAACTATAAATTGAGATAAATAATACCAAACAATGAGGCAAATATGAAAGGATAACCGATATTGTGGGTTGAACGCTTAGTTGTACTGATGCCGAGCATGAGGGTTTTGACATGGGCGTTCCCGAGCTATACATTATTACAGTTTAACGTATAACGAAAGGGATATGATAAGGCTTGTTCCATTGTTGGACTGACGTGATCGGTGTATATTGCCGTCAATTAGTACCGAAGGCCAGGTCAACCAAGACAGTTTCATAGCTCCTCCACCGACGAGGACCCGGTGAGCTGGACGCGCTGATCTTTCTGTATCTGTCTCCAACAAGGAATTATGTATCCCGTGACAAGGTGTATACAAACAACAGTATATTCCATCAGCAGCCCCATCAGTAAAAACGGAGCATTTGGTCCGGCTAGACTGTTCCATCGAAGGTCGGATCCGCTCAGAACAGAAGGGAAGAGGTAGGTAACACGAACAATGATCAAAGGTAAGGATAAAGCCATACCTTTGAGAACCTATCAAATATTGGTTAAACCCCTCCAGAATGTCTTCATCGTTGTATGACTTACAGTGAGGCTGATATCCAAAATATCGGTGCAGTAGACCCATAAATATGCCTGCACGGCTAGCAAACAAGCGATGAAGACCACTGCGATACTGTAACCGGCCTTGGCAAGTTTGACACCAATTATAACGTCACTAGCACCGTCACGTCCCTCAAGGTATCCACCAAACCCTTCCTCCATCGAGTAGCGGATTGTCTCGCACAAGGCCCTGGTATTTTACATCGCGTACAAATGCTGCCCCACCTGAACCCTGGCCAGCAGGCCGACCTAATTCACAAGCTGGTCCGTGAATGCCGGCAAATCGAAAAGAGACTAGACAGGATCCTTGATTAGATGAAGCTTTCCACTTCAGAGCTTCTGCGTGGAAGCTGAATCAAGCAGGGATCTCTTTCCGGTTATGTTCTGGTTCACTGACCTTGAAAGCGCCACAACTCTCATGTTATTCTGGGCGATGCGGGTAATGCTTTGGTCGGGCCTTTGCAATCTATATGGTACCACTGAGCCCAGGGTGTTTGTGAATAGTGTCGTTGATACCAGTCTGATCCATCAATCAATCAATCAATCAAGAAAGATTCTATTAACCTGTTCCAGCCTAACTACTGAATGATACCAGTCCGGTCGACCCTTCTATCAGTGAAGCATCAGAACTACTTCCTCCTCTGCGCCACCGCACAGACTATCTTTCTACGGGTCATTACATCTGCCAATCCATGGATTATATTTCTGCATGATGCGCTCTCGCTGGCTGGGCCGTTATCAGTAAGCCAAGCGCTTGGTATTGCTATTGATACCTTACGGGAAGACTGCCGCTGTGCTCAAGAGGTTACGTGGCTAGGGATTGCACTGGGAGCTGTTCAAGGGAAGGGGGTGGGCATTCTGAAATATGCCCGCTCAGGGCTATAAGCAGCGGCGTTAATTGGGTTTACAGACTATGGGAGCGAGTGATCGCTCGTTCATCATAAAGCCTTAATATTCTTCCCCGACAGACTAGCTGTCCATTTATTAGCGTCTATAATCCCGTTTACTTCGTCTACTGTATGTAGAAGAATACTACTATATACTAGTACTGACACCAATCTTAGAGCCGTGTAGATGGTTGACGGTGAATGTGAAGTATATGGACGCGAGAACGTTCGCGTGCTGTATTTCCTTTTTGGGACGCGTTGTCGCCAAGTCACCAAGTGGGCCTTTACCAACACAGTTAACACGTGCTAACTGTGCTACGAAGATACTGTGAAGCTAAGCCAATCTTATTCAAAATGGCATCTAACAGTCTTCCTGCCAGTGCAATAGTGCAGGATCGACTTCCTGATCTCTTAATAGGCATAGGTCACACTACAAATAATGCACTCCACTCTATAACATTTACTGGGACATTAAGACCCTGGGCCAATTTCCCGCGAGATGTGGAGGCGATATATTTGAATTTCGTGTGGAACCGGCGGGTCGTCGACCACCGGCAGAGGTCAGGGAGGGTGGCAGAGTGGAATATACAATTTGAGCAGACCGCGGTCGGCAACGAAACCGGTGTGCAAGGCCACTGGGGCCAACATGTCAACCAGGTTATGTCTTCGGTGTTCCTATCGCAGAATATAGACCTTGAAATGGGCGACTTCCGAGCCACAACTAGCAGGTATAAGAAGGTCCCGGATATGGCGGGAGCAAGTCGGGCTACAGGGGCCCTACGACTGGTTGGAGAGCTGAAGACTCCCTGGGTTGATAATCATTGTCTGTCAGACGCCATGCATGATGAGAGTGACTTCAGACATATCCTAGGTGGGTCGGGCTTGGTGCTACCGATGATAACTGGTCTGGACAACTTTAACATAAGGCTATAGGACAAATAGCGGAGTATATGCAGGACAACAACGTCATCTATGAATTAATGTCCAGTTACAACGAAACAATATTTCTAAGGCAAGTAGCCGACGCTGCCATAGGTTGGAAGCTCCAGTATAGTCCAGTAGTTCAACACAGCGTACAGCCAAGGTGTTATTGTCAGTCTTCATCAGTGCGTCTTTTACATTGGGCATCTGGCCGAAATTGCCCATAGGGCCAACAACAGCTCCACAAACTGGGTGGCAAACTTGTAAAAGGTGGCGATTTTGCCTTCTAGAAGGTCATGAAACGAGGAATGGTGAAGATGTATCGTTATTTTAACCGGACGAAGACATCGCTGTACTGGAACAACCTTACTGCAACCAGTAAATTTGTTCATGCTAAAATGTAATAGTAGCACTAGAAAAGGGTCCAGGATTACTACTGGGTGCTCACCGGGTCACGGCTGCAAATAAAGAAGGGCATCACTGGTATAAAACATAACCTCCACACAAGGCTCACATGGCCATGTATCTCATCGTGGCCCTTCGCCTGTTTACATGGTCTTCATCCAAAGACCAGTGTTTCCACAGATACGAGTCCCATTCCCACGGGCCGGTTGTGAGCTCAAAAGGCCCCTGAAAATGCCTGCAGATAGTAATTTTAGAACAGTGTAAAGACAATCCAATGTATATCGTAGACTAACAGTTTTCCTGACTCACTGTCCCAGAAAAGCCTTGTCCGAGCATCCCAACTCGGGCGGACATCATACTGGGCAAACGAACTATTCAAAAGATGGGTGTTAGTCACTAGAAGATAATAACTCGATGAAGCGACTTGCCTGTATGCAGTTTTCAAGGCTGCACGGATTTTATCTTTCTGGGGGTTTGGAAGGGTGTAAAAAAGCCCTTCGCCGATAGCTCCTGACAGCAGCCGAACTCCCGGAACTTTGGTGAACGCTAAATAAAACAAATAGCCCCCTGGAACCCAGCCATCCCGACCTTGGGATTCTACCTTGGAGCCGATAAGTATAGGGGTATGCTCAGAGCCGATATCCTTCAGCCTTTGGTAGCATGCACAGTCATTAAGTGCAGAATTGGGGATGTCAGATGAGGCTTGCTGCGCTCGAAGGTCTGGTGATGTAAACTCCGTCCCTGTAAAAGGGATTTGCATATAGACTACCATGTAGGCTTGGTGGCCCGGATTGCCAGCCTCTTCGCAATGAAAGATTGCCCTACAACACGGAACGCGTAACCCATATCGTAACTGATTCTCCTCCATCTCATAAGCGTACTCGTCGACTTTGGAGGTAATGCGCCACTGGGAAGGCAAAGGATCAACGAAGGCGACAGGATTGGGCATAAGGCCAGGATAAATAAAACTTGGAGACGCCATCTTTGCAGCTTGGTGACTGGAGTGACCAATGAAAAGGATGATGGAGAGGGAGGCAAATGCGTTTGTGGTGCTGAATAGTGCTAGGTTAGGTGACAGTAGACCCGGTGAATTGCGGAGGATGATTCCAATTTATCTCGCAATTACGTAGTAAAACTACTCTACTACTTCACTTACAAGCGGGGTGCCATCTCAATTGGTCGGAATATCCAGGCTTCTTACTTCTGTCAGGTTTACTACGATTTAAAGAACCGGCACAAAAGGGTATAACCAGTGTCCGACTTGCAATATGATATACGTATTGATGTAATCAACCCACGTTTAATCGCCCCAGTGAATCCATTGACTTTGTTTACACTTACGATACTTTTTCAATTTATATGTATAGTTTGAGATATATCTCTGGAGAAACCAGTGAAGTCAGCAAAAATGACAGATATTTCAATTACATTGTTTTGACTATGAACACATAGAAGCAACGAGTTCTGAAGAAATAGTTAAAAGAAACGACAAAATGGCAGAGTATAAGAGATTGTCGAAAAGACGATTTGTAGTGTAATGGTTGTTCTCGGTATGTAGAGCGGAAAGCCCACAGGTCTCAATTTAAACACCGCGCCTAACCGTGTGTTTTCTGTTGTCAGCCAGAGTTGCTTTGTATTCTAAGTAAACCATTGAGAAATGTGGGGAATCGTAGGTAAGCGCTAATTCACTAGTAGCTGCTGGGCTGCCCTGCTGCACAGCCTCACTTCCAGCTCCTCCTGTCTTGATCATCATGCAAGAAACTCCGCCAAGAACCCCGCCTACGTTGTGATTTCTGGACTATATTGTGAACAGAAAAATACCATTTCGTCAAAAAAGACCGCATAGGGAAAGCTTTGACCGTTGACCGCAGATTTTATACGGTAACCCAGAACACTATGCCGCTTTCCAGCACCTGTCAAAATTGTGCCAAGTCCAAGGTTCGGTGTGTACGAAGTAGTGAAGAGTCGGATATCTGCTCTCGGTAATGGTGCTGGTGCGCTACTCTAGCTTTTATACGATAGCTAATTGAAACTGTATAGGTGTGCGCGCTTAAACAAACAATGTGTATATCGTGAGACCGGTCGGCGCTTCAAGGGGTTCAAAAAAGATCGGTAGGAAGTCCTCGTAAAAGGATGAAGATATCACATAGCTCACTTGACAGTGCAGGCAGATTGAAGCTCTGGAGTCAAGGATCAATGAACTCATGACCCACTCTAAATTAACTCCAGCAAACCAAACAACCCGTGGAAATGCTACACACAGCCTGAACGGAGAAGAAACAGACGAAACCAGGTTGGACGTCATTGCGCAAGGTCTAGTCAATATGGAAACTGCGCAGTCGTTGATAGATCTCTATAAATCGGACATGAGGTTACATTTTCCATTCGTCGTTATCTCGTCGCAGGTCACGGCTTCAGATCTCCGGCAACAGAAGCCATTTCTCTTTCTGGCCGTACTTGCATCCGCGGCATATTCCAACATGCCACTTCAGAGATTGCTAGGCAAGGAAATAAGAAAGGTCATTGCTTCTCGCATGGTCCTGCACGGAGAGGTTTCGTTTGAGCTTCTACAAGGAATGCTGGTCTTTCTCGCTTGGTAGTTGACCCTGGAACAACCCGTTAAACCCTCTCTGACATTTCTCGACAGGTCCCATTACCATTCACGACCCCATCGCTACACGCAGTTCCTACAGTTGGCTATAGGCCTTATGATCGAGCTACGGCTGGATCGGCCACCACAGACGAAGACATGGAAGACGGCGCTCAGATTCAACACGGAATATGCACTGGACGATGAAAAATATGTTCGACCATCCTGGGGCCTAGACGAGCAGAGAGCAGTTGTTGGGTGCTATTACCTGTCATCCACGTAAGCTTCCTATTGCCCCCAAAGCACGTACCGCAGTTTCTGAGAAAGATGAGCTAGGATTGCCATTCTTTTACATAAGCCGTCTTGTTTCCCAAATATAGCTTCCTATCTCGAACAATGCTGCCAGTCCCTATACAATGAAGGTGAAGCCTCTCATGACAAATATATCTTGCACGTATTTCAGTTGCAGGTTATCGCGGAAAAAATAAACAACCTGTCTTGGAATCATGGTATAGAGCTGGGAAGCACATGTTCTGCGGCGCAGCTATATGTCAGCAACATTAAATCTGACTTGGATAGACTACGCAGTCAGCTTCCTCTTGGCTTTTATGAAACTCGTGAGTACCCTCTTCAACCCTGAAGTAACGTATCTGATAGGCTGAGAACTGCTTTCTTCAACCATTCAGCGGTTATGGCCATGCAGCTTTATAGCACAGAGTTATGTTTGTACCAACTGAGCCTTTCTCAGAAAAGCGCAATGTCCTCTCGATCAGCATATTCTATAGTCTCCGAGACTTGGTGGGACGAGATCTTCTGTTCTGGCCTTACCGCGGCGGAGAACATTCTAAACATGTACATGGGGCTGCCGCCAGGGGGCGAACAGGCGTTCAACAACACTCAGTGGGTACAAATGGCGTTCTGCATACTGGTTGCTTCCCGGCAAGTCGTCGCAGCTTCACGCATGGGAAAGGCGACACTACTTCCACAGATTCACACGTGGCCGGAAACTCTAGAGAAACTGCGGCAGCGCCTGGAAGCATTATCTACAACGCAGGTGGATCTGGATGGCGATCGGGATGTCTTTAATGAATTTGAGAAACGCGTTTGTCGCATCCAGGGCTGGTTCGATCGCAACTTCGATAACTCAGAATCAGCCTTTCCCCCACGGAGCCTTACCGAAAGACAAGATGTAGGTCTAGATGCTGCAACTGGACTGCCGTATGGCGCTTCGATTGTTTCCTTGGACATGTCAGGGCGTCCGTCACCGATTGGGGATGACTTTCAGTTGGCTGGGGATTTCTTCCTCCCTTCAAGTCTTGAAATGATGACTGATTGGATATAATACGTTGTCCCGCATTAATCAGCCTACAGAGATTTGGCCAGTGCCTGGCTGTATATGTACCAACCTGCTACTAACTTTACTTGGATCGTCATTTTTTGAGCTTTTTTTGTAGCTTTTTCTTTAGCGTTTTCTTTATATATTCAGTTTGAAATTATTTTCTGTCCATCTTCCCCAATACTAATTTTTAATGGTAGTTTGTGGGTAAGGCCTCCTTTGTACGCGAGGCTGTGTTGGCGTTTGTATCAAGGCTTGGTCGCATCTCCGATCCGATCATCCCAATGCTGGGGCCGGAATAGCTTCAGATTTGTACATCTCCGACCCGAGCAATTGGAAATAAATATGCAACCCAAGTCACCCAAAGATGACACTGTCTAGTCGAAGCATCAGAAGCAGTATCCTATGTCACAATGTCTAAATCATACTTTACCATCGTTTTCACCGTTATTTGTCTTTTTCATTCTGTATCTTCATTTACTCCTTGTCCGCTCTTAGGACCAGCATTCCCAGCACTCACCCTCGACAAAAACTCCTCAATACTGACATCTGCCCTGGCCGACCTTACCAAGAAATTTGATGAGCAAAATAGCCAGGGGTCCGGTTCCCACGGAGATGTCTCTCCCAATACCACCTCGTTCAGTATGTCGCTTTTCTCCACCAACCAGGGAACTGCGAGTGACAGTCCATTCTTCTTCGACTATCATTACACTGCCCCTTCAGTGAAGAGCTCAACCAGTCAATCTCAACATGCGAGTCGGGACAGCATTTATCGCATCGGTGGACTTACGCAGATCTTCACCGTCTGGACTAGTCTCATTGAGGAAGGCGACACCATCTGGAACGATCCTGTGACGAAGTATCTCCCTGAGCTAGCTTCAGCTACAAAGGGTGCGCACGCGAAACAGGATCCCCTTCGGTATGTGGATTGGGATGGCATTACTGTGGGCCAAATAGCCAGTCATATGGCGGGTCTTCCTAGGAGCTGTGAGTAATTTCAAAAGAACAACATTACATCTGGTACCGAGCTAACCATCCTGCTTATAGACTGTACGGATGATATAGGTAAAGAGGGCTCCAGTATCGATGATGAATTACCACCGTCCAATGATAGCAGTACTTGCACATCCACTAATCGCTCTCAAGCTGGTATGACACTAACCTTCTCAATACTACATATGCAATCCTAATATATCTACTCTCCAGGATCGCTTGCCCTCTTAGCTCAACAACCTCCAGTTACCCCTCCAGGAGTAACCCCGGTCTACTCCAACGTTGGATTCCAAATCCTAAGCTATATCATAGAGAGGATCACAGGCCAGCCATTCAACGACGTCCTCGAGAGCCGCATTCTCCAGCCACTCTCCCTCGGTAAAACAAGTCTACACACCCCTTCACGTAATTCGTCCAGAATCATCCCAACAGACCCCAAAAGCAGCGGGTGGTTCACCCAATATGGGGGAGAAGCGCCGTAGGTTCTCTACTGCAAACTCCATCCTAAAAAATGAGGCTAATCAAAGATACAGAGCCCTCTCGATGTATTCGACAATCACCGACCTCTCTACTGCCGGAAAGGCAATTCTCAACTCAACCCTCCTACCCCAAACCCAGACAAATCGCTGGCTCAAACCAGTCACCCACACATCCAATCCAGCCAACTCCCTCGGCTACCCATGGATCATCTACAGCAGCGGTGACTATCCCAACATGTCAATGGTAGACATCTATACCTATTACAGCAGCATCGGCCAGTACAGCTCCTACATCGGTCTCGTGCCAGACTACAACGTTGGCTTCACCGTTCTCGCAGCCGATAGCGTCTCAGCACCAGACTTAAACGCGCACGCTGATATCATCGGTGATATTATCTTGCCTGCGTTGATGAAGATGGCGGTTAAACAAGCGGGCGCTCGGTTCGGTGGCCAGTATACCGCTACTGCTGGGCTTAATTCCTCGATCACTGTGTCTGTTGATGAGTTGCCTGGGATGTATGTCGAGAGATTCATCAGTAATGGGACAGATTTCCAGGAAACCTTGGCTTCGTTAATTGGGCTTGAAGATCCGGACGCGTTAAGTATCCGGTTGTATCCGACTGGACTGGTCTCGGAGACAGCATCAGGTGGTTCCAGGATGGCATTCAGGGCCATTTTGCAGAATAAAAATGAGCTTGCTGATGCTGGGACACAGACTTGTGTTTCGTGGATGGATGTGGATAAGCTGAAATATCAGGGTCGTGCGCTGGACTCGTTTGTTTTTGAGGTGGATGGCGATGGAAATGCTATTGGGATTGAGGTGCCGGCTTTGGAGCTGCAGTTGAAGAAGGGTAAGTAGGTCGATGCGAACATATCTGTATCTGTTTGACTTTGGCTTTTATGTGGTGCTAGTCATAGTTGTAGAGATGTGCCCTATATGGGCAATAGGAGGACCAAATTGTACATTGTTATTGATTCTACTAATGATTCGAGTTATTCAAGGACTAAGAGTTGTTATCGGGGCGGGATTAGATACCGGGAAGCCCGATAAATCCTATTCCGGACAGATCGATCTGCCTGGTTCAGTTGTTGGGAGGGCTGTATAGCGAATGAGTTAGATATATGCCAGCAAAGCATGGGTGGAGGGGAGCAACCATAACACCAATAAATCACTGGCTGTTGTCTTTGCAAGGCCATGCGGCAACGCCCTCGGAAGGCCCTAATGTAGGCCAACAGGTCAGTATAGCCAGACATATGCACGCGACTGGTGAATTTGATCTAATTGACTGCGTCCTGGCCAGCCGGACGCGCCATCAGCCGTCACACTGTGTTTCCGCTGGCTTCCCAATATCAATTCCATATCTCTTTCTATCCCACCATCCAAGTCCGAATATAAGTCCGTTCAATATTCCCCGTCTTGTCATCTCCTTATCGTCGTACCACTCTGATCCTGGTGGGAAAACGTCGGATTTCAATATGTCCGAACCAGCTAGTAGTGTCATAGCGCCAGCGATAGAGCAAGGATTGATAGGGAGTATTTTCCTCGTTCGAGTGCCGAAAACCGCAATAAGAGAGCATATTGTCATAGCGGCAAGGCACCCTTCCAAGATGCGTGTGGAAATCTCACTTTGCACAAGACGCACTCGTGTAGGGTCTGAGATGGTTCCGTTATACGGTATCGAGGCGGAGGGGGCAGTTCGAGCATCAAAATTGAGATATTGAGCCGTAAGAACGCGGTAGAGATGCTGCGTAGCATTAATGACTGACGGCATGGCATCTGGATTCACGATGTCGGATGTATTCAAGGCTCCCTGAATGCTCATCATAATGGAGAAAAAGCTGTCAAAGGCCTTGTTGCCAGCGCTGTTGGTGATATTGGGCATGGTAGAGGTCATGACCGGCACGGCGAAGCCTGGAAAGGGCTTCATAGTTGATTCGTCCACACTCATTGACTGGATCTGCAGCCCTGGGTATGCAAAGGTCGTGTTGGCTTGAACCTGGTTCGCATATGGTTTGCAGGTGAATCCGTGGACGCCACTGGTGGAATTGTTCGGGGTCAGGGTGCCGTACAGTACTGCTATGTTGGGACAGTCGCCGAAGAAGGCTATATAGTCGTTGAACTGCCCAAACACTGTCTCTGTGGAGTTTGGGCTGTCGCTTTCGACTGTCATCCTTGTACCAGAATATGCTTGGCAGCCGGGGCCAAAGTTCATATGTAACTCCCACTTAGATGAGTCTCCGGCGGGAAACTCTTTCAATGAGATTTTTTCCTGCGGGAAGGCGGTGCAGTTCGCATTTACGCGGAGCGCTGGAATTGTCAGATCGAGTAGAGCAGTGTCATCGGCGGATTTGTTTGATGGTTGGTAAGGGATATCCCCGTCAAGGTCAGTCAGGGACCCCTCCCGCAGAATTGGAGTGATGAGCTCGTCATACGTCCAGGCTGGATAGGACATGTTTCTTGCCACAATCAACGACCCAATAAGCGATGATCCTGACGTATCACCGTAGGCAGGTCCTCCGTGTTGGTTGAAAGAATCACTAGCCATTATAGACACTGAGCGAGGAACAGGCGCATACTCGGTCGAGTATAAACCACTGACAGCGATGGTTAAGATAGGGGCGATTATGACCGATAGGGCAGATGCAGCGAGGACAAACTGCTTCTTGAACAGGGCACAGCAAAATGAATACAGTGTGATCTTGGATAGGTGGTTCTCCATGATGCTGCTAGCTGTAGCTGCGCCGCGTTTTAGTTCAACATAGGGCTGGAGAATCATCGAAGAGAAGTGAATGCCATTCGTGAAGATCCGCACTAGCAACATGATCAATGCAGGTATATACACCCAAACGTATTGGATGTAGCCTTCAGACGTGATGGTTCCAAGCCCGTCTTGGCGGTGGGATTCTTGATATGCAGCCTCCAGTCCCGCGATTATCAAGATAGGAAGGAGTATTGAGACAATCTGCCACCACCTGGAGATGGAATGCCACCAAGAGATGGTAACATCGGTATCGGGTGGTTGAGAGTCATTCTCTCCCTGGTATATTGCCTCGATGCGGAATATCTTCTCGCCGTCCTGGTCTGTAGCCTTGCCAACGTATCGACCACCAGTCAACCTCGCTTTCATATTTTTCTTATTCAGTGTGCCCTCGAGCCGATCCATCAGATGGGAACTCCTGGATAGTATGGCTGCGAGACCGGACAAAGGGCCAGGATCACATGGCGTTGAACGCACTGGTCTGCAGGCCAGCATGACTGCAGCTATCAGAATCAGAGCAGCCAGAATCGCTTCCATCGCTCGCACAGACAGTTCTCGGACCATAAGTCTTGGCTTGGTGGCGGAATATGTTCCTGTGAACGGAGTATCGGAAGGGGTCATGAAGTGTTGTCGTGCAATCTGTGCAACTATCGACTGGTATGTTCCTGTTGAAATATTCTGGAAAGACGACGGTTCAAAGAGACTCTCCGCGTCAAACGGAGAAGACATGTTTGCTAGCCCGTAAAGAGTTCCAAGATGGGAAATGCTGGTATTTCCTGTTGAGAAACCACTAACTGGCTTCTCCGCCCCCACCAAACTGGAGTTTAACGACGCGATGATCTCGGACGATCCTATGCCTGGAATTGCATTGCTGCGGGATGTTTCATTGGTGAGAGGAAGGAGACGCGCAACACTCTGGTTACTAGCAAACAATGAAACCAATCCTTTGGATATTGTGTATGTGGGCTTGCAAAAGACTGGGTACATGTCTGATATGGCATATTTCGGCCCAGCTGTCCACAACCTTGCGCTCACAAATATTATCCGTGAGCCGGTTTGGCCATTACCTGTGCAGTTCTGGAAAAATACATCGGCGGCGGTACTATTGTGACTGGGTATAGCAAATAAAGACGCCTGAAAAGGATTTGTAGAGCATGACGGCGAGCTGAGAGTGAGATCCGAGCTTGGGTGGATGAAATCAGGCCCACTGGTGCCGTTCCCCGTGATATTGTATGTGGTCCAATTGACGAGTTTCCCTTGTTCGCATTCGAGGTGTGCAGAGAACAAATCCACCATGCCTGTGATGACTGTGTTTGTGCCTGTATCCTTTGTCAACAATGGCCTCCAAGTGTAGAGAGGCTTACCTAGATCTGTGTCGGACGCGTTGAAAGGCGAAAAGGCATATTTATCTGTTGTCCCAGTTGGATAGGAAAGATTGAACCGTGCAGCCCCGGCAACGCTCAAGGCCGGAACGCCATCCACCATTTTGCTTTCATATCCACCACTGTGGAATTGTGCCGAGGCCTTCAACGTCGTTGGAATATCCTGAAGTCGTACACTGTCCAACATGAACAAACCTGTGGAGAAGACGGTAAGCAGTGTGATAAGCAGAGACCCCAACACCGAGAGCCCAACAGCCCAGTGCTTCTTCTTCATCGAGCGAAACATGGAAATGACATTCCACGGTGTGATATAATCGAGCAGCAAGCTCTGCGATGCCGGTCGCAGTCTCTCATTCATAGAATGCCATGGCGCAAGCTGCTTGGAGCGATACTCGACCTGTCCCCAGAAACCAGCAACAATGAGGAAGACTTTCCCATCAGTTTGAGATTCTTTATTTATGATGAGATTCTCCTACCCGCAGTTGGTGCATATGTCCAGAGGTAATGATATTTCTGGTCACTGGTGCTCAGGCCTTGGTGTTTGTTCGAATATTGGTACAGCACTTCGATGACGGCGAGGAAAATTGCGAAAAGGATTGCGAACGCGATCAGAACGAGCGGGTGGAGAATGATGGGTGTCCACATTTGAAATCGGTCTTTTACGCTCCGAGACTTTTCATTTTTATCGCCGATCGGTCGATCCATGGTTGAAAGGATCGGCTTTCTGTTGATTTTGCTCAGCGCCCGCCTCGGATGCGAAGAGAATAAATAGACGACAACAGACCGGGATGAATGAAAATGTCAATGGTTTTTTGGGGGGGGGGGGGGGGCAGAAGACACAGCCCAAATTTAAGAAAACGACTGCGGCAGGGGTTGAGGCTGAATGAAGAGGGGCTTTTATATAAAGGATTCAGGGTCTGGGATGTGATTGGTGCCTGTCACAGCCTTGTAGAATGATCGGCAAGATTAATATCCAGGCCTTGTCCTTACCGAGAGAGCAGGTGTAAGGGCTCCTTCGGCGTACGCGGAAGATCTATGGTGTTCAAAATACTAGGGGCACATGTGTAGTAGATATTGGAACAGAATGAATTACTCAAATTTATGGATTCCTTTACGCCATCAGAATATATATGGTATTTTACATAGAGTTGGTGTGTTGACCGGGTTCCCGCCAAAACCGCCCCCAAACCCATGCCGACCCGAGAACAAACTCACAGACTTTCAATGCCTAATCGCTTAACGTTTAACCAAAATGACCGACCGTCTTCCCTTCCTCCTTTATCTCTAAAGGCTGATCGCAAATGTTATTGCCGGCGAAATTGGAATAAAAATCAAACTGAAACAATATCTTGTCAAAGAACTAGATAAGGAGAACGCAGCTGCACCTGGAGACCTGAAACTCAGTCCTGAGAATGTCGAAAGGTTTAGGGCGATCGTTCTCTATGAATTCGATGAAGAACCCTTGAAGAACCCTTGAAGAACACCTCCCCCCCCCCAACCCCCCGACGCACAGCGCAAGGTCTATAAGGACATGGCAGATGCAGCAAAGGAAGATCTGCGAGACGTTTCAGAGGACACTATCCCTAAGATTTTAATGAAAGGACATGATATGCCAATGCACTGCCTAAAGGAGATGGGCTCAACGTGGACATATCAACTATATATGCTGACTCGGTGCAAGGAGGATGTTACAGCGTAGGCTTAGGAATTACAGGTGGAAATGGAGGCTGTAAATAGCTATAATAGCGGTCATTTTCAGCGTCAATTTCATAGGTCCTCATTTTCTAGTTGTAAGATCAGGCTTGCTAGCGAGAGAGGTATAGCGTCACAAAGTACTCAGTCTGTCTTACCTCTCCACAAATCCCGCAGCATATGCCACCACCTGCACCTTCAAGCACAATTATAATCTATGCTGTTACTACCAAGGTGCACACACTGATGAATCACCCAGAGAGATAGATGTAAATGCACCGGACAGAAACCCCACATTACAATCCTAGGGGATTTTTGCCCTACGCTCAGATAAGAATTACAATATGTATCCAAGATAATATTGTTTCTACTAGCCAGCCATCGCACAACATCTTACTCTTTTGGGGGATAAGTGGGCTACTATAGTTGGTGAATCTACTTAGTTTACGAGGGATATATTCCCATCCCTCCCATCCCCAGTCCAAAACTTCTTCCGAGTTATCAAAACAAGAGATATTCTCCGACGATTGATAAGAGACAATACCACGTTCATCATATGAACTATAATTCTTCTACCGTTATCCGAAGATACTTGCCGACTCAGAGGTTGGGATCTACCGCTCTACGTCTACACGAATCAACATGGACCTATGCATCAACGACATACTTGACGTATAAGAAGAAAATTCATAAATTAGTCATTCCGTACGCCTAAATACAATTCTCATTTAAACAGTCTGGAGATGCGATGGTTCTGGAAATCCCATGCGTTGATATCCTCATACCGGCAAGGCGTTGAAGGTGTGATGAACTCCTTGAACGGGAACAGCGATGCCGAGCGGTTCGGTTTCGCAAAGTATGCGATCGAGTACCGTTCAGGAATTACTGATTCCGAACCAACCTTAACAGAAGGCGGGTAGGTGACGCGGTGGCACGCAGCACGGAAAGTGTCGTTTGTCAGTCGCTGCATCGAGTCGCCAATGTTCAGAATGATCTCTGTCTTGTCTGCTGACTCGATGCCGCGGAAGACACCTGGATTTTGCTGATCCTCGACCTGAAGGCCGCCAACAGAGTCCTGGAATAGCATGGTAATGCTGCCAAAGTCGGTGTGCTCGGCAATACGTGTCGCGGTGCCGTCAGCCAATTCTGTTGCGGGAACCTCTGGGTAGTGAAGGATGCGGAACTCGTTCTCGGCTTTGTTGTGCAATGCTACCATTTGCTTTTCGTCGACACCGAGAGCCTTGGCAAGAGCAGCAAGAATCTCGACCTCGAGCTTGAAACAGATTTCGTAGAAATCTTCCATAAACTTGCGGAAGCCCGGGAGCTTCTCCTCTGGTACCCAGATGTTGTCTACCAATTCATCACGGGGCGAGCCGAAGTCGACTGTTTCCTGTCTCATCCTTAATATATTACTCAGTGTGAATAATGTTGAGAAAGACTGTACCTTGATGTCACGAACGAAACGCCCCTGCGGAAGTCCTTTCTCGTAACCACTGATACTCGAGATGGACTCCTGTCCAACGTAGCAATATCCGCGGTTGGGGTTTGCCTCGGGAGGGTGCTTGGCGAGCATTTTGTCTTCATGGGGAAGGGCGAAAAACTTGCGAGTCTGGGGAATGTCAGCTTCAACCTCCAGACTTAAAAGCGACGCTTAACTCACCCAGTCAAATAATTCATGAACGAGTTCGTCCGGAAGACCGTGGTTCTTCAACTTGACTCCGCCCCGAGTCTTAAGGCCATGGAGCAGCTCAGCAGAGATTTGCTCCCTTTGCTCGGGAGTTCCCTTCAGCATGGACAGATCAAGAGCTTCAGACATTTTGACTGTGAATCGAAAGCGGACTTCGTCTTTGCGGATGTTTTCGAGTGGTTTGGTATTTTGATAGCGATCTGGAGAGGGCCTGGAGGCTGATTTATAGATTCATGCGACAAGGAGAACATTGTATCTTAACGCGGGGATTATTGCTTCAGGAAGGTGATATCTAATGGCCTGGGATTTTGATATCATCACTTTCCCTTCCCAATGATGCCTCAAACCACCTTGTCATTTCCCGAATAGTCGGAGTGGGTCCGAGATCACCTTCCTCAATCACATATGGACCAATAGGAGCCCACAGCATGGTGGACCTCGGTCGCAGATAAGGCAAGTGTATCGGGTTGACTTGCCAATCGTTTGTTCCTGAGAGTGAGCCCTGGGCAACTCCAACTCCCATGACCAACCGAATCTCATCCACGAATCTCCACGCATGTCCCACGAGGATGGCAACGAGCTGCTAGATCAGATGCTTTCTATCCCAAATTTGTGTCTTTGAATAGCCCCCTTCACCAAAGGAAGCCCAGACCCACTTGAGAGCCTTAGCCAGTTAACTAAGTCTTGTGTCACAATTCTGTGCTATGCAGACAACCTCCACGTACGACATATGAGTCAAGATCCAGAAGGCCGATGTAGGTCGTGTCGTAAGAACGCGAGCAAGATTATGTGTTACCTCACGGCTCATAGCGATATCCCAGTCCCTAAGGTTTATTACTATCTGTAGCTGTAATGCACCCTTCCATCCACCACATTTTCTTGTTCTGGCGTATCATATTACTTCATTTGGCAACGAGATTCGAATCCCACTGCTGCTCATGATCGAAACTTTCGGCCGGCCATTGTCGAAAGCTTGAAAATCAGGTGATTCATCTCAACCTGGCCTGAACACTCCTGCATAAACGTAAACCCAGCTTAGTGTTGCTTGGCCGAGTGTTTGTAGTTCATAGAATAGCTCTATATTGCTCGTGCTGTTTTCATTTGCCAAGGGTAAGGAATATACATTTAGCAGAAATCTTATCAAGGCCAAGACGTTCCTTGGGTTCTGCAGTAACCAGTTTCGTAGCAGGTGGATCTATAGACTGTCGGACATTCTTTCCTGCAGGGTAACCTTGAATGTACATGTCATGAACCAATGATAAATCGCCTTTAATGAGGCCGGATATGCAACATTCCTGGTAAATGTAAGATATCTAGTTAATCATACCCATGAAAAATGATATCAGAGTCGCCCGAGGACATCCATACAACTTCACTCTGCAATATATTAGCCAGGCATGGTAATGCTTTAGTCTATACTTATCTCGTAGATTATATAAACAAGCATTGTACCCGTTTCATAGGGCAGAGTGTCTGTCAGAGCCTTGACATAGATGACAAGCTGCTGATCACCGTGGTACTTCGAGTAGAATCGGAGAATATTACCATACTGTAAGATTATCTCTTATATATCTGGTTGAACATATACCCTCTCGTACCATTGGCCTAAGATATATCTTGTATTTTCATTATAACAAAGAAGCATTCCAGTACAATAAAAGTCCAGATAGCAGACTTAAGTTATTTAGTATCTCTTAGAACAGCTTGTGACATACAACAAGTGGATAATAACGATTTGAGAGTGAATCAGCCTGATAACAGTAAACATATACCGAACCTAAGCTATCTAAGCAGTCAAGCTGAAGATGTATAGGGCAGCCGTGTTGTTTACCGTACCACAATACAGAGAGCTACGCGCGAGACATTGAAGAGGAATACTAGATTCCCAGACTGACACATCCATAATCCGTACAGAATACAGTTGGACCATACAAGACCTCCTTCCTTTGTAGAGATATATACTGCATCAATCGCTGAGAGTGGATGGCGAAATCAAAATATCGCGACCGATCGTAAAACAACCTTGGAGAGAGCCAACACAGCTGGACACAAGGCACTGAAGATACCGACAAAGGGTCATACCCGAATATTGGCTTATCAAGAGAAATGACAAGAGAAATGTTCCACATCTAAGCTAATCATCAGCCCCACGCACTGTGTGTGTTTGTAGTTGAGGCTTTCCATACATCCCAATTGACGTCCACTTGGAGCGACATTCCCCGCTGACATGGAACAAAACGGAGAAGCTCGCTATTATTCGAGCCTGAGCATTCGGGCCCAGTCAAAGTAATTTTAGTTTCCGACAAAAACTCTACATTCTGGAGTCTGCAAGCTCCAAAACTGAAAACAAACGCAGCACTCAAAGCAGATACATAAATATAGCTAGATACACTGCTACTATATCCGCAAAAGTGTAAGACCTTGACAAATACCACAAATATATATCCCCTGGGTAATACATACGTAAAATACTACGAATTTCCTATATGAGGAGATGGTCGCAAAGCCCGCGGGAGGTGAAGAATAACATCACATACTCTTTGCGGCATTAAGTACAAGTAGACACAGAACAGGACTAGAAGTAAGCAAGTCCCAGATAATCGAGGTTAATTCGGCTGGAAGCTTTCTGCATCTTCTTAGAATTTTACAGAGGGTGTCATTATCCCTATTATCCTGAGAAGTTTAAGATAATATAGCAACCACTTTCAAAGAAAGAACATAACTTCTATATATTTCTCGGGGCAGCTCAGTAAAAGAAGAGGAGTCATTGCAGGAACAAGGTCGGAAAAGATGCGAGAAGTTGGTAGATCCACCACTGCTGCTCCGCAGGGACTGTGTGTGTACAGCGGGAGCATACCTAGTCCTCCTTTGCGGATGCTTGTGGGTGTGAATATGTAGACCTTCAACGTAACTTGTCTGGTCATGTTCTTGGAAGCTTATGGATCGACTGAAAATTGGAAGCTGAGATGGACTCAGATTTGGACTCAATAGCACTTTGCAGATCAGCACCCAGTGTTGAACACCTTCAAACTCGACATACCTAAAGGAAAGGTGGTATTCTTATCAATCTTCTGTCCACGGAGTGAGCAATAAGGAAGCCTCACATAACGAAGAGAATTATGCACCGAAGGAGCCATGTCAGTTGTGGGTTGTAGAGCTGTGAAGAAATTAAGCTTCTCAAGGGTGAGAACTAGCGGCCTCATCAGATCGGTGATAGTAAGATGTATTTAACTTCCCGGGAGTGGTCTTGGAATTTTATGGGACAATGTGGTATCAACATTCATAGGTAATATTAATTCTCAAATCCCTATTTGCTGCTCATGCACCTGTCTTCCTCCGTGAACAAATGTATTTCTTGTGTATCGCGATAGTCTCGCCACACTAAAGGTATAGTATAGGTAATCCACGCGATGTGCTCTCTGCAGTGTGACCCAAATTGCAGGTTTACGAGTAGTACTAGCGAGATGGGATCCAAGCGCCCGATTTCTGTCCCGCTTAGGGTAGAATTCGTGAAGTAACGGAAAATTTCCAAGGGTATTGTATCTTGTACGCTTGACCATTGGACTATTGGAACAAATTGCTTGTACCCATGCCAGTGCAGCTGGGGAATTGTCACGGGTTGAATGAATTCTGACAAGCTTACCAATTAAAAGCACAATGGTATGCCAATCCGTGCGGGACCCGGCTCCATCTCCTATAACCAATAACAGTGCTGGACACTGTAGGAGTACCAATCACACCGTAGATATAGAATACGAAGTTAGAATTCAACCCAGCCTCGGAGGTGGTAGGCACTCTATCATCTATGCTGCACCGAGCACTTCGCCCCGATGAAAAGCTAGGCAGAAAATGGTGTGCAGTGCCCTGACTGCAGCCAGGTTTGTCTTTGCTTCAACGTAAGTCATCATCTATGGAGACATTACGTCTATAGGCTCTTTAGGTTAGTGAACTTGGAACGGCAATGATACCTGATGAGTCATCCGGCTATGCCTGTCGGTGTATTTAGACACCATAATCACCAGGAGCGGACGATCCAACTGAAAACCCCCTCGTCCTCTAAATTAACCATGGAACGAGGTTCCCACGCACTGCCCCCTGCCGTCGACTTTGCTCGGCTTTGCCAGGGCGATGAACCTGGTCTTAAGGCGATAATACAAAAATACGGTGCATTCAAAATAAAGAATCATGGGATATCCTTGTCCGCGAAGGATCGCTGCTTCGCTTTTGTATTGCTCACTCTGGTAGCCTTTTTCTGCAATTAGTGCTAACCGTAACTATTAGAGTAGAGATTTCTTCGGTCAATCCTGTGTCTCTAAAAGGATGGATCCCGCATTTTCCAAGTTCGAAGGTGAAAAGGTCAAGGAAACGCGCATCCCCAAAGAAAGCCTCTATGTTAGCAAGAATAAATTATACGATTATCCAGCCGTGCAAGGCCTATCCAAGGTACTAGTATCAGTAGGTTTCATGCTTATAGATCATTAACTGAATTCTGAGCAGGAACTAGAGAGAATCACGCCTGAATTATTACAGGCAATATCACGAACTCTGACTTTGCGTCCCTCGCTCGAATCATTCCATTCTGGTGCAAGCGATCGGCTAGCTCTCCACCACTATCCAGAAGTGCCAGACGCTTTAGAGAGGAACCCTGCACATCGGGATTGGGGCCTTTTGACGCTTCTTATGCACGAGGATACGGGCAGAAGCAATGGTTTGGAAATTGCTGAGTTCCCTTATCCCCGCCAAGGGGGCCGACCGGCCAACAGCGCAAAGTTCATCTCCGTCAACCCGGGGAGAGATGAGATTACCGTACTTCTGGGTAACATGCTACCAAGACTAGCCAGACTCCATCAATGGAAAGACGTTCCTTCTTGTGTACACCGAGTTTCCGGTTCCGGAGATCGGTACAGCATCGCATATTTTGTCCATGCCGACGATGACTTGCTATTGGGCGGAGACGGCACCACCGCTCGAGAGCATAGGGAAAATTGGGAATCACGGTCCAAGGTACAGGACTAGAGTTTGACGACTGCTGGAGATTTTCTTTATATTAACGCCTTTGACCTTGTCGTATATTAGCCGGATTCACTGTAATTGTGCCAAGAACTGCCACTATGTATCTTGTGGCTAATTGATACACGTCTACAAGACTCGTCAACCGCACCTCCTTTCACTTTGAGTTATGTAGTAATATGTCACCTTAGTATGCTCGGCTTCGACTACTGTCTTACCAAAGTCAGGGGATGCGGGATGCTCAATGAATGGATTCGAAAGTTCCGAGATGCCTTGCTCTGTCGGACTGACGGAGTTCCTTCGGAGGAAAATGTACGCACGTGGTTCCCCAACGTTACCCTAAAAACCAAGAGGATAGCGCGCTCAGGCCATTAAGCTCTTGCATGGGTCGTTTGGGCTCAGTAATTGCGATCGTACCGCAGACAGTTACTGTTTAGGGCAGATATAACGTGGCAGCTATTTCATTGAATTCGATGCGCGCAGTGACGCCTAGTGGTCTCTATTCTTGATTGGTGCAAGTGTAGTTTCAGCGTCCCTTGTCTCAGAAATCATGGGCCTACCGAGCTTAAATACATATTGGTCGGTGCAAGATCGAAGTTCATGTATATAGTAGTAGTTGTCGATATGCTTCAAGGGTATATATCGCGAGTTTTGTTCATACTGAGATCTGACGGAACCACAAATTCTTGTCTGCTACCTTATTTCCAAGGTCGGAATATCAGCATATCTCACTAAGTTGTTCAATAAAAATGGTCACTCTGGAGCCATGAATTGTGGACATAAAGTTATGCAGTGGACCTTGTGCACAGGCCGGCTAAACGTTTAAAAATCTCTTACCACCTTTAAATCCAATCTGGAATGCTTGTCAGGCCCCCCAGTTGTTAATCCGCTATTTATGAATGTTGATTATTAATGATTGATAAGCTTGATTTACCTTGGTCATAACATCATAGCTACTTTTAAAAGCGCGTGGGGTTAACATCTACCTGTACACGGATTTATAGGTCATAACTCGTTACCCGTCGTATATCTTGCTGTCGGCGAAAATGCCTACGAAACAAAAGGTTCTACTCCTTGGGGCTACTGGCGCAACCGGGAGTTCCATATTAGATGGGCTACTAGAAACCCATCAATTCGTATGTTACTTCTCTCACAGCAAATCCAGTCTCGTGAAATTAGATACATCCATTTCTGCTGCTTAACTTGCTCATTGCATACTTAGGATGTCGAGGTTCTAGTACGGCCAGGTTCTGTCGAGAAGCCATCTGTTCAGCAAATAAAGGATCGTGGTGTTCCACTGCGTGTGGCTGATCTCAATGCATCGGAAGAAGAGCTTGTTTCTATCTTGCAGGGTATTGAGATTCTGATAAGTGCTATTGGACCTCACGATCTCCTGCAGCAAAAGACTTTGGTGAGAGCTGCAAAGTCTGCAGGAATCAAACGGTTCACCCCCTGTGCATTCATCACAATTGCCCCACCACAGGGTACAATGTTGCTTCGCGATGAGGTACGTGCCTCTGTACAAATAACAGAGAGAGAATAAACCCTTAACGGACTTCTAATATCAATGCAACAATCACTAGAAAGAGATCATATACAATGAGATCAAAAGACTAGAGCTGCCCTTCACAGTCGTCGATGTTGGGTACTGGCATCAGATTTCCTTTCCCTGCCTGCCATCGGGGCGAGTCGATTACGCAGCTTTGGTGCCCAACACCACTATCCACGGCGATGGCAATGCCCCCAACATACTCACAGATATCCGTGATATCGGCCGCTTTGTTTCACGAATTATCGCTGACGATCGAACCTTGAACAAGTATGTTTATACTTGGGGTGATATTCTGACTGAAAACGAGATCCTTAATGTCGCTGAGGAATTATCAGGAGAAAAAGTCGAGAGACAATATGTATGTATGGCCCTGTATCTCACAGAACATATACTCACCACATACTTTACAGGAGAGTGTTCAAGAAATGGAGAAACGACTCGAAGATGCCCAGTCCTCCCTTTCTCTTGATCCGACAGATCCCGGCAAGCGCACGTTGGTGTATATTACACAGTACGTATATAGCAAGTATGTCCGCCAGGATAACCAGCCTCGCTATGCGAAATACCTTGGCTACCTTGACGCAAGGGAGCTGTATCCCGACTTTAAGCCAATCTCTTTCCGCGAATTCTTTACCGAGGTTCTCGATGGAAAAGGCAAAAGACCCTATGGACATTAAAGTATACACCAACGTATTTCGGTTGACAGTATCACTGCGTATGTTCTTGGATGTTATATTATGACTATGATGAATACTGTGAACTCTATCCAGATATAGTGGAATACTATATCATTAACTGTGCGGGCAATGTGCTCAGTATTTACATCTTGTAGTTGGTCCACAACCGTAGACTAGAGCAACAATTATCAGTTACTCCTCTAGTAGGGGCCGTCGCGAATAAGCAAATATTCAAAACTAGAATTTTTTTTTCCAACGGTGCCCAATTCAAGTAGTCAATTTAATTAGTGTCATGAGACACCATAATTAGAATAATGTAACTTTCAATAATCGAAATCCAGAGGCCTAACATACCCGTAATCTATATGTTCTCTGTTTGTCATTAACTCTCGTAATGCAGTCTTGGTATCCATGTTTTTCTCAATTTTTGAGCATGAGTTCTTCTTGCTCAAACGTAAGTATTACACCCCCTGCCTGCACATATTCACCCTCTTTGGTGAGAAGACGGACGACCCCATCCCTCGGTGCAGTGACCTGGGTCTCCATTTTCATAGCCTCCATCACAGCCAATAAATCACCCTTACACACAGAAGCACCGTCAGTAACCTTGAAGGCTCGAAGCGTTCCAGACACTGGTGCCAAAATGTCTCCGGTATCTTTCTTTGGCTTTTCCTCCTTGGCATTCGTTGGTGAGCTGGCTGCTACTGAGCCAATTCCGCTGAAGAGCATGCTGGGCAGACCCACAGAGACCAGCTTGCCATCGATTTCAAGATGAGTCCGAATGAGATCCAGTTCGGGTACGGGGTCCGGCCGTGGGGCGGGGGCCAGTGTCGCGGCGAAGTCGGTCTCTACCCAGCGCGTGTGCACATTAAAGCCATTGGTACCCAGGAAATCGTCCGAGTTAAGCGTCTCAAGGTGAAACGGCAGAACGGTCGCTACCCCGTTTATTTGGAACTCTTTCAGCGCACGCTGAGCGCGACGCAGTGCCTGCTCACGGGTTCCACCAGACACAATCAACTTCGCCATCAGGGAGTCGTAAACAGCCGGAATCGTCGAGCCTTGCATAACACCACTGTCGAGACGGATACCGGGTCCGGAAGGTGGTTGAAACGTCGTGATCTGTCCAGGGGTTGGTAGGAACCCTCGACCGGGGTCTTCTGCATTGATACGGAATTCGATGGAATGACCTCGGGGAGGAATGGGAGATGAGAGGTTCAGCGGAAGTCCCTCGGCAATACGGAATTGCTCTACGACTAAATCAAGCCCCGTGGTCTCCTCCGTCACGGGGTGCTCAACTTGAAGTCTGGTATTGACTTCTAGGAAGGAAATACTGCCGTCGACCCCCAGGAGAAACTCCACCGTTCCTGCACCCGAATAACCGGCCGCGGAACAGATTGACTGAGCGGCATTCTGGATGTTCTCTTGCTGCTCCATAGTAAGAAATGGAGCCGGCGCTTCTTCGATCAGCTTTTGGTGACGTCTTTGTACGGAGCAATCGCGCGTCCCGACCACCACCACGTTCCCATGCTTGTCAGCTAGAACCTGAGCCTCGATATGTCGCGGTCGGTGGAGAAAACGTTCTATGAAGCATTCTCCCCGCCCAAATGCCGCCGTCGCCTCCCTTACCGCGGATTCATAGCACTCTGTTACCTCATCTATTGTCCAAGCGACCTTCAGACCACGACCACCGCCTCCATGGGCAGCCTTGATCGCAATCGGTAGGCCATGTTGTCGCGCAAAGGCCACCACTTCTTTTGCTGTCGAGACGGGTCCATCGCTGCCCGCTACAAGCGGTGCACCGACGCGTAACGCAATACGTCGCGCCTCGACCTTGTCACCAAGCGCCTCGATCACATTTGGGTCAGGCCCAATCCACGTCAGCCCTGCGTCCAGGACCGCCTGGGCGAATTCCGCCCGCTCAGATAAAAACCCGTATCCGGGGTGAATGGCATCTGCCCCAGAGTGTTTCGCCACATCGATAAGCTTGGCGATATTAAGATAGGTATCGGCTGTTTGAAAGCCCTTCAGCCCATAGGCCTCATCGGCTAGTCGCACAAACGGAGAGTCCACATCCAGGTCTGAGTACACCGCAACTGATATCACGCCGTAATCATGACAGGCACGGATAATGCGGACGGCAATTTCTCCTCGATTCGCAATCAGTACTTTCTTTAATCCTTTTCTCATGATGGTATTCTGACAGAATAACAGAATGTGTAGGGTCCGAAGGGGCAAAGAATAACGACCCAAACAGGCGAGTTAGGCTTTCTAAATTATATACTCTTTCAGTTTCCGTGACCTCCGTTTCATTTCAAACTTTTTTTTTTGTATTCATATCTACTGCGTATATCCATGACACATAGCAGACATAATCGTCACCGACCATGCAAATCACTGCTAAGAAAGGAAAAAAGGTTTGTCTATGCTGCATGGAGCTGATTGTGTTGCGGCTGAATTTCGGACCAGGGGGCGATAGCGCGAAACTGGACCATTGTATTGACAGGAAGCTGGCCAGTGAGATCCAGATGGTAATCAGCCACAGCACCAATGACTGGGTATCCACCGGTTAGTGGATGATCGGCAAGAAATAGTACAGGTTGACCATTGTGGGGCACCTGAATAGCGCCGGTGACTGTGCCCTCGCTTGGTAGTTCTGCTTTGTCGTCTTTGCGCTCGATGGAAACATTTCCCGATAAACGAACCCCAGCCCGGCTTGACTCTGCCGTCACTTTCCAGCACTGTTGAGTGAAGGTTTCCAGGCCTTCCTTTGTAAACCAGTCGGTGCGAGGGCCAAGCACTACATCCAGAATCACCACATCACTTGGAGCAGGTAGAGTGAACACTGGGGCTTCGTGGATTGAAACGCTTGCCAGGCCCTGCTGCGCGTTCTTCAAGATCAGCCTCGAGCCCGCCACGACTGGACTGGGCCCCACTGCAGCCAAAGTGTCGGTGCTGACGCTACCCAAGATCGGATTGATCTCAAAGCCACCCCGAACTGCCACGTAGATTCGCATCCCTGTTCGTGGATGTCCGAATGTCACGACATCCCCTGGCTCCAGCGCAATTGGCCGATGAGTGTCCGTTATCTGTGTAGTCTGGCCTTTCGTATCCTCAATTGTAATAGGGCAGGGCGCCCCTGTGCAGCCGATCACCGCCTGACTGGTGCTTTCAAATGAAAAGCCGCCCAGCGTAAGTTCAAGGCATCCAGTGCCAGCTGGATTTCCCACTGTACGGTTCGCAGCTCGAAATGCCGATCGATCTAGCACACCCGAGGCAGAAACACCTTGATTCGCTTGACCGGGCCGGCCGAGATCTTGGAAAAGTGCCGGCATTGGCGCCGTCAAAACCTTGAAATGTGGAATGGTGTTGCCCACCGTCTCACTCAGGGCAAGCTTTTCTTCCTCCGTATCATTTGGACCAGAACCAGCTGTCGCGTCCTCAACTGAAAGAGTACTATCAGCTTCAGCGGCTTCGAGATCATCCACCTCAACAAATTTGACCCGATAACCTGGTTGCAGAAGCGCGCTTGGACTCCTATTTGTGTCCCACATTTTGACCGATGTCGAACCAATAATCTGCCACCCGCCTGGAGTGCTTTGTGGATAGATGCCGCTAAAAGGCCCCGCCAGAGCTACCGAGCCAGCTGGAATGCGGGTCCTTGGAGTCTGGTGGCGCGGGACGAACAGGGCAGGATCGCCGCCATTGAGGTAGCTGAAGCCCGGCGCAAATCCGCAGAATGCCACAGTGAACTGACTCTCCTTATGGCGACGAATAACCTCTTCCACGCTGAATCCTGTGAGCTTTGCGATGTTATCCAGATCCACGCCGTCATAGCGGACGGGGATTTCTATTTGACAGTCCGATCGGAGGCTGATGACTGAGAGGTCTCGTTTGCGAAATTCGGTTGCTAACCCCTCTGCGCTTACACTTTCTGGATCGAAGTGAACGAGCAGCGTGCGGGCAGCAGGGATCATCTCCTTAATGCCATCAACTGGCTGTGACTGCAGTGAGGTAAGAAGCGCCAGGGTCTCCTCGAGACCTGGGAGCTCCACGAGGATTGTCGTCAAATTAACGGGAAGAAAGCGCATCATGATGAATATACAGAGTTGAGTGGTGATGGTTGTACATAAATGACAGAAAGCTGTTGGCGGTGCATATGTTGTATATATATTTATTTCTGGGTGTATCGTATCCTTGATTGGGCTATTGTATCTGCAGGGTAGGCGAGAAACTAACCGGTCCCACCTGGTGGGTACTTGGCTGATTCCACGAACTAGTGGTAGCTATCGAGACCTGAATGATTCTCATGTCATTTGAACCCGTCGCAGCTGAGGGTAGAGATGGGCAGGGACGCATCTCAGCCTTAACATAGACTTGTCCTGAAGTCTCGCCCTCTCTGAACTACAGTAAATCCTAATAAAGATAAACACCGGACAATCTTGTGAAAATATCGTTGGCGAGATAAGGGGTCAATATAAGCATACAGTTGTTTAGAGAAGTACATCTCTCTTGCCTTTGTCTCTTCCTCTGTTCTCATCATAAGATGCATCTTCTGGTATCCCGGCGAAGAACATTAAGGTGGCTACCCAAAACTCTCCAAGTGGTGCCAAAGCGGCCCGGCCCTAAACCCTTTGATATGGCATTCCCATCACCCTACACGAGGAAGCCTATTGATGAGCTAAGGGATCACGACAACGTCACGCACAGAGAGAATCGAAGATTTCCTGAGTCCCGCATAGATCTTCACCTGCATATGACATATTTAGGCTTTATTCAGTAATCTAAGTCTAAATATGAAGGTATGCATTCGCAATCATCTGAGTTTCAATTGTCCTATTGAAAAGCTTAGATGAACAGGATATTGACCAGGAATTTCGTAATCTGAGTACACAGGAGGGCTGAGCTCCAATCAGCCAGCTGGCTTGTGGTAGATCGTTTCCTGCCCAGATATGGCTGTAATCTTTGCTGGAAGCAATTAAGCTTTCAATGGGATTCTGGCATGAGTACATGCCATCTCGAAAGCTATATTTTCCAATCCGAACTATGTCGTTCTCCACCTCTATTTGGATCATCTAAGTCTTTTCCGAGATGGAATGCTGTTGTTATTATGTGGAATAACATTAAACAATGTATTACAATATAGATAGCGTCCATACTTTCTGTCTAACCCTATAGCCTCAAAATGGAAAATATGGAACGCTGCCCCTGACGAATCTTGTTCAACTACCGCTCTTGGGTACGCTCTTCCTCAAAGCTAAACGACCAAATATGCTTCGTCACTTCCAATGAAGCACTCTCTAAACTGATGTAGGTGGACAGAACGTCTTTATATTATGGCTCGATAGCCTGAAAAGTCTTGCAACTCGACCATCAATAAAACCTAATTAGAAGACACCAGGTATCATTCTCCATCGTACTATTCCCTGATACTGCTCCCAGTACTTCCCGTATTTAATCGAACACCGTCGCTCATCCCGATAGCATCGATGAACTAGCAATCCAGTCATCCAGATAAAGTATGTATAGGGTAGTAAGTGCGTCCATTCACAACAAGCGCATACGCAGAAGGAGAAGATGATATCACCAACGTAGTTGGGATGGCGAACAACACCCCAGCAGCCTAGCAAGACCTTAGTATCTAAAATATCTCTCGAGTGACTGCAGACAGTGTCCGAACGTACCTGAACACAGTAAGAGAGAATCATGCACTGCTCCGGCTCCAGTCGTGTACTTGGCTCTGATCACGTCTGGTTTCTTGCCGAATATTTTGCAATCTCCACGTGTCTTCCGCAACAAGTCTTTTTGATTATTTGATAGTCGGAAGAGAATATAGCCAAAGAGCCCAATGCCCAAAATGGAGTAAAATGCAGTGGGGGAAAGTTGGACTGGGTAAGCGGAAAGATATTGCGCTTGAGTGGTATAGACCATAGGAAGCCATACGGCCGAGCCCCAGCAAAGATAAAACCCAAAGTGATCGTGGGCAATATCGATAGTAGCCAGATACCTAAAGGCCGAGGGGTAAGTGAAATGGGGGTTGGTTGGTTCAAGGAAAGGGTAAGGTTACCAGGCTTCGTTGACGAAGAAGTCGACCGTGTATAGGGCATGAAGGAGAGTCACCGCCACCATTGAATTGGACACCGCACCGAACCGACTATACTGCTCAGCCATAAAGCAGAGATCACTAGGAAGCATTAATACAGCTTGACCAACACCTTAAGAGACGAGCTAATGTTGACTTACATTATTACCCATGAATTCATCCCCAGTCGGCCAATTTGGAATAGCTTGAAGTCCCACGTTCCACCTATCCGCGGATTCAACTCAATGCCGGACAAGAAATCGTGATATATTGATCCTGATTCTAGTGAGCCCGCTTGCATAAGTTAAATAACCTACAAAGCCTCAAAGACTGTGCCATACCACTGAACCTCTGGTCTTTCTCAAAGCTTGGGTGGAGATGGCCTTTCAACCATGATATCACGGAGAAGGCAAGACCGTAGATATTCGCCGCGACGAGAATTCCGCCCCAATTTTGAGCCACGCCAGCAACAGCTTCAATCCCTTTAATCGCTGCCAATACTGCTACTGTACCAATAGTGACGAACCATGATAATAGCCCATTCATCCTGTATGGGTGAGTATGTCCTGCGGGTGTTGGCGGTCCATGCACAATTTGCCCAGGAAGTACCGAGTATAGCGCGGCTTGCATAGCGACCCAGCTGACATATAGTATTGTCGCCTGGCTAGTCGGACCTGGCAGGTACTGTAGAAAGAAATCGACAGGCGACGAAAGTAGCTCGATTGTTGCGTTCGACATGGCACCATCAAAGTGTTCAAGGCATATGTACAGAAATAGGGCGAACAGCGGCGAAGCCACCACAGCGCCCATGCTGAGAAAGCCAGCGAGGTTAGAAACATTTTTTCTCCGTCCCCAGAGAGCGTTTGAAGTCTCCACCTCTTTGCTCCCGTTGAGCAGGAGATGGCTTTGGCCGGTTGTTGGGGCTTTAACCCTGTTTCTAATCATCGTTGTAGCAGCTAGGTGTTCTTTGTTTAGTTGATCGTAGCATGAATATAGTGCATGTGGAGTATTATTTTAAGATTTATAGGATTCTGATTGAGGCTGTCAGATGTCGATGCGCCTTCAGAACAAGCGGTAGAGAGGGCCTGGACAAGCTGTAACCAGCATTCCATGGCAGCATGGGGTGCGTCAGATACGTAGCAGACCCCTTCATGTTGCCAATCATAGTAGCAACAATCATGTACGAGTGGCTATTTTCATGCAGTTGGGCGATATAGAATGGGTCCACACCCACTTCTAACTGGGTCTCATCAATCTCGGCGTCACCGAGAAGTGAAGAGCTTGCACTAGCAATGTCAACTACAGGTTTTGGAATTTGACTGGTGCGTGCCTGAGCCGCTGGTATAGTAACCAAACCCCTTGCAGAATCCTGAACCCTAATTCCCCTGCAGATGTGCCAAGACCTTCGCGAAAGGAGAAAAATGGAACGCGGGCGAACTGAATTGAACAAGCAATCTATGGTGGTAAATCTACTGACATATCCTCGCTTGCCATTCATTGCCAATAAGGTTGCCGGGACCGCTGCTTAATTTAAAAGCTTGCCTGGGCTCCTTTACAAGCTGGCGTTGAACAACAACTTGACTGCTAGAGTCGAGGCAGCAAAACTTGCCAAAGTCGATTGGAGCCCAATCGTGTTCACGACACTGTAAGGAACAAGCCAAGCATCGTGCATTCTGAATCTCAGGATTGGGTATATAAACCACCAGGCTGTTACAGACAACCAAGATGTTGCCCAGATGAATCCCCAAAATTTACACCACGTTCGTAATATTTTTGGAACACCACGTCCTTCTATTGTTACCTTTCGACTCCATAATGCCTTCGCATAATCCTCGATCATTATTCCGGCGGCATTTATTAGAAAATAAAACATTGGACTTGTCTGGCTCCGTGATAGTCCCATACACCGGTTAGCAACCAGATGCAACCCTCCTGACATGGAAAATATCATCACTAGCCGCGTATAGCGCTCTAGTAAGGAAGATGATGCAAGCCTCAGCACCTTAATACTAATGAACTTGCTCACTGAGGTCAGTGGCCAACGGAGCCATTGATGCCAGTATTTCCTGCGCGCAAATAGTTGAGCATCTGTGAATGCCTAGTGGATCCGCCGGAAAGGGTGATAAACTTACCCCCAAAAATCACGAAGGCAGTGCATATCCCACAGGCTCCCAAAGAGGGCCGGCCAGTCATCAGGTGATGTGATCCCTAAATTGACAAATATGACCGAGGCGCATCTATACCAGATGTCCATGTATACTTTGAAGAGGATCCCCATGTATATCGAGTCTAGAGCCATCTGCAACAGTGGGGAAGTACTCTGACTAGTGAGCGGAAGGATGACTGTGGCGGAACTATAAACTACTTCCTGCGTATCCAGACCTGCACTCCATGACATCGCGTGTAGGATGTCTAGCAGGAGGTATTGCCAGGCGCATATCGCTGTTTGTCGCATTGAAAACGTGATTCGGATGGACTTTACGGGCCAGGATACCGGCACCAGGGGATATTGGCAGGTGTTTTTGGCCTTCCAGGATGTACCGACTCCACGGACGCTCAGGACGAGAGGCAATGCGACAAGGATATGCGGGAGACGTTTTCCATGTTTGGGTATTGCCAGATCGTTTCCATGAACTTTTGTTATCAATAGCAAGTTCACACAGTGAATGACATGCACCACTGATATTGAGTGAATCAATGCTACACTAACACTCGGTGAACAAAGACCTTTAGGCACCATCAAGCGGATAGCCAAGAAGAATATAAGAATGAATGACGCAACTATCCTTAGAGATGAAGACTTGGGACTCAGGCTGAGTATGATAGCAACTCCCACACACGAAAAGAGATGGTAAAGAAGGCAGCCGTAATAAAGATAAATGTACATGATGCTCTTCATGGGGACAGGTCCAGCATAGACGGCCTGAGCTGGCAGAGTGGCCATTGATCAAGCATCAGACAGATCAAGGTCGGTAATAATATACCTTTTCAGGCCTTTATACATAGACATATGCATGTGATCTGGATATTAACCTACAGAACGGATATGGAAGCTTTTGCTGTGGGAAGCGCTTAAAGTAGGAGGGCATTCGCGTGACGATTGCGTTGATATGATCAGCATATTCTCCATCCCAGCTGAGTACCGGGAAATCACGGTATTTCTTATCCGGCCCCATTTTTCTTTGTCGCTACTTTCTCCCCCCTTGCTTTAAGCTGGGTAGGGGAATATGCAACTGGGCAAGGACTTAATTATGGAATGCTCAGCGACCAGGTAGCTGGGTCACAATTTGACCTGTACGATAACAACGCAAGCTTAGCAGGAACGGAAAAATAACTATTGAGTACTTCTAGTGGGTAAGCAAATTTGATCGGCAGAATATCTATCTATCTTTACGCCAAGAATACATTTTCACTTCTTGTTTCACATTGCAACCGAGCTAAGACTTTCGACACCGAGTCAAACGTTCCAGTTCATGGTGTTTCTATGGTTATCCAGCTATCGACCAGCGTCTGAGCTGATCGCTACTGTTCTTTTTTTCTGTTGGGCCTGGTGAGCAATTCACTTATATGGCCTCGCTTCTTAACCTTACACCATGGTAGAACCCGATGGAAGGAGTGGTGCACAAGCATCCGTTCATGGAGCGGCATTACCCGCGGTTGACCCTGTCGATATCCACGTCTCTAGCCTTTCTGTCCACCTAAACAGGGCTACTAGTGGATGGCCAGCCCCTATACAGTCTCTCAGACGGAAGCTGGCAGGCACATATACTGGGATGCAGAATCAAATCTTACATGACGTCTCGGCTACATTCCCAAGCGGCTCGCTTGTCGGTATACTAGGGCCAAGCGGAAGTGGCAAGACAACCTTTCTTAATATCCTCTGCAACCAACTGTCTCTTCGAGGAATTACCACAACGGGCGATATTTTCTTCACGTGTGCTCGTGATGTACAGTCGGTTCGATCGGCCTATCTCAGGCAGAGTGACTTTCTTGTACCATCTCTGACAGTGCGAGAAACTCTGCAAATCGCCGCCGATCTTCGCATGCCTTCTGCTGATGCAGCATATCGCTCCAATGTAGTGACTCAACTCATCCATGGTCTTGGACTAACGAAATGTGCGGATACACGGGTCGGGGAAGGGACTGGGGCTGGGTGCAGTGGTGGCGAGAAGAGAAGAACGAGCCTCGGTGTTCAGATCTTAGCGAATCCCTCTTGTTTATTCTGCGACGAGCCTACGACCGGCTTGGATGCAGCCAATGCTCACCACATCGTTCAGTTGCTGAAAGAACTGGCAGGAGAAGGCCGAACTGTCGTCGTGGCGATTCACACCCCGCGCCCGGAAATATGGGAGCTGTTCGACCATATCCTGCTACTCTCTCAGGGCCATGTCCTGTACAATGGCCCAACCTCTTCAGTTCGCGGTTATTTTGAGCGATGTGGTCACGCCATACCCGCATCAGAAAGTCCAGCTGAGCTCTTGATTGACCTCGTATCCGTAGAAGCGGAAGCAGAAGCCTCACCGATGGTATCAGTGGCAAGGATCAACAACCTGAAGGAGCAGTGGAAAGCGACGCAGTGCACCGTAGCTGATAGCTGCGGAGCTTACACAAGAGATGACTCATTTGTGCGATATGGTTCACCTATATCCCGCAATCCAGTCGTGCCGCTTTCTCGACAGCTGACTGTGCTTACTCGGCGCACTATACTGACAACATTACGGGGCCCTATGAGCCTGTTCGGTAGCTTGTCAATCACAATTGTGCTGGGAATAGTGACTGGCGCGGCTTTCTATCAGGTTGACAGCAGCGCGCAAGGTATTTGGTCTCGGCAGGGGGCTCTTTTCGCAGTACTGAACATCTACGGTTACCCACTGTTAATCTATGAAATATTTCGCCTGTCATATGAGATACAAACTTTCGATCGTGAGCAAGAGGAGGGAGTTGTCAGCGTTGCAGCCTTCTTGATAAGCCGCAGGCTTGCGCGACTTGTCCTCGAGGATATCCCAGGGCCTGCCGTATCATCGATAGTCTTTTATTTCCTTGTTGGACTCTGGCGCTCTGTTGCCGAGCCTTTCCTTTTCTTGCTGATAATGATTCTGGCCACATATGTCTCTCTTGCCGTCGCTGTCCTTGCGATTGCAATGTCCCGTGATTTCGCCATAGCTGGCCTTATCGGAAATTTGCTTTACACGCTGCAGAGCCTGTCTGGTGGTTATTTAGTGCAGGTAAACCAGATTTCGATCTGGCTCCGTTGGTCAAAATGGATAGCCCATAACTTTTATCTTTACAGCGCAGCATGTGCGATTGAGTTCGTTGGTCCGAAGCGGACATCACGCGGGCATCTATACAGTTGCCCAACTGTCGCCAATGCTTCGACAGGTGAGTGTACAGAGTTGTATGGGAAAGACATCATGGCAAACCTAGGATTTCCTCGCGAGTGGATCTGGCAACCTATTGTGGCCTCTTTGGGCTTTCTTGTTTTCTACACTATGGTGGCTGCCTTGCTACTTCAGCAGCCTCGAATGGGAGCTATCATGACTCCAGATCCCCAGTCAAGCCGTAGCCACGTTGTCATTGAAAATACAGAGCTTCTGCCTCTAACCTCAACACCACATACGCCAGGTGTGGATATCCAATTAACCAAGTATGCTCTAAGTCTCACTAGGCAAAATATGAAAGCCTTTCTGAGTCCCTATTATGAACGCTCAATACTTAAACCGATCAACACCACATTCAAACACGGCGAACTTAGTATCATTATGGGGCCTTCTGGGAGCGGGAAGACCACTCTATTACACGCTCTCACAGCGCGCCTACCACAGAGATATCGAAGACAAGGTCAAGTGCTCTACAATAGCCATACTCTACCGCCTTCCAAGATCCGATCTATATGCTCGTACGTGTCCCAGTCGGACTATTTACAACCTTTTCTGACAGTCCGAGAAACCCTACTTTTTGCTGCAGGGCTGAGATTACCTAAATGGATAACAAAAGAGCAAAGATATTCTAAGGTTGACTCTATTATTCGTACAATGGGCTTGATGTCCTGTGCAGACACTATAGTCGGAGATGAAAAGCAAAAGGGTATCAGTGGCGGCGAGAAGAGGCGGGTATCAATAGGTATTCAGCTTCTGACTGACCCGAGAATTTTAATACTGGATGAACCGACATCAGGTCTAGACGCATACACAGCCGGGTGTATCTTAAAGAAGCTAAAGGCCCTGTCGGAGGAAGGTCGGACTATCATCTGCAGTATACATCAGCCACGCTCAGATATTTTCCCTTTCTTTTCCAACATTCTTCTCCTTGCATCTGACGGTTCCCCCGTCTACGCTGGGCCTGGGGAAGTTATATTACACTACTTTCGCAGCCATGGTTTTGAATGTTCAGATTCAATGAACCCGTGTGACTTTATCATTGATTTAGTCACGGTAGATTATCGAGACCATCAAGAAATGTCGAGTCGCGCGAGAGTGCAGCAGCTGATCGATAAACATGCTGTCACTCAATCAACTGTACAAGACACATCCCCACTGCCAATGACTTTGTTAGAGCAAAGAGCCCATGAAAAGAACATTAACTCATTTCGGACATTGTTTCCTTTAGCATTACGCCGCTCAGCCCTTGGTTTAATTAGGCGTCCATTTCTTCTGCTCTCACGCTTAGTTCAAGGTCCTGGGATGGCAGCTATCTTTGTTATGTTCACATCTCCTCTCACGGGCGACAGCAGCTCTGTTCAAACGAGAATCGGCCTCCTCCAGCAGCTCCTAACCATTATTCTTGCCGGTTTGCTCTCCCCCCGTTCACTTACTAGTAATATCTACATCGCGCTAATGCTGATTCGAAACCAGGTATCCGTACTACCCTGTCTCCGATAGTATTGAAAATATTAACTAGTTACTAGGTATCAGTGCCACTTTGGCCCCTATAGTATTATATATTAATTGGTTATTTGCCGACCTTCTAAGTACATCCTTACCACGGGTTTTTCAAATCGTGGCCTATATTCTCCCCTCCAAATATTCCATGGCTAATATTGTCCCATACGCGATGAACGGCCTGGAATTTACCTGCAGTGCAGGAGAACAGCCAAGCAAGCAATGCACTATCCACAATGGGAAGGATGTGTTAAACTTTTATAATTTCGACAAGGACCCTGGTTTGAATATAATGGCCCTTGCAGTATGTGTGGTTGTCTATCGGGTTGTTGCGTATTTAGTGATTCAGTTTCGATGAACCCGTTGATATCAATGTATTACCATCTGAATTATATATTCCACGAATTGAATTTGAATATCACTGCCATACATCCAGGCCGGAATAATAAAAAGCACATAATTGCTCGCAGAATCATATTCCACCGGCCTGTACCGAGCTGCTGGTAAACATCAATATCCTACTAGCCTCCCGAGATAATATATATTATCCATGCCAACACCCACAACCGCCAAACACAATATATGTTATCTTTGCGTGCTCCGTCATGAAAATCAAACAATAACCCACGGCCCTTCTACTAACGGTGACCACAGATTCGTTCCATACTGGCAAAAAGAACTACCTTGACGAGTACCGTGATCGAATTTCGCCACCACGAAATCCAGAACAGGGGTTTGTGGGGCGTCGGCGAAAATTTCGGAAGGCAACTCTTTGCCAAGCAAAAGATGCCTCTCTTTCTCGTCCACTAGACTCGACTAGACCGAACAAGTATTGGCCAATATTCCTTCTTGGAATAAAGAAATTCAGGAAAAATCCGGGGAACAACCGCAGACTATCCTGTTAACCCCGCAAAAACAACATTCCAAGGCTGTTAGCGATTTAACCTTTGAACCAAGAAGCGTTATATCCTCTATTGTAGATCGAACTGGGTTGAATACACGAGAGACAATACAGTGAAAATTAGAAAGCAGGGAAAATAAAATAAAATAAAATAAAATAAAATAGAATAAAATATACAGATTAAAACAGCTCGGCAAGCTAAACAAACCCAGTAAGGTGCCAAAAGCCAAAACACAAGCTAGCCGATGATGTGCTCGGAAGACACAGTGATGCAAAGTCCCCGCCAGACCCTCTATTGGCCATACTGAGGGAATGAACGTGTAGACGTGTGCTACAACTGCCGTGCCGGTGATGTGTGTTTACTTACGCTCAGGTTAAAACTAAAATGGTGCGATACGGTACAATTGTATTGTTTGGGTGTGGGAGGCCGTTTTCTATATAATATTGTCCATTGCTGCCCCCTCCCGGGATGGAGGTGGTGTTCTTCTTCTCTCAAGGGCTTGGTGTACCCTGCTGGCCAATTTCGTCTTTATAATTTAATCCACAAGGGTAGAACTACACAGGAGGAAGGCGAGTGCTCAAAATGGCCGATATCGAACGGGCCGACAAAGGTCCCAAAGACCAGACGACAACGCCTCTCGACGATGACTGCTCAAAGGCATCTATTGCTGTCGGACAGGAAAATCTCTCCGCCGTTACAGCGCCCCACGAGTCTTTCGAGGGTTATCATCGCTTTGACCCTACGGCATCTTGGACGGAGAAGGAGGAGAGAGCGGTTGTGTGGAAAACCGATTTGTTGCTTCTAACATGGGTTTGTGTCATGGTAATTACTATCCACTTCGCTATGATTGATTTCGACTGAGATCAGCGCTGACAGCGCGAAGTTCTTTGGTCTGCAACTTGACCGCGGAAATTTATCCAACGCACTCACGGACAATCTACTCGATGACCTGAACCTCTCGTCGAATGATTACAACAATGTATGCGAACTATGTACACTTCTAATGCTATGAAAGTTTACTAACAATGATATTTAGGGAACGACAATCCAACTCGTGTGCTTCCTAGCAACCGAATTCCCCGCACAGCTTCTCATCAAGCGATATGGATTCAGACGCGTTCTGCCGATCATGATGATGCTGTGGTCCCTTGTTTCCTGGACCCAGGCATGGATGACCGGTCGGGCCAGCTTTTATATCACCCGTGCCTTGATCGGGGCTTTTGAGGGTGGTTTCATCCCTGGTACCATTCTGTTTGCAACCTATTTCTACAAAACGAGGGAGTTGAGTGTGCGGCTCGCTTTCTTCTGGTCGACATTGAACGTAAGTCACAAGTGGTCCTAGATTACCGTCTAACCGGCGATGGCATAGCTGACATGCGACAGGTTGCTCGCATTATCTCGTCCTTGCTTGCCGCAGGAATATTGGAGATGCGTGGAGTTCACGGAAAGACAGGCTGGTTTTGGCTTTTTCTGATTGAGGGTCTCTTGACTTTTGTTATTGGACTAGTGGTATGTATCAGCCTTCCCTGCGATGGGTCAGGATGTGGATGAGTATAAGCGAAGACAGAAGCTGATCTGATTGCACATAGAGCTTCCTTTACCTTCCCGGCTCCCCAACCAACACGAAGAGTGTTCTCGTCCCCAAACCATGGTACACTGAGCGCCAGGAGGTGATTATGATCAATGTACGTTCCTTCACAGAAAGCTATCCCTTATCTCCGTATCCTTAGCTAACTCATACGCTTGAAGCGCCTGCTACGTGACGACCCCTCGAAAGGTCTCACCAACATCCACGAACGCGCTACCCTCAATGACGTACTCCGTGCCTGGAGCGACAAGTCCATGTGGGGTCTGTACCTCATCGGCCTTGTCGCCTATATCCCGCAGAATCCAGTCCAAGCATATCTATCACTAACCCTGAAACGGATCGGGTTTTCGACCTTCGACTCCAACATGCTCTCCATTCCATCGGCAGTGCTCCAGATTATCCTTATGCTGGCTCTCTCGAGCAGTAGTGAATATTTCGGCGAGCGATCATTCCACTGTCTGTTTGGCGAGTTCTGGTCCTTGCCATTACTGGCCGCAATGCTCGCTCTACCGGACGGTGGCCGCGAGTGGGGCCGTTTCACCATCACCACGTTGATATCCGGATATCCGTACTTTCACCCGATTGTGTCGGCTTGGATTTCTGAGAACACATTCGATGTGAAGAAGCGAGCCATTACGGCTGCAACTTATAACGTGATTGTCCAGGTTGGATCCGTCATCGCGTCTCGTAAGTACCGACCCTACCGAAGATGGAGGTTCAGAATAGTCCGGCTGACTGAGAGGAAAACAGAGATCTATCGCGACAACGACAAGCCGTACTACTTCACTGGCAACAAGGTGCTTATTGCGATTTGTGCCTTCTCAATGGTAGTGTTCGTGGCGCAGAGGGAGTACCTCCGTTACCTCAATCGACAGAAAGAGAAGAAGTGGAATGATATGACGCCCGAGGAGAAAGTGGCGTACCAGTCCGACCAGGCTGCTCGAGAAGGCGAAGGGAACAAGCGGCTGGACTTTCGCTTTAAGTATTAAGCTTTGTTGCATGTACTCGTCAGGTTTTGAATTTAGTGTTAAATGTTTTCGAAAGGTCAGTTTCAGTAGAGACCAACAAAATCAGTGTTCGTAGCAAAATTCGTGAATTCAGCACCAGGAAATAAGAGATCCTGGGTTGAGGCTCGTAAGATCTGGGATGCTATGTCCTCAGTGATTGCGTTCATCGGCACTAGCGACGACCATAAGGGTGATAGAGGTGTCATTTCTTCCGTTTCAAGGGCTACACTACTTGTGTCAAACAGAAAATTGGATGCTGCCTCGTCATACGTCGGTTGAAAGAGATCATTTGCACCTGAGTATTGTGGGGCTTGGTTCGGATCACCATCGTCTGAACTCCCAAAGGACATATCACAGACCGACACGTAGGTCAAGTCGTTCGCGTCGGACAGATAAGCAAGTGGGTCTAAACAGGTGGATAAATTAGGATCTTGATTAGCCAACTCGGTAATTCTCTTCGCTTGTTGGCCGTGAACCTGAGTTTCGCACTCCGTGGGGGGTGTCCAACGCTTTCTGCTACCAGCATTTCGAAGAGGTGTTGTTAACGCGGGTCCGATCACGACCTGCACCTCTGCCATTTTCTGGTAGAGAAGATCAATCAATTTCTTGTTCCCTCCGCCGCGAAAGGTCGATAATATGGAGTGAAGACGAGATAAGATATAATTTGGACGACTCTCGCCATCCCATTCGGGAGAGAGTGGCAGCACAGCGAGGTCTTTAATGGCATCCGCAAGGGAGTTAGCAACCTCATAAATCTTGAGCTCCATACCCAAACCATGCGCCTCAACTGCCGACCGAGGTAGTTGCGAGACGATGTTTACTAGCTCCTGGGCGACGTTGAGTGGGAAGCAACGAGACATGGATTGGTCGGCGGACGGGGAAGGCCCCGGATAGTGTTTTGCAGACAGTTTCCATAGGATCATTCGCATCCAGTGCCGAGTGACGCACAGATCTGCCTTCTGTACATCCGAGATATGCTCAAATAACATCGATCCGTCCTGCAGATTTCGCTGAAGGCTCTCCAGGAAGGGCCAATCGACGCGCCCCACATTATTTGCACCTGGCTGCATGTCGGTATTTTCATCCTGAATAATATCAAACATCCCTGATTTCTCGAAGATCTGGAAGAGGTTGAGGAGCTTGAGGAAGGCGGGGAGGACATGCGATTCGTCATTTTCGTCAATCACCGGGGCTGAGATATTCGTTTTCAATGTGACTGGGTACCTATGGAGGATGCAAACTCCCCTGGATAGATCAGTTGCTGCGAAACGACATAAACCATTGCTCAAGTGACTCACCGTTCTGTGACAAAGAGCAGCCAAAGGACACGCCGACGTAATTGTTGCTCCTCAAACGATAGAGAATTGTAAGACGACTCTCGATGGAGACCCATTATCTGAGCAATGGAGATGGCCTCTCTTAAATGCAGAAGAGATTCACTCCCTCCGGGCTTTTGGTTTTCATAGTACACATGCAGAAAAAAGGACGTCTGGATACTGTTCAAGTTGACCTGCGAGCGATAATCACATAGGTTCCGAGCGCGCAAGCATTCCGCTGCCAACATTTCGGCTGTGATCGTTTCCCCCGCGCCGGGGCCTTGCTCCAACCGTAGTTGAGCTATTGTCGCTGCTGCTACTGCAGTCGACAACGCATAAGTCTCGTTGTCACTGTTAACAGTATCTCGTTGAAGTGCGGACACCATTTCTTCGACGTTGACAATTGGCCAAACGGGGTACATGCGCACGTGGTAAATGGAGAGCGGAGACGTCAAGGTATCGAGAGGAATTCGCGAACTACAGTGTGTTAGAGCAGATGACCGTGTTATGTCCATCGCGCAAAAACATGTGCCACCGACCTTTCCATGCGTGAGGTCTGTCGCGCAGGCGTAGTATTCGGATTGAGCCTTTCCAGCATAGCTTCAGTTGAGCGGTGCGCATCCTCGCAGTCATTGTTGTCGCCCCCAACCTGCGCTTGCTCGATGAGGAATTGTGTCGTGGAGCGCAATCGCCTCGGTCCTCGACATTGCTGAACTCGGACATAAGTACATTTTATTTTGGCCTTGGTGCAGGACCTGCAAGGCTGCCCGCCGCCACAGCGGATCTTTCGAATCTTACAACCATCACAGGCGCGCTTGGTGACACTTGGTTTGGCAGAGGACATGTTGACGATCAACCTTGCAATAAATCTATCGTATGCATCACGAAGTTTCCAGGGCTAGTTCCAGCCGATAAGATTAACGTAACTCCGAGCCGATAGTACGACTTTACCGCCTTGAGCGAATCCTAGCTATGGGCGATAAGAACGATCCTCCTACAAGCGCAGGAAACAGGTCAGATCAGTTTCAACGTGCGACAGTGAGTGACCGTTGATGCGGGGAAATTCAGAGTCAGAAACCTATTCCAAGAGCTAGACCATGAGGACAGAGGGAGCAGTTGCGCGACGGCCTCCACTCCGCACGCCATCGCTCCACCTTTTGACTTTAGGGCTAAAATCGCGCCGGTCCAAAGTCGCAGTTCCCAATTGGGTAACGTTGTCGCTCTAACGCATTATACGAGCTTGAGATAGTCGCCATTGGACCATTACAGAGACGCCAGTACTAAATAGAAAAAGATCGTTTTGTTTCTGCAGCAGATTGCCCCTCCGAACATTTCTCCGTTCTCCATCTCGCTGTTTACCCGAGCCCCCGCACGGCAGTGTCTTATCGCTTACCATTCGTCGTTATCAGCCCTTGGAGGGCAAAATTATTTTTCGCAACTGGAAGATGTGATCCAAGTACTCGTCGCTGAGTGGATGACGTGGCGGTCTAAATAAAAGCTCTAATAATGTCTACTACTAAGGGGTGGCATGGCGTGTTTACTGTCAGCGCAATAAATTGCAGCGTAGCCGCTCTTCAGAGGGAAGTGCCGTAACAACCTGAGAAGGACACCTCCCACATCGCATTTTCCGCGTATCCACTACTCACAATGGCTTGGCCGAACAAGAATAAAGACATGATTTACCGCCGGGTGGGCAACTCGGGTCTTCATGTGTCTGCAATAGGTCTGGGAGGCTGGTTAACGTGAGTTTTGTCTGCTGCGTGGCATACAGAAAATAAAACATCACTAACCTATTTGGCCGTAAAGATTCGGCGGGCACGTTGATGATGGTAAACACAATCAAGGTGAATAGCAATGAAGGGGTGCTAATCTCGGCCAGATATTACATTCAAGTGCATGAAGCAGGCTTATGATTGCGGTGTCAATTTTTTCGACACAGCAGAAAGGTACACATTTCTTTTTTCCAGGTCCGGCAAACGGAGTACGTCCACTAACACATAACAGCTATGCTAATGGCCAATCCGAAATTGTTATGGGGGACGCAATTCAGAGGGCTGGCTGGCAGCGCAGTGACCTGGTGATCAGCACAAAGGTAGACAAGCAGATTCCTGACGATCTAATAATCATCGCTAACGATAGTGTCTTCTTAGCTAAACTGGGGAATGGCGAACGGTGAAATTCTCATCAATAACCACGGCCTATCTCGTAAACACATCATCGAAGGTACACGCGCATCGCTCCGACGACTGAAACTCGACTATGTGGACATAATTTACGCTCATCGCCCTGATCGTCTAACACCGATGGAGGAGACAGTACGTGCATTCAACTTCGTAATTGACCAGGGCTGGGCCTTCTACTGGGGAACATCGGAATGGTCTGCAGATGAAATTACCGAAGCTTGCGGCATCGCCAAGTCCTTGGGCTTGGTGGGACCCATCGTCGAGCAGCCCCTTTATAACATGTTAGACCGGAAGAAGGTTGAGGGCGAATTCCAACGGTTATATACTCGGTGCGGAATCGGTTTGACCACTTTCTCTCCTCTCAAAATGGGACTCCTGAGTGGCAAGTATAACGATGCGACCACCCAGCCTCCACCTGGTTCGCGATTCGCGGAGAGCCAGGATAGATTTGCGAACCAAGTGAGGAATGACTGGGAGAATAAGGAATGGGCAGGAACTATTGAAAAGATTGTGAAGCTAAAGGTAAGTGTCAGGATCTTTTTATATCCTTTTGCTACTTTCTGTTGGCCATGGTCCTTGGCTTTTTAAGCTGAGTGATCGTTTCGTTGTGGTACGGTCAAAACTAATGAAGTAAACCAGGACTTGGCCGATAAGCTCGGATTTAAGTTATCTCAGCTCGCCCTCGCGTGGTGTCTAAAGAACGAGAACGTATCCGCAGTGATTACGGGTGCTTCCAGACCCGAGCAGATTGTTGATAATGTGGAAAGCTTAAAGCTGTTACCGAAGTTGACCCCGGAGATCCTCGCAGAGATCGATGAATTGCTTCTCAACCGTCCTGCCGCGGACCCAGCACGCCAGGACTGAGAAGCAATACTTTTCTTTACTGTGTGGAAAAACAATGAAATGACACCTATTAACGAATAAAACCAAAATCAAATGCTTTGTCCTAATCCAAGTACGAACATAGCGTGTCGAAGCGTCATATTTCTAACTTAAGGCAGAATATACTGCTATTAACTTCCGGGCTCCCCGAGTTTTTCGGTGGTATGACTTCATGCGGTCCGCGAGCGTCAAAGACATTCTGAATAAATAAATCCGCATGTAACCTCTTGTCCCAGAACCCTTTTGGGTGATGACTGTTGCAACAACTTACATATGTGATTACGAACAATGCCTGACATTTGAGTACAAGACGACGCGGAAAGAGAACCCGACTAATAAACTACATTCACTTCCAGCGCCTTCCGGTAAGTAGTCTCGCGCTGATAGCTCGACAAGAGGTGAGATACTGAGTAGGGTCTGAGTGGCGTTCGTGATGCCCCGAGTCTGAGATCTGCATTGGGAAGCCCGATGTAATTCAGATACATTGTTAGCCGGATGCGGATGGATTGAAAACTTACCAACGAAATAAATGCCTAAGAAAGATGTTGTTCGCGTGTCTGTCAAAGTCATTGATGTCAGCAATAGAGCTTAATTGCCGTGGCTCGGGATGTTATGGACCCACACCGGATGCTTCCACAGTAGGGCTTGAAAGCTAATCGGAGTTTCAAGGTTCAATGAATTCATAAGAGTGGCTGAGCGGCGGATATTGTGGACCATCTATACGTCGATAAGTTGTCCAGTAAGCATGTCAACGACGTATTTTGCATGATAGTCCAAACAGCTAGTAAACTTAACATCCCGGGAGCTAGGAGGCCCAGAACTCATACTTAAGTGTTTCAAACGCATCCAACGTCCCGCCTTCAATCCTAGCTTTAATGGGATTGGACTAGATGAATCACATTGCCATAACCTCAATACTCCCTGTTGGAAATACCTGAGCCACGATGAAGGGGATACCAAGCTCCGCCGAGGCTTCCAATAGCATGTTTGGGGCTGCGGAGTCCTCCCAACGAGCTCATGAGCCTCTTACTCAAAAGCAATCAGCTCTGGAGCACCCTAGGAAGGGATCGGTGCAATCCATGAGCAGCGATCATGGTGGAATGGCTGAAAACTTTAGTAAATTGACCAAAGTGGTCCAAGCCGCCCGTCGCCCGTTACCCACAGAGACCGGGGACGGAACTTACATTGAACCTGAGAATGGCGGAAGTCTGTGGAGAGATCTGCGTGCCTTAGGGATTAAGGATGCCAATACTTTGAAGGACTTGATTGAAAACAAAGCCGGCGGGCTTGTCAAGGGCAGTGGCCAGGCGGTAGACGACAAGACGATGCTGATGGAACGCATCATACAGGTAGGACCGACGCAGAATTCACAGAACAATGCAAAATGCTAATATGTATATCTTCAGCTTGTCGCAAAATTGCCCTCTGAATCTAGAACCCGTGTCAAACTAACAAACATGTTTCTGGGAGAACTATGGGACTCACTGCCTCATCCTCCTCTTTCGTAAGCATTCATTGAAGCATACCTAGCCTCAAGTGGCAGTCGAACCTGACAGGTATCAGATATGTAGGCGACAAATATGCTTACCGCTCAGCCGATGGGTCCTACAATAACCCTACCCTGCCCTTGTTAGGCGCAGCGAACACGGAATATGCTCGGACCATCGAGCCTTTGAAGGTCAGACCGGCCAGTTTGCCAGATCCCGGCTTGATCTTCGACAGTTTATTCGCGCGAGAAACATTCAAGCCCCACCCTAACAATGTCTCGAGCGTTTTCTTTACTTGGGCTTCATTAATTATCCATGGTAAGCGTTCAACTGATCACTCTAGCATCACGCACAGGATTAACTAGATCCAGACATTTTCCAAACGGGACATCCAGACGAGAACTTCAACAAGACATCATCATACTTGGATCTTTCTATCCTCTATGGCGATAACCAAGAAGAGCAAAATATGATGCGCGAGTTCGAAGGTGGTAGGATCAAGCCAGATTGCTTTTCTGAACCACGTCTGCATGCGCTACCTGCGGCCTGTGGCGTTATTCTGGTCATGTTGAACAGGTTCCACAACTATGTAGTCGAGCAGCTGGCTGCTATTAATGAGAATGGCCGGTTTACGAAACCCTCAGACGGTATCCTCGATCCAGTTGAAGCAAGGGCCGCCTGGGCAAAGTACGACAATGACCTTTTCCAGACGGGTCGTCTTATCACCTGCGGTCTGTACATCAACATCACTCTGTACGACTATCTACGCACCATCGTGAACCTGAACCGTGATAACACTACCTGGACCCTGGATCCACGCGCGCACATGGAACACGATACTGTTCCTACAGCATTGGGGAACCAGTGTTCAGTAGAATTCAACCTAGCCTATCGATGGCATTCGACAATCAGTCGGAAGGACGAGGCCTGGACGGAACAGACATACCAAGCGATTGTCGGCAAGCCCGGTAACGAAGCCACCGTGCAAGACTTGATGGGGGGCATGAGGAAGTTTGGTGCCAATATTCCTAAGGATCCATCGAAGCGCGAGTTCGCTGGACTTAAGCGGCAATCCTGTGGCAAATTCAAAGATGAGGAGTTAGTGGACATCTTAACTATGGCCATTGACGAAGTGGCGGGATCCTTCGGGGCCCGCAATGTTCCTAAGGTTTTGCGATCGGTAGAAATCCTAGGCATGGAGCAGGCACGTAGGTGGAATGTTGGGTCATTGAACGAGTTCCGGAAGTTCTTTGATCTGAAGCCCTACCAAAGCTTTGAGGAGATCAATTCCGATCCGGAGGTAGCAGATCAGTTGCGACATCTCTATGAGCATCCAGATTATGTGGAGCTGTATCCGGGAATCGTGGCCGAGGAAGCTAAAGAACCGATGATACCAGGGGTTGGCATTGCACCTGGATACACCGTCTCCCGTGCAGTGTTGTCCGACGCGGTGGCGTTGGTTCGGGGTGATCGATTCTACACGGTTAGTTTGTTTCCTTACCGTATGGCACACGAAAGACATGCTGACACCCGAAAAGAAGGAATATAACTCAAGGAACCTCACTAACTGGGGATACGAGGAGTCGATGTATGACTTGGAAATCAATCAGGGATGTGTGTTTTATAAATTAGCATTGAAGGCCTTCCCACAGTATTTCAAACAAAACTCCATATTCGCCCACTATCCTATGACAACTCCACATGCGAATCGCGATATCATGAGAATGCTTGGAAGAGAAGAAGAATTCTCCTGGGACCGTCCGTCATACACACCCTCTCGTACAATGATCTTTGACTACCCGAACGTCCGGCGCATCCTTGAGGATTCATCGAATTTCCGCGTGGTTTGGGACGAAGCAACTGGGTACGTCTTTGGCAAGGGTGGCTATGATTTTATGCTATCCGGTGACTCGCCGTTCCACGCAAATCAACGGCGGATTATGAAGGAGTCGTTGTATCGGTCACAATGGCATGAGGCCGTCAAAGAGTTCTACCTGGAAATCACCGAGCAGCTGTTGTCAGAGAAATCATGCCGGGTGGGCAACGTCAACCAGATTGACATCAGTCGCGAGTAAGTCTCACTCATCCCTAAAGCTTAGTTCAGACCTGCATTTCTAAAACTGCCTTTTTCACTGCAGTGTTGGTAATCTCGCCCACGTTCACTTTGCTTCCAACATCTTTTCACTTCCTCTGAAGACCAAGGAACATCCGCTCGGAGTTATCACCGAACATCAAATGTATGAGATTATGGCTGTCATTTTTACCGCCATCTTTTTCGACGTCGATCCCTCCAAATCATTCAAACTGCGCCACAAGGCTCGCGAGGTAGCGGAGCAACTTGGGCCACTCGTCGAAGCGAATGTCAAAGCTGTGAGCTCAGCCGGTTTCCTTTCCACCTTGATCGATGGTATCCGCACCAATAAAAACGCGCTTTCCGACTACGGAATCCATATGATACGAAGGCTGCTCGACCACGGGTTGGATGCCTCTGAGGTCACCTGGTCTCAAATTCTGCCCACGGCCGTTGCGATGGTACCAAACCAAGCCCAAGTGTTTACGCAAATCATCGACTACTACCTCTCCGATGATGGGAAAGAGCATCTTCCTAACATCCAACGCCTTGCCAAAGAAGACACGCCCGCGTCCGATGAGATGCTCCTGCGCTACGTCATGGAAGCAATCCGCCTGAACGGCATCTTCGGCTCCTACCGAAAGTCTCACACTAGCCTAACACTCGACGATAAGAATAAAATGGTCCAGATCAAACCCGGAGATACCGTATTCGTTAGCTTTGTAAGTGCTCGTTATAGTCCGCTTGAGCTGGTCGATCAACTACGGCTAACTGCCAATACAGGTCGACGCCAACCGTGACCCTAACGTCTTCCCAAATCCCGATAAAGTGGATCTCAACCGTCCCATGGAATCATATATTCATTACGGTGTCGGTCCTCACACATGTTTGGGTGGCGATGCAAGTAAAGTCGCGCTAACGGCCATGTTACGTGTGGTTGGCCGGTTGAAAAATCTTCGCCGTGCTCCAGGACCACAAGGTGAGTTGAAGAAGATTGACCGAGGACATGGCTTCTACACCTATATGCGGGCAGATGAAACGAGTCTCTATGCGTTCCCTATGAGTAAGTCAATTTTGACCATCAATAGGAGGTCATCTGCTAACTAAGAAAATAGCCTGGAAGCTCCACTACGATGGCGCAATTCCCGGGAGGGAGCGATGTGTTCCAGAACAGCTTGTGTGCAATGTTCCTGGACATTGGCATGACTAACATGATATCAACCTTTTACCACAAGATTGAGTATAATATAGCAAAATCTGCGAATTAATAACAATTAGTAATAGCGGGTAACTGAACGCTTGAAATGTGGATATGTAAAAGGGGCATAGTATGGAAAAGTCCACCCATTAATATATTTTGCGGGTTAGTTGATTCAATACTAGGTCAGTCTATGAATTTTAAAGGAATTGTAACTGTCTCTGGGTTTACGAATCAGTCTGGGACAGGCACCCGCCTGTGCAGAGTATGTGATCAGGGACATATATGTATAGAAAAAAGTCCGCTAAATTAGGAAATTATCTTTTCTTAATCCTAGTATACTATCCTTCTACGTCAATTGTAGCCTTTCTATAGCTACCTTACTATACTATCTATCAAGAAATTAAGATAATCCAATAGTTGGGTTAAGGTTAGGTTAACCCACCCTGCACGCAACCCCCCGCGACGAGAGGACGCACCTTTAACCAATCACAAGCTGAGAAACTGGGCCGAGGGCTGAGCAATTCAGGAATAGAGTATAGATATTATATAGAGGAGAGATGGCCATAGTTCAATTACAACAATTTATATGGTCTTGCCCATGTCAGAGGAAGGGTGGATGAACAGCCCTGGACAACCCCGTGGATTCTAGATAAGTGCTGGAGGTATCGAATCGGCAGGGCTAACCCACCAGATCACACTGTGTATATAGCCCATAAGCCTAATGGGGCGCTAAATCTGTAGAACCCACCGTTCATTTTCATAATCAACCTGTCAGTTCCATTTGAGCACCTCTTTTATGTCATTTGTGGGCCGGCGAGCTGAAGTATGACCCACCTTTCGACCCGATCGTCGACAGTACACATACTATGGCTGGGTGCGAAAAATTCATACTGATCTCTTTGTGTTTCTTTGTATATCATTTCCTTCTACGAATTTTTGCCCGCTGACAGATGTACACAATATATAAAATCTAATAGGGCCATCACCATTGTCATTGTGGTTCTCATAGCTCCAATCAGTAATATCTAAGCGAACCCCTCAACAAGGGTCAACACAATCTTTTCACCTCATATCTCGGTAAACAAAGTCCCCGGAGGAGAACCTTGGGGAAAAGGAAAAAAAAAAAAAATTTGAAAAAGAAAAAGAACGTAGTGTTTCAAGCACCTGACTTTCACGCACTCTAGGGACGTTATCTCGTATCTTTCGTATTGTTCTATTCTTATAGTTCGCATTCATTTTCCTTTCCCTGTTTCTTGTTTTCTTTGCCGGATTTTCTTTTTCATTGACGACGGTCATAGCGCGATGATCAACAAACCCATGAACCTTTCTCAGCGGGACATATCTCATTCTCATCAAATGACTGAATGATAGATATGGGTCCCTTGGCGACGAGACCCATCACTGAGCGGGCCGATCTTCATCAGATGCCGTCTCAGACCGATTCATTCAGCTATCAGCCCCATAGCCCATCGGGCTGGTCAGAAATTTATTTCACTCGATCACCCTTCTCAGAATGTACATCTCAGCCTTTTTATTTCAGGAATCGCTGCCCTCCTTTATCAATCTTCAATATGCCTGACCCAACTATGCCTGAGGAGTATGCCGAGCTTATGAAGCACAACGGCCCTGAACATTATCTGTACAACCCTCAGAGGTATAGCAAGCTTCACCCTGGTTCAGTTGGATATTTTGACAAATATGGGATTTGGAACCAAATCACGGATCTTTCACAGCCAGGAGATCGGCATGATATTGGTTTTAAGGGCATCGGTAAAGTGCTTTCCTATGATGTCCCCACTGAATCCATGTGGAACGACGTATCCTCAGGTACTGAAGCGGAATCAAGCTTCGGACTCAAGGGCGGGTTGTCAGGCATGCTCGCTGCCGCTCCAGTGGAAGCGGAGGCTAATGCGAGCAACAAGAGGGGTTCGTCTGGGACAGCAGCTCTGGTTACTACCGAAGCGGTCCAGAATCAGAGACTCGAGGGTGGCTCCGGCAGGCTTATCAGCGACTGGGTGAAGAAGAATGGCAAGATTCTGATGAAGTCCAACTACGGCGATGAAATTCGAGACTATGGGCTATGGGTGATCCACACCACATGGTCCACCCCGGAATGTGCGATTAAAATGAACAGCGCTTTCCATCGCAATACCAGCGCGGGGCTGGGCGTTGGAGCCACCGATGTTGGTAAGATTGGAGGTAGTGGATCATCGCTTAAGAAGCTTGAATCCAAGGGCTGGAAATCATTTCAAGCCACAGAGGTATGTAAGAAGAGCGCCGCTCAATGACGTTTGGGATTCTCAATTCGTACAGAGTGACCAGGGACTCGTCGTAGCGTATGGTGGAGCTAGATTCAGACTTCGTACCATCCGACCATTCTGGTACCCGGTATGTGGCTTAACCTAGATACTGTTGTGTTGAATGAAAACTAACAAGCCCATTGCAGCCGCTCAAACAGACCGAGAGAATGTCCGCTCGTGAAGAGTCAATGAAGGTTTTGTACAATGACAAACAAGAACTAATTGGCTACGAAAGGTGGCATATGGCTCGTGATGAAAACGGAGACATTCAATGGGTGCCGATCTCTAAGGAGGAATTAGTTTTCGATGAAAACCGAAAGGAGCTTGGAATGGTGTACTGGAACCGTATTTCCGACGAAGATGGACGAGAGATTGGATGGGACCCCTACCGCAAGGAGGATTACATTTTTGATGAAGATGGAGAGAAGACCGGGGTCGAGTATTCCAGGCCTACTCGTGGCAGTACGAGGCAACATATCGAATGGGAGAAGTATGATAAGGACGCTGAGGACGCTGTGGAGGAAGAGACCATGATGAAAGAGCTTGAAATGGCAAATAAGAAAAGGATTGAAGAGCAGAAGCAGGCACGCAGGGAGTATGAGGACCAAGACGAATTTGAAATCAGGTGTGAGACGGTCGGAATGGATGAGAATGAAATTGGATATGACACCGAGAAAGTAGAACGCACCGGGACTCCTCCTTCATCCAGGTCCAAGTGCTGCGTCATGTAGCGGAACATGGATTGTATGCAGAATGATGCATTTACTTGACGGGGAAATTCTCATTTCTTTAATATTGCACTGCAATAGAATAATATCAAGTTATGAGCATCTCATCAAACCATGACCTTATACGTGTCTTCCTACTATAACCAAGGCCTCTCCAAGAACTGCACCGGAATCTCTACCTGCCGTGCACGCACAAATTCCCCAAAGCTCTCGGTAAAGCCATCGATAATGGACGAAGTGACGAATCATGACTGCCGTCTCCTTCTGTGATTTGGGATCCTCAGGCACGCTTCCATACGCATCGATAGCAATAGTTGAGAAGAGCGACTGATCTAGATAGTCCAGGATTTGCTTTCGCTGAAGCTCAACCTTCTCCTTGATGTCAAGTCCAACAGCAAACGTGCATATCTCAGCCTGGTAACCTCCAAAGCCACAAACGGCAAGCTTGGTTGTTGGGGGTGGCCGGCCTCCCTTCACGCTGGTCTCACGTACCCGATTTGTGGTATCTTGGTCGATCCTTATGTCTTCAAGGTGAGCTACAACGTCGGGGTTGAGATAGTTTGGTCCTTGGACTTCGTAGACCAATTGAGCCTTGACGGTGTCGACTGCAACAGCGCCATTGCTTCCGGGGTGCATAGTAATAACAGAGCTACCGTCATCATATACCTCCACTATGAGATATCCCACTCGGACAGGATTGGGGATGGACTTGAAGCCCCAGAAATTACCTCCTGTTGTATAAGGGCCACATTCTGTCAAGTGCCCAGCAATCAGCCCTCCAGCGAGTCCGTCATAGTCCATGTCAGACCAACCGTGCCACCTAATCGAGGTCAGTGGTTTATAATCTCCCCACCATGCATGAAGAACACTGACCAAGAAGCGAGACCGATGACCGGAGAGGCATCACAGCACCGACCACACATAACTATTTTGGCTCATGCACTCAGTGTGGCAACGATTCCCTTGGCACCAGTATACGCGTTTGCTGACACAACACGATTCTCTGATGCGCTCAGATCTTGGCCGTCAATGTCCAGGTGAGGGAACTGTTCAGCTGTGCCAGCCTTCTGAGCGGCCTCGACTTCTGCTGTAACATTGTCGCCGTCAACACATGCCACCTTGTTTCGCTTCAGCTAGATAATCGGCAAACACGGCGTCCAGTGGACCTTCAGTGGCCAAACGGTAAATTTGGCCGGGGCCATCGCCGGCAGCACCAGAGCTAAGAAGGTGTCAGCTATTGGCCTAATATTGCATCGGATGGATATAGACATACCAATTTCCAATACGAATCTCCTGTCTCCCTGTCATTGTTGTGACTAACTGTAGAATATCACGAGAGTTGGGTTCAGACTCCATGACCCCTCAAAGCGGCAACGGATTAATATAACCTCTTCTTTACGGAGACCAGAAACATCCTACCTATGCTGATAGACCTTGCATAGCATTTTGCACAAGGGGTAATTTTATATTTTGCTACTTGTACTCCAGGGCACCATAGGATTGAGCCTCAGTCAATGGGTTAATCTTAACTCTCTAGGTGGGCCTCTGACGTATAAATTTATCTTTCTTCTCCTTACGACCGATTATTACAGACGCACGAAGGGCTCAGGCAGGCTTCGCAGACACCCATTCCTTACCTACTTCAGAGATCATCTTGACCGTACCATTGATCTCGCTGCCCGCCGCAAGACCCGAAGGACCCACTTGGCCAATGTTTAGTGGAGCACTTACGCAGCGCTTTGGTTAGTGCTTATGCATATGCTCCCTGCATAAGGGTACGCCGAGGAATAAAAACATCCCCGCATTATATATCCTCGACCCCTCTCAAAAGAAACCACACCTAACTAGCAGACGGAAAGGAAGATGACATACTCAGTCCCCATAGAAGCCGCCCAACTTCTGCGCAAGGGTATCTTACAGAACCCTTTGCTCACATCGAACATCCCCAGCGATGCATCCTCTATCGCAGACTACGTCACATTCACAGGAAATGCAAACCCCAATATTCCCATCAACTGGCGCTTTGCTGAGAGTATTTCGGCACTGAAGGGCCTTGAGTCCCTCTGGATCAACGCTCTATTGAAGGCGAAGTATAACCAAGGTCCAGTGAAAGTTGAGATTGATACGTGAGTGCAGCATTTCATAGACCTCGCGTTGTTTTTTTTTTTCTCTTGCGTCTTCGTAGATTCGTATGTCTCTTAGATAGCGGCGTGTGCATGGTGCAGTTGTGGACTACCATACGATGTTTCAATATGCGGTTGGCTAACCTCATTATAGTGACCATGCCACGCTGTTCGTCATGTCGACTCTCCTTATTGACGTGGTCGACGAGAATGGAAAAGCGGCGAACCAACATATGTCTCCAATCCAGCGTATCGTATCGATATTCCCCAGTCCAGGAAGTAATTTTGGACAAGAAACCCCTCACCGCTCAGCCATCACCAATATCTACAAGACGAAGGATGGGAGGTGCTATCATGTCCACGGTAATCACTACCTAACCTTAACGAAATGGTTCAGGCGACGAGTTGGGGGCTAATTGCTAACAGGTAGTATGAACGCTACCCCCTCCTCGACAGCACTGGGTCTAGACCCTGACCGCGAAGCCTCCTCGACCGCCGATGCAATGAGTGCTATCCAAGAACGTGTACAGCAACACACAGCTGCAGACCTAGACGAACTTATGAATGAAAAGTACCGACAGGCTGGGACAATCTGCTATTCCAGAGACGAATACAAAGCAAGTGAACATGGGAAGGCTAACGCTCACGTTGGTCTCTATGAGCTTAACCACGTCCCCAACGACGCTCAGAAGCCCGGGTGGTGGAAGGCAGTCTCAGACACAGGTGTAGCTCGCCCCCTGGCTGGTCTTAAAGTCGTCGACTTATGTCGCGTCATTGCTGGCCCAAGTATCTCGAAGGGATTGGCCGAGCTTGGCGCGAGTGTGATGCGTGTAACTGGCCCAGGCGTCGTAGATGCATATGCTCTACACGCCGACTTGAACTGGGGAAAGTGGAATTGTTCCGTTGATTTAAAGACAGACGAGGGGAAGGAGACTCTACGCAAGCTTATCCTCGAGGCTGATGTCGTGTTGGATGGATACCGACCGGGTGTGATGGAAAAGCTTGGATTCGGCAGGGATGCTGTGCTTGAACTTGTCAAGGACCGGCCATTCGGCCTTGTGTATGCTCGTGAAAATTGCTACGGCTGGCATGGTCCCTGGCAGCATCGGAGTGGATGGCAGCAAATCAGTGATGCGGTAAGTGGTAATCTAGCCCGTGAGCAGTCAGGGCCACTAACTAACATGACTATCAGAACTGTGGTGTCTCCCTCGAGTATGGCCGTGCCACGGGTCACGATGAAGCGGTTACACCCGTCTTCCCTAATTCGGACTACTGGTAAGAAACTCCAATGCCTCACGCCCTTCCTTGAAATTCCTTAACACACCCCACAGCACCGGGGTTATGGGCGTCTGCGGAGTCATCAACGCTCTGATTGAAAGGGGCAACAAGGGTGGATCTTTCTTCATGGATGTAAGTCAACACTCCATTTTCCATTCTCCCCGATTTCACTCTTAAGAGAGCTGGTTTTTAACATGAGACAGACCGCCCTGAACTACTACTCTCAGTGGCTGGTGAACAGCGTGGGAGTCTATCCCCCGTCCGTCTGGGAGGATGTCTGGCAGCGACACAACCGGCTCGCCTTCCGCCATAACGACAATATGCCCGCCACCATTCCACGTATGATGAAGTCACTCATGCTGAACAGCGGTGCACAACTGTTCCAGCCACGCTTCTTCGAGATCCGGTATTCTGGGGCGGTCGATCGTTACTTCAAGGTGGTTCGACCTGTGCTCAGCTTCGGTGATAAACAAGTGGATCTTCGGTTCAATGTTGGAACAAGGAGCAATGGCCATGATGCTGCTCGCTGGCCAGAAGATCTACGGACAGAGATTGTCACCAGCGCATAGTCTGCAGGTTTCGGTGTTTGTTTGGAACAATGCGATGACATACACTAGTAAATAAGTAAGCTCCAGCTATAGATCGATCTTATCACCAAGTGGCCTAAGCAGTTGATACTCCACACCTAGTCGTGGGTCAACGGGGCGAGAGCTATCACTCTTGTGAAGGAGACAATGAAAATAGTCGATAGCTTTTCAACATAACGTGAACAAACTATACAAACGTCAAACTATCAATCGCCACCCTTGGGGTCAGCTGACTCACGCGCCCTGCGGTGTGTAGGTTTGTTTTCCTCACCTTAACGCAACTGGTTTGGTAACTTTACGATAAAGGCAATTATACTTCGAAAAGGCATCTCAAGATGGCTTAGCTCAGGGTAGAGTTAGGGTTACTGAAACAATCAAACAGTAGCTTTTGGAGCAATATTTTCTTCTCAATGACTACGTATCTAGTTTCTGTAAGCAAGACATAGCAGCAAGAAGACAAGTCCCTTAAATTTACTGTAATCTCAGACAAAAGAGAAAAAAAAAATAAAAATGCTTAATTCCTGGATGGCGGAAAAAGACTTTCCCGCCGGTATAAATGATGGACGTTTGCGGACGGTGAATAATCCTTGCAGACAGCTTAGATCCATGGTATTGGCCGAAAGTTCTTCACAAATCTCCACTAGAGTTATATCATGATAACAAAACTACATTCTGGAACTAACGATGGGAAGCATTTTATTTGTTATCTTTAATATTGCATCCAGATAAGCGCGCGAGTCAATGGCTGGCCATCGCCCATACATTATTGTGTCTTTCTTCGCGCGAGATTGCTTATAAGCAGCACAGATTTAACCCGCATTACATATAGATATAATTTAACTGTATAGAATATACCATTGCAATGAGAGGACCATATGGACATACCTCAATTAGAAACGCTGTGTCTAGCATCAGACCTACGTGTCATTTCATTGTCAGATTAGAGTTGACAGCGGGAATCATATTATGTGGGGCTATCTACGCTATAAAGCTGTCAACCAGGTATTTATTCTCCCGAATGAGGTCTAGAATTGGCCTGCGAATATACTTGTATGATTTTTAATTCGACTTTTGATCGCGATGGTCGTGACGTCATTGACTCATTGTTCTGTTCTTTGTTCCCCACATAAGACTCGAATTCAGCTATGTAAAATTTGGATGGAATGTTAAGTGACATTGTTTTCTATAACATCGAAAGCTGTGTCTCGAGTATAAGCTTCCCTATTGCTAAGCACGGATTTCTTACACTTGCATTGTTTAAGTTAAAATGGCAGCCATGACATCATAAATGGAAATGACGCCGGGGTCTATAGTGATAGCGCACAATAGCATAATACTGTACAAGAATGAAATAATCAAAGACTGGTCTAGAACTTCCTGGGTGCGGAAATAGTGTACCTGAATGTAGAAATCATGATGGCATTCCTTTCAGATGGAGATGCATCGCCGGAGTTTAGTAAAAGTATAATTTATTCCAAACTTCCGGGCCCCTTCCGTATAGTTTCTGGACAAGATACACGAAGAGAGAAAATCATCAGTAGAATGGAATCAAAGGTATAAATAAACCCATGATTCCCACAATCTTCCTGCTCTAATCGCCCATCAAATGTGAAGCACAATATAATATCAAATTGTGACTGATACTACTCTCATCCAACCACCAAAATGCCTGTAGGTCACAATCAATTCCATAATTTAAGATAAAACACCTTAGCTAACCAGATAATCAATATCTGAAGCACTACGTATGATCCCTGATCTTGTCAAGCATGTAACTGTTGGACTAACTCCTTTCTTTAAGCAACTCATGATCCGAACTCAAAACCCTGCTCCTTACCTTGGAGGTCTTCCTGGCACTGAGTGAGTCCATTCAATTACCTCTCACAAGAAGTCCTTTCTTAACACATCCAGTGATGGTACTGTCCTGGAAATCGCCCATCAAGCCGGTGCCTCCGGCGGCCATAACTTACCTGCACCCCGGATCTTTCCTCCGATGTATAGTGTCGAGTAGGAAATTCCCCCCTCGTTCGTCACCTAATATCTAGCTAATGTGTCTTCTTTGTTTCTCAGAGTTGATGTCGACTCATCTGCCGGCACCGATGATTATAAGCAGAAATTTCAAGAAGCATGGTTACAAGGCAAGGATTCAGAGGGCGAGGCCCTCCCTCCTGCTTCAATCCAGATTTGGGATGCAGATGAAGAGTGATTGATTTTGGATTCGCACTGGCTCAAAGCGGGTCCTTAAGGAAATTATTGAATTTCAAATATTAGTTGAGTTGCTTCAGTCAAAGAAGCCCTAATGAGAACAGCCAGGCGTATAGTAGGCAAGATCGTGGTGATGTACCATCACTAAATAAAGAAATTACAAAACGACTGAGACAGCGATGGATAGAACACAGCCTGAGCATTCCAGAACGGTTCACCATTTATTTTTATCTAAGTATATACCGCCGTTATACGCGCCGTCCAACAGGCAGCCACTTTGAAAAGATTTAGGGGTGGCAGAATCCCAGATTCTGTATGTAAATGCTTAAGTTGATTATAGGAGAAGCCTGAATAGCTCCATCTTCTGCGTTGCGGTGAGGCAGACCAACCAACCAACACGCCGAAGGGCAGGTGGGTCTGCCGACCTAAGAGACAGCTAGCACGGTTGGTTGCCTCAGTCACTCAGATCACGTGTCACTATAATCAGAGTACATGTTTGGGATCGTCCCCATCAGGGCCGGCATTTGTAGGCAGTTGGGTAACATGCCAAGATACGCATTTCGATATACTCTAAGATTCGCGAGGGTGCCAGAGTCTTACAACCTACGGTAGTCAGGATATGCATGACGACTCGTGAGCATGGGTTGTGGATATATATAGTGGAAACTAATATTTGCCTACGCGATTCACAATAGCCTTCAGCAACAAGAGTAGTACGCTAACACGTGCTACGAACTAGTCGAACTCGAACCGGTCAATACGTCCTCAAAATTTAATCACGAATCAATCTCGCACACCAATGGAATCACCCCGGACCAACCACACTATTTCAGCATCGGAGAGAAAGCGTATGCGTGATAGGAAGGCCCAAAAAACTGCCAGAGAAAAACGCGGAGTCCGTATAAAAGCTCTGGAAGATCGCGTGACTTACTGTGAAAGACACCATGGAGCTAACTGGGTGCAACATATGATGGCGGCAATGGAAAATCTACAGCGCGAGAACCAAATGTTGCGCGAGCGCCAGGAACGGCTCCGCGTCTTATTCTCCTCGTGGGAGCAGGATGAGAGCACTCCACACCCAATACGTTCCCACATTCAGGGTGAAAATCAACAAGTATCTTCATCGCTCAAGGTTTCCTCCTACCTAGGTGGTGACGTGACGTCAATACGCATTGATCCTTCGAGTGCCGCTCATGCGCCAGCTAAAGCTCTCTCTATCCAGCAGCCACTAAATACCCGTGGAATTAAGAGAGACGGGGTGCCCTCACAGGGATTCCCCTCTTCTCATTCAAACCCAGCCAGTCCTCTCTTTCCTGGTGAAACAGCACCAGAGTCTATCCCAGCCTGGTGCCTGACCCCGATAAATGAGTATGGTCGTATATCCACCCCCCTACCGGCCGCAACATGTCCTTGGCTGGCACATCCAGACCAAATCGCCGCCTGTCCATCCCTACCGTCCCCGCTCGATTTGTTACACGGTACAAGACGAAACTTCTTGGCCGACAAAATCAGCCAGGCCCTCCGAGTGCGGGCGATCCGTGATCCGGAACGTTTGGCATGCGGCTGGCTCATCTACGTCTTTAGCAAATGGCTAGTTACCCCCAATCTCGCGGCCTTTTCCCACATTCCGTCGTTTCTGCGGCCTATCCTGCTGCAGATGCAACGCGATCATCCCTCCGGACTAGACGTCCTTGTCTTTCCACAAATACGGGCCAACCTCATCCAGAACTGGGACAAGTATGACTTTAAAGAGGTGTTTGACTATATGTCTTGTTGCCAGAAGGTACGGTGGCCCTGGGGTGAAGATATCCTAGAGCGCGACGGCGAAGACAATTTACATATCAGAAGGGAGTTTTTTGATGTGTTTACGCGTGAGAGTGGGTGGGGCCTCACGCCGGAATTCATGGAGAAATATCCCGGGTTGTTGGAGGGGATGGATGTTGAAGCGGTGTGTTTCCGGGTAGGATCTCTCATCGAATTACCGGTGCAGAAAAGGAGTGCCGGCGGGAAGGAATAAGAAGCATTCGGCTTCCTTCAGCCGAACAACAAGTTGAGATCATTGCCAAGAATTGGTTGGGATGCATAACGGGGCCGATCTTTACTTCGCTCGGTTTGGCGCTGAATCATTGCTCCTTCTTTCGGTAAATTTGATGTCGATTCTTGCTTACTTAGGGTTAACGCTGAGTCAGTGCCCCAGCCTCTGGTTGCCGAATGAGGGCCATTCTTTTGGGATGTACTGCATTCCATGCACTCATCAGGGCACCACTGAGGTCAGTGCAAGGACAATCGCCTTGTGGATCTGCACCAATAGATGCGGGGTGTACGGAGTAGATCTACATACAATATGGGATTTTTCATACATGCCTAGAACTCCTGATGCGGAGTCACCTTGTGCGTATTGGCAATATACGCCACACTATACGGCAATATTCCGTCTTCTCGTTGCGTAATACATGCAACCCATTTGACGGAGACTCGGAAAATTCGTTCGTGTTACCAGAGGAGCACGATGTTAATGCATTATCTATTATGCTTCAAGTACAGGCATAACTAATAGCCGTGGTCTGCGTCGTCCCTATATAAAGTCTTATGGGGATGTCTGCAATTGGTAGATAGACACTCTGCTTCAGCAATTCAACATATAGCCTATCCACGATGTTGGGTAATATTCTAGAAGGAGTATTGACCAATAATTCTGTCACCCTCCTTATTACTGTGACAGTGGCAGCGATTGCGCTATATTTCTCCCCCTCAAAGTCAAACCTCCCGCTGGTCAATGATAAAAAGCCATGGGAATTCCGATTCACAAACGCCCGAAAACGCTTCCTCGCCGACGCGCATACTCTCATCAGAGCAGGGCTCGCAAAAGTATGTGTCTCCACGACCAACATGGCCAGCAATTAACGATAATTTTTGGCATAAAATAGGCACCAGCCTTCCGCATTGTAACGGAGCTTGGGAAGAGGGTTGTTCTCGATGCAAAATATGCCAACGAGCTCCGAAGTCACGATTCATTGAGCTTTGGCCTCCACACCGCGAATGATTTCCACGCCCATATAACCGGCTTTGAGCCCTTCAAACAGGGTTCTAACGACGATGAGATTGTTCAAAATGCCGTGCGGATGAAGCTGACGCAGAGCCTTGGTGAGATGCTAGGTGTGGCTTGTACACGAGAGTGGTATCTGACATTATACTACAGGGAGTCTTACCCAGCCTCTCGTTGATGAAACAACAGTAGCACTTCAGACATATTGGACGGATGACACTGGTAGGTCTACTTAACTCACTTGTACTTGGTTCCTCCTGTGGCACCATATGAGATAGGAGGCCAAAGGCTAATAGGCTAGCTTGGCACGCGTTCCCTCTTAAATCCAATGTTTTGAAACTCGTCGCCCAGATGTCTTCAAGGATCTTTTTGGGCGATCAGATATGTCGCAACCGGGACTGGCTCCGTATAACAGTGAACTATACTATCGACTCTTTCTTGGCAGCTGAGGAATTACGCCTGTGGCCGAAGGCTTTCCGACGTATCGTTGCCTGGTTCCTCCCATCGTGTCGAAAGATACGCGATGAATTGAAGGAAGCGCAAGACATCATCCGGCCAGTGTTGGACGCCAGACGAAGAGCTAAACAGGCTGCTATCTCGGCTGGAAAGACACCGGAACGATACAACGATGCTATGGAATGGTTGGAAGAATGCGCAAAGGGTCGCTCTTATGAACCCGCTTTCGGACAGATAATATTTTCTGTTGCTGCTATTCACACTACCTCCGATATGTTGACTCAAGTGCTCTATGACCTGTGCGGTCGCGATGAGCTGATCCGAGCTCTACGCGAAGAAGTAATTACGGTAGTGCAGGAAGAAGGGTGGAAGAAGCCAACTTTATATAAGTTGAAACTTATGGATAGTGTGCTGAAAGAAAGTCAGCGTCTGAAGCCGATCAGCATCGGTAAGTGTTATTCGGTGCTTTCAACTGAGATTGACAGAGCTGAAAGAAATCATTAGTCTCTATGCGACGGGTTGCCACGGCCGACCTCAAGTTGTCCGATGGTACTTATATCCCTAAAGACACGTTCCTGTCCGTATCCAGCGAGCGCATGTGGGACTCCGAAATATACCCTAACCCCCTCGAATTTGATGGCTACCGGTTCCTCAAGCTGCGCGAAGTTCCTGGACATGAGACCTCTGCGCAAGTTGTGTCTCCGTCACCGGAGCACATGGGCTTCGGGTTCGGGCGACATGCTTGTCCGGGTCGGTTTTTTGCCATCAACGAGGTCAAAATTGCGTTGTGCCATATCTTGTTGAAGTATGAATTCAAGTTGGCTGATGGGTCTGTGCCCCGGGCAAGGAAAAATGGTCTCTCATTAAACTCGGATCCGACGATGAAACTCATGATTAGACGGCGACAGGAGGAAATTGTTCTCTGATTATGAGGCTTCTTTAAGACGAAGACGTTCTATCTAATTGGCATCACAAGCGTGCGGTTCCTTTAGCTTCATTGGTATTTGGTGAGAGGAGGATATGCAAGGCTCACATTTCCTTCACTATGTATATTGTTGTCCGTTCCCTACTCTGGCAATGAATCATTCATTATTGCGGTACGCAGACAAGTGACAAGGCCATGGTAGAAATAAAGCGGCGAGTTGTAACTGTGCCCCTTATGAAGTATCTATAATTGGCGCTCAGATAGCGGATATGTAAATACCACGCGACCAAAACACCATATAGCACGAAGGTCGTGTTGTGAATACTCTCTCCCCAACTGGATATATTAAGCTAGGTAGAATGTGCCTGTGAGACTAGTAATATGTACAAAAGGAAGATCGATGGTGCGCACAATGCACAAAGGCTACACGGATAACATCAGCCCGACAGGATGGCGACCGGGGTTCTGGATGGTCATTGTGTCCTTATGCAACTGGAGCGAAGAAGCTAAACCTGCCCGTCGGATCGTACTTCTTCTTCAAGGCCTGCAGGCGATCCTGGCGCCACTTCTCACTTCCGTACCATTGTTGCGGTGTTTCGTCACCATAGGCATAGTTGACATATGCGCGCACATCTGGACGTCCGCTGGCCCTGTGGAGGACCTGGCGAAGTTCATTGCCTAACTTGGAGGCCTTTTCATCAAGCTCCGGGCCGCCGGGCGCATAGGTAATGAGTGGAGCGGAGAGAATATTCTCGCCTCGAAAAGCAAAAGCACTGGACTTGCTGTCGATTGCTTTTACTCCCTGCATAGAATACCCTTCGAACATGAATATCGAGTTGTTGAATGGTGAGCTTCCGCGGATCGCGTTGGCGAAAATGTCATATGCCTTCTTTTGGGCGGGGACGTTGTATTCTTCGAGATAGTTGGGGAACCGGGGGTTGACAAGACCGGCCTTTTGGCAAGGTGGAGATGACAGGGAGATGCCGGTCCACTCCGCAAGATCGGTGTAGCTTCCTCCCTTTGGTTCTTTAGAGAGTGGACCAATATCGTGGAAAGGCTTTGTGTAAGCTGAATCGACTGTTTTCACTCCCTCTTGAATGATGTAGAATAGAATGACAGGCTATGGGGTTTAGTTAACTCTCAAGAAGTCTGGGGAATTGATAGACACACATTTTCAGGGTCGGCGTCCGGGTTATTCAACCAGTAAGACCAATTGATAACACCCTCAGGTTGGGTACCGTTCTTCAGGAGGTAGTCGTTGGCGGCTTGATACACAGCCTCCACTTTGTCACCACTGAATGTGAGAGTCTCGATTGCCCAGTCGTGGTGGACGATGTCATACAGCTTGGTAGTAACGGAGGTCACGATACCGAAGTTATGGCCAGCACCATTCATCGCCCACCAGAGATCGGACTTTTTATTGAGTACTTTAAAGCTGCCGTCAGCGAGTACGACATTCATAGAAACGAACTGATCCGCGACGAGACCGTGGTGCCCCTGTAGCCACCCATGGCCTCCACCGAGTGCAGGTCCCAGGAAGCTGACACATTCGCATGTACCACTCACTATACGCATGTCAGTATCCTCGATCCTTTCAGGTCGACTCGCTAGATTCGACTCACCTGTCTGTTTTCCTGCTGCCCAGAGCTGATCAATGACGGCTTTGGACTTAGTTCCACCACCAATTTTTGCGGTATTTCCATCCTTCGAGATTTCGATGGTGTTCAGTTGATCCAGGAAGATTTCAATACCATGGTCCATCTTACCAAGAGTCGTAATTGCACCATGGGCACCATTGTACGCAAGGAAGGGCAATTCCTTCTCGTTCGCGAATCTCACCTAAACCGTTCAAATTAGCGTCTCACTCCTTGCCAATATATGTCGTGTTCAATCGGGCAGCTTTGCATGCCCGTCTTGAGGGGTTGGGGGGAAATGCAAAGGAAATATACCGTCTCGACCACATCGTTTTCTGTGCCTGGCACTACGACGATATTCACTTTGGGGGCGTCTAAGACAGACCACCGGGTTGATGCCACGTCGAAGCCCTCCGAACCTGGGCAATAGACCTTGGCAGTGGGCGAAAGCTTGATCCCCAGATCCTCCACATCATTTGATCGTGGACAGAGTCCTCTAATCCAATGGCTAGACATAGGCACATTCTCGCAGGCCGAGGCAATTGCCCACGCGCCCAAAGCCGTGACCGCTTCCAGTTTAAATCGAAGCATTGTGAAAAGAAAAGTCTCAAAATGCTACAAACTGTAGAAGAGGGAGACCAAAAATTGCCCACGATGCAAAGCCGCTTCCTGCCGTCACAAAAATGGTTCGGATCGGCCGAGGTGACCAGTCAGAATTTGCTCAGTTAGACTTGAATCCTTGTGCGTTGCACGAGGATGCGGGTGACATTCTTATTATCTATTATTTATTTTTATGTACGAGTCCATTTTGTTAGGTTTTTATTATGAGTTCATTGCCCATTGTTTGACGCTAATGCAGTGTTCGTGCCCTAGCATGTGGGAGACCTGAGACGATGCTTGGCGAATGCTACCTCATTTTCTCTAGCCATGCGAAAGATCCACAAAAACGTTGTAATACGTTCTACAACCCCTGCCTAGCCTAAGCATCTGACCAACTGTCGACCGTGGTACCCCTATTTAGTACGTTGGATCCCCATACCCAGATCATGCTAATACCTCCGCTGCGGGTCTTGGTCGGACAGTTAGCCATAACAATAGGACTACATGCTCACTGATCGGACCCCTCGGAAGCCCGGGTAACCTAAACGGATGAGGTGCAGATAACGTTGTCTTCTCCCAAATCTTTCTCAAACGGACCCTTGATCACAAAAATTGGTCTTGGTCTTATAAGGGCTCCGTAGTTGTGGTTCTACCCTCGTAGGGCTCTATCATCAACACACAACGATATCGCAAACCTATAGTGGGGGAATGGCGAAACCTTGTGTAGCATAAAGCAAAAAAAAGAATTAAAAGTGACGGATTACTCTCTGTTTTACGCCTTGTTTGTAGTTTCTCTTCAAAAATGCCCTTCTAAATCTCCTATCCAAGGATGTCCTCCGGTATCACATTTGACATAGTCACAAGGGCCGCCGAAGAAGAGGCTGCTCAAGCAGCATTCCGCAAATCTGCAATTGAGTCTTGGACACTCTATGCAATTGGCGTCGCTGCGACCATACTCAGGACGTATGCCCGAGGAAGCGCTGTGGGATTCAGGCATCTGCGAGCCGATGATTACCTTATCTGGGTCGGGATTGTTCGTGTCGCCGATGGATCACAAAAAGCCCACTACTCTACTAACACTGATCGTTGCAGCTATTCTATACCGCGCAGACAGCTCTCGCATATAGCGTGGGTAATGTTGCTCATGGCCTAGCCAACAATGGTATGACAGATGCCCAGCGCGCCGCACTATCTGTCGATGATCCCGAATTTCGATTTAGGTGCGTCCCATTTCCATCAACAGTGGGTTATGTCAGTCACGACTAAGGCTATTCCGCCATATAGGATTATCGGATCCAAGATACAGGTCGCAGGGTGGACTACATACTCAGCGTTGATCTGGTCGCTCAAGCTCTCCATGTTGGCATTTTACGTTCGACTTACGGTATAACATCCGACGACTAATCTGTCTCGAACAGCATTCTGACAGTGAGTAGGATGGTCTTGGCCGGCGCTATCGAGTCCCAGTTTATATTGGCTTTGCCCTCGTCATCGGGACTTTTATAGCGAGCATTGTAACAATTTTCGCGGCATGCCGACCGCTTCACAAATACTGGCAGATCAACCCGGACCCTGGCAGGAAGTACTCCGTCCCTGGACCATTGACGTTATACTAACACGCCGATTTCTAGATATCTGTCAGGCTGCTATCTCCAAGCCGATAGTTTGGGTTTCCTTCGCCGCAAATGTCAGCACCGATCTCTACTTAATAACGATCCCAATTCCAGTATTATGGAGCACTAAACTGAAACTGGCAAAAAAGATCGCTTCTACAGTCGTACTCAGTGCCGGTGTATTCGTTCTGGTTTGCGCCACCCTGAAGAGTGTCTTCGTCCTAGTAGTATGTGATCCCCTCATGCTCGTTCGTGTACACAATACCATCGTTCTAATCACACATTATCTTATAGGACCCCCTCCACGGCGCAGAGCTAAGCGGCGCATGGGGTACACGCGAGACATTCGTCGCCGTTATAACGACCAATCTACCCATGATATTCCATCTGTTCAAATCCTGGCTCGGGCGCGTTTACGGCAGTGCGTTCAACTCAAACCCGACACACAAATATCCCAGTGGTTTCCAGAGCATCGGTGGTGGGGGTGGTGACTCCCGGAGTCGGAATCGCCGCAAGCCCTCTAGCGGGCATCCTACAGTGGGGACCCTGACGTTGACCGAGAGTGAGGAACGGATGGTGGGCGACGTCAAGATGCAGAATTTGAAGACCTACCCTGCGTCTCCGACTGGGACCGTCGCCAGCAGTATCTTAGTCTCCAGCCGGATCGAGGTGACCCACGAGGACAGAAGTAGTCGGAATAGCGAGCTGGACCCGCAGCGCCTGCATGAGACTTGGTAGAGTTGCTAAAGTATGTGCAACCAGTCGGAATCCATGGTACCATGGCTTACCTTGAGTATTGCTGACGATTGGTTGTTTGGTTCCAGGTTCAAAATCTTAGAAATCAGGAGAGGCAAGATCTACAAGAGAAACGAGGAACACTTAGGACTAGACCTACCTGGCAAGGCAGCTGGCTGCCTAATGGCCCAATCTCACATGTTACATAATTTTAATTATTATAACTACGTCTTGTTTCTTTACTTCATTCCTTCTCGTAGACCTTTTGACTTTTATCTCAGCCCATACCCGTTGAGGATATCTATCTCATAATGTAGATCCTGTGACACTACCCTTTCACGTGCATATTACGATCAAAAAGCTACTTTGTAGGTTCATTTTAAAATGGTAAACAGATGTACCAAGCTTTTCAGTGAAGGTATCTGCCAAGTAGCGCAAGCCTTTTCTTCAACTCCAACCCTACTTCCATATGCTGTCCCAAAGCCCGCGAAACAGTAGCCGCGAGAAAGGATCTGCCCGATAATCAATCTCTTCGGAAAGCTAACTTCAATTGACCGCCTAGCTTACTTGCAATCACGGAATAGGATAGTCTCCAAATAGACGACTAGGATTCAATGACTAACTACCACAAAGGGAAGTAGTAACGGTTTCCTTATAAATAGAGTTTATATATCTCTGGATGTTGAGAAGGTTAGATTGAAATTCTCCTAACAAAAGCCCGATGATTAAACTAGTCACAACTGACCCAAAGTATTGGGTGGGCCATGTGTTAAGGGATCGACAGTCACCAACGCCTGTATGATTGCCAATGTCTTAGATATAAGTGATCCCTACTAATATACTAGCATTGACCAATCTTTTGTAACTCCGTTGCCCAGTGATCGTACCTAGTTCTTGGTTACCACTATTAGTATGATTGCTCCGAATTCAGTAGTAACCGTCCGGCTCCGTCAATATGCAATAAGCACAATATCCCGGCATTAAGGAACAAAGGGTCAAATCTTCCTTGAAGGGATTAGTTTTTCGACGTGGGGTCACCCAAGCAATACAAGGCAACCGTTGGCTTAGACAGCCGTTGAGATACTTTGACCTAAGCTCTAGCCTAGGTAGAGTTGCATCGCTCGTCCCAAAAATTGGTCTCGACCCACCCTGGTCGCAACTCTATATTTAGCCTCGGTCGATGCAGAGGTCCACAAATATGTAATCTTTTTTAACCTAGGGCATTACTTAGCTCAGGGTCGGCAAACATAAAACGGCTTAATGCATTTATAACTCAACATACTTTCTTTGATTAAGCAATATGCATTCTAGGGGTCAGTCGACTGATAAGGCTGCCGAGTATTTGCAAGGCGACCTGCGCGGGAAGCTGCAAGGCGTCATTGACGCGAACTAATGGCCATGACAGAATTTGCATATCTTATTGTTGCGCAATGGCCTATATGGCAAATTAATATTAAAAATATGGGCCTGTAGCACTCTACGGGATATGGTATAGGATGGGTAGATGAGACCACCCTGCAACTGTCGAGGGAGAACAAAAGGATTTAAAGTAAACTGTGAACAACCAATCAATCGCCTATATCCCAGCCTGTGATACACCACTTAAACAAATTGTGCTGGTACAAAGAAGGAGTCAGGTCCCTGTGCTAAGGCAAGCCTCTTTCCTCGGCCAATGGTGCCAATCTGGCTCCTTGCCTCGTCGTCGTCACATTTTAGTCCTTCGAGTGTATTTTTGTATTTGTTCACGGGGCTGACTGAGTATAGCTAAGTGGTATACCTGATGACAGTAACCATTGCGACCGGTAGTTTGGTTTGCTGGGACGCCTAGATTTGGCATTTTCGGTGGTCTGCTAAGTTATGCGCTTAGACATACCCATACGTCTATCGCTCCATAGCGGCTCCTGTACATCATCTTTGGAGGTGTGACTATTGTATGGGGCGTGCTTTTCCTCTCTATTTATTCTTTGAATTCTCCCGAGAACGCGACCTTTTTGTCGGAGGAAGAAGGGAATACTTAATGGGCACGGTGGGTGAAACCCAAGCCCAACATTTGCACCCATGACTTACGCAGCTTCTCTGATGCACTCATTTCCAGACCCAAGAACATGATGAATTTAACTCCCAATGAAAGTGGACCCAAGTCAAAGAAGCATTTCTGGATGTCAAAACTTGGATCTTCCTTGCCAATGCGATTGCGAATAACATCCCATCCGGGTCATTATCAAGTGTTGGTCATGAAATCTAGGCCATGTAAATATATTACAGCTACTTATAATACATATATAGAACGGTGAAGCAGTCTGCTCACAATCGACTTTGGATTCAGGGCAATTTAAGCCCAACTTCTTGGCATACCATCACATATCATTCTGGTCTTGTCACTCTTGCTACTTGTATTCTTACGAGAACGACAAAAGGGACAGACATGCGTAGAAGGACATATCGATTATTTCTCTATGCTTTTAGATTTCACCCTTCATATAACAGGATCATTATCTAGGGTTAGAAGCTTAGATAGCCACGAACCCGAATCACTTTTTAGGGCCAAGCCAGCTTGAGTCAAGTTACTGACTTAGGTGACCTTAGGGTGACGTCATGCTTTTCGAAACTCTTGCATATTTACAGGGTTTGACCTAAGGTCACCTTCCCTATTCATTAATTATACAATACTGTCTATTATATCTATTACATTTTAGAGTGTACGTCACCTATATTTGACATTCTCGGCTCCTAAGTCCAAAAATGCCATCTTCAACATCCCCACACCCTGACCCTAGTGCCGTCGAGCCACACCCCGAGCGACCAAAGAATATGAATGGCGACGTAGACTATGTACCTCACCCCGAAAGATCCATCTCTATCTCCCCTGCTCGGGCGGCAATTCAGAAAAGTATCATTGCCCTTTACGGTGGCAGCGCCTCCGAAGATGACATGAAGGCCTACGCCGAAAAGGCAATCTACGACGATCCGTTCAGTTATTGCGACACGCGGTATTTGTTGATACCTGGACTCGCGGGCAATATTTACTGACAGACGATAGGTACAAGATAGCTGGCCAGTGGTATGGTATCCCGAAACTATTTGCCAAGTCTGAGACGTTGGCTACGGAGGTCACCTCGTCGACAGAGCACGAGCTTGTGTGGAAGCAGCGACAGAAGTACACTTTTGCTGGTATTCATGCGTCTAAAATTGCAGACAGTCTTATTAGCCTTAAGCTTGAAGGTAAAGAGCCTAATGAGAAGGTCGTGTATCACAAGGATATGTGGAATTCCAAGGACTATTCTCATGAAGGGCTCGGTGTGCTCATCAAGAAGCTGAACGGGTAAACTATCTTTCTTTCCCTGCACATTTTTTCGCTTTGAAATCAAAGGCATTGACTGCATATAGGGACAAGTTGACAAATGTCACCAAGCCTCCTGAATCGGTGTGAAGGCGGAAGCTGAAGCCTAGAAGTTCCAACAATGAAAATGCCTAATGTGCTCATAAGCACAAAGTCTTATCAGTGTGTATAAAATAGCTGTATCACCTGCTTAGATGCATGGCCTGAGCTAGGAACGAAGGCGTTGAAAGAGATGCGGCATTGTGTTATCCTTTCCACACATAATGCATGTCAATTCTGTTGCCAAGCGTCAACCTACTTATCACTTCCCAGGTCGACTTGAAACAGTACCTGTAGGCGACAGCAATGGTAGAGTTGTGATGGAACACACCCGTAAGAATGAAGGGCTTACTATACAAATACACGGCGTTGAGTGGAGTTATGCCTGGTGGCTGTCATACTCGCCTCCTACCCATTATTTTGAACACTCCAAGATCAGCACACGCTCACTTCGCTGACATTGATGTAGTATAGGTTGAAGCGCTAATTGGACCGAGGACATGAGGTTGGTACAGCGCAGAAAACCGGGGAAGACAACGCAATAGCTCTGTACAAAGTAATCCCACCATTCGCAAGTTGTCAAGCCAAAGGGGTCAATCTACATATATCGTGTTATGATAGCCCTTGAGAGCTATATCAATCCTCGAATCCTCTTTCCGTATTCCATGGTTGCTTCCTGCTTCTGGAATCACTTTGTCCATACTCACTAATAGTATGATCCTACTCTGAGCGCTAGAAGGGCGATCTGCCCGACCAAAAGGCTTGTCAAACAAAACCAGGGTAGCAATCAAGTGTTGAAAGATTGATGGATCCTATCGGAAAGGTAGGACAAAGTCAACCAATGCATTTGAGAGAAAGAACTAATCAGATTCACGGTAGAGTGTTGTCTGGACCCGTAGCCGTTAGGGAAACGGAGCCCTAAAATGTCAGGTATGGACTATTCCTTCTCACGCGGGTGTTGGTAAAATTGTGAACCCTTAGGACGCCTTGAATATAATGTTTCGTCCTATATTATTCCTTTTAATAGACAGCCAGCGGTAAATAGTCTTATACCTACAGCGGAATAATAATAATCCAGACAGTGGACCAATCAAACCGTCGGTAGAGTGTACTCCGTTCCCGCTGGGATCACACCGGTGTGCCGCGTGCCATGAGAAGGATCGAGGTCAAGGCCACCGCACCAGACAGAGTAAAGACGCAAACAGCATTCAGGAGCAATTTGTTTAAATTCCCAGGCATGCGACAAGAAACAAGCCTCTGTTATCATTAACTCTCTATCATCACACCAATCCATCAGCTCTTCATTCAACCTCAATAACATTCAATAGACCATCAAGATGGGTGCTACTTTCATCGATATCGACCCTCGCACTCCGCTGCTCAAGCAACTCGAAGAATGCCCTGAGGCCGGCTCCTGCGTGCTCGTTAATACTTTCCATATTCCGGCCGGTAAAATGGACGAGGCATTCGCTGCTTGGAAGATCGATGCCGACCTGGCAAAGAAGCAGCCTGGCTTCATCTCAACCCAACTTCACCGGGGCGTCAACGGCAGCGATATGATGCTCAACTACGCTAATTGGGAGTCGACTGCGGCCCTGAAGGCATTCTATGACCTTCCTGAGTTCAAGTCCTCCCTCGAGAACTACCCCGATGGAACCGAATGCCGCATTGCTATCTACCGCAAGCAGCACATTGACGGTGTTTGCCTTGCCTAACTCACAGGCCAAGAAATCTCCCGCAATCCGGTGACGCTTCTTACGTTGGGTTATCCATTCCACTACCGATAAACATGATCATGTGCTATCAGCGGAAGGTTATATTTGGTCTAAGATGAACGTTGTTGCGGGGCAATGTACATGTCAATTAGATCAGGTTGTGTTGATGAGAAAACATCGGATTAGATCTATAAAATTGCCACAACACTCAAGGTGCAACTATAGGCTAATTCGCGATATGACTTCCTGATTAGTAGTTATTTAAACGGCGTGGGAAACCCATGTTGTCGTAGCTGCTTTCGCCCACTCCAAGAGACCTACAGTGATTTGTGTTCATACTTAGCTTATAGGTACATTAGTAAGCTGGCCCATTCGAAGAAATTAACTCCATTAAGGCGCTTGATGGCGTACATTAAGCAGGCAGGTTTTTACATAAATCCATTAATGCAGTTAAAATGAACCAAACCAGATGAAGGCATGACCGACACAAGTCCTAAATCACTTTGAGTTTCGGATTTAGACGGGAGCAACGCCAGTGTGACGGTGGAAATGCTAACTAATTCCCCATGCGACCAAGCCCGGACCACAGTCAACCGAAGATTTCATTGGTTGGAAGCAGATCAATGAGTCCCCTGCTGACGACGGTCTCTTTTTAATGATTCACGGCCTCGAATTCATTTTGCCACAAGCTACCTTATTTAAGCTATGACCTCGCTGGCAGACAGAAGCAAGCTGACCTTTGTTGAATCCTTTGTATTCTGAAGTCACGGGACACAATATTTCTTTACGTCCTGGAACATCTTGTCCGAAACAATATGGCTTTTACCGTCGGCGTCGCGGGCATTACAGGCAAGTTTGCACGTCTTGTTGTCAAGGATCTCCTCCAGAACCACCCAGAAGTCCGCATCCGGGGTTTTTGCCGCAATGTCTCCAAGCTACCCGGCCATCTTCGGGAGTCCAACCGAATCACCACGATTCAAGGTGACTCCATGAACTTGGCGGATGCTCGAGCATTCGTGCGTGGGTGCCAGGTTGTCATCTGCTGCTACCTAGGGGACAATCAGTTCATGACCGACGGTCAGAAAGTGCTGGTGGACGCGTGCGAGGAGGAGGGGGTAACTCGTTATCTGGCTAGTGACTACTGCCTAGACTTCACGAAGCTGGAGCTTGGCCAGCACCCGGCCAAGGATCCGATGAAGCTCGTCAAGGCTCATCTGGACACCAAGACCACTGTCCAAGGGGTCCATGTCCTGATCGGTGCGTTCATGGAGACCTTCTGGAGTGGGTACTTCGGCGTCTTTGATCCCATGCAAATGACCTTCTCGTACTGGGGCGAAGGCGATGAGGTTTGGGAGTCAACGACTTATGGCACCGCCGCAGAGTTTGTGGCGGCTGTTGCGACGGACCAGAATGCAGTCGGCCTGCAGCACTGTGAGTTCAGCTTGAGGCTATAGACATTGGTAGTCCGTGTTTTGGGGGTACTAATTTAGGGCAGTTCTTGGAGACAGGAAGAACATCCAACAGGTCGCTGATGAGTTTGCTGAAGTCTACGGCAAGAGACCTCGGTTGGTGCAACTCGGGTCCAAAGATGATCTGTATCAAAAGATGCACTCAATCTATGACAAGAATCCTTCGGATGTTTACGCATACATAGCCCTGTAAGTTTCTATTTATTGACCGTCGTTCGAGGCTTCAATGCTGACGATCCAATTTCCTTGAAAAAAGATTTTACCAGTACTACTGTATCAACGGACAGACCTATCTCAAACCGGAATTGGATAATGTCAAGTACCCTACCGTGCGACCAATAACGTTCAAGCAGTTCATGCAGTCCCACACAATCGAGGAGTTGAGCGATTCATACCAGAATGCGGGATCAAACGTGTAGACAGAATTTGGATGGAAGACTATTATATTTGGCTAGCAAATGTGAAATTAAGTTCATGTTCCACTGGGTGACGGTGGTATACAACAAAGCAAATCATTCATTACGATTTTATAGAAAGCGAGAGGAAGGCTCAGTATTATAAGACGTGAGGCCTATTAACATGCAGGCTTGATCATTGAACCGAGACCTCTCGAACAAATGGTGTGCCTACCATGAAAGTGTTGGATTGCATGCATATAGCCTATGGTAAGCCATTTACCCACTCCGAAAAGGCCAATGAGGAATTAGGTCTCGCGATGTTAGGCTCTAATAGTCTGAGCTCACTGTTGCTGAATATGCCCGTCACCGTAGGCTGCAGATCATGGGGCTGCAGCGGATTGGGCATTATGTTCTGGCTCTCATCGGTGGCCGTAAAAGACGATGAGGCGATCTGATTGAGGATGACTAGAAAATGAGTTGCCAAGGCGTCATGCTGAATTGAAAGGTGGGACAGTGTTTGCTTGGCCTCCTCGATGTCTTGAAGCCATGTTATAGACTCGGGAACGGACGGATCAGCCTTCAGATGGATAATAGGAACGAGGACGGCGTGCACGAGGGCATAGCTGATGACCGAGATAGCGTCAGCCAATATACGGTCAAGAGGCAGGATCATGGGGGGTATAGCACAAACAGGATAAAGGAGAGAGCAACGTTAGAATACTGATGGTCTTGGACCAGGCGCGAAGTGAGTTTTATGGTACCCCGAGCCAGATTGAGACCACTAGCACGGCATTGTCGCTCGCCTGGTTCCTCCCCGAGGATGGCCTGTCCATGAGAGATCCGCTTCCTTCTTAACCAGTTAAGAAGCGCCGGGCGATGAATGAGGAGTCGGAGGCTCCGATCACAGAGCATTTGCCGATCGCGTGCATACCGAGCCCAGTCAGGCAGCTGATCCACCATGGTATGTTGCATGCAGAGTGTGACGTTATTATGCCAGTCATTAATCATTTGCTCGTATGTCTTCAGATCAAACACAGTTACATGATCTGTAGAGAGTATCTGGTGGTTAATACTGTTTGCCATTCGGTGATAGCTGGACTGCAAAATCAGTCCGGTATATATTGTCCAATCGTCCCGCTCATTCGAATGGGACTGACTTAGCTCTGTCAGGTCCTTCATTAAAGATTAGTAACAGCAATACTGGTGTTTTTATTTGATAGGGTGCCTACCTCATCGGCTACATTTGACACCGGCCTGACGGTAACCAGTTTGTCCTCTGGTAGCAGGAGGGGCAGACCATGGATCTTCGATGTGCAACTATCAAAGCAATACACGCTCCACCAAACTCTTCGCCAAATCTCTTTAGTCAAGGGGGAAATATCATGCCGAGAATACGTTGACTCCTTGTGTAGCCCTAGGCTGATCGACATCCGAGTTGCAAGACCGAGATATGTCCAGCTATCTCTCGGCTGACCATATTTTTCGTAATAGTGACTCATCAGAAGTAGGGCCTGAACCAGACTAATGGAAATTTGACTAAGTATAGCGAACTGGCCTAACCTCTTCGTTGCTCGCTGAGCGAATCTGTGACCGCTGTTCATACCCTCATTGGCTTGGAGGCACCATGATCCCACTGCCAATAGCATATCACAGAGAATTACCCATTCGCAGTCTTGCGGGGCAAGATTTCTTATCTCATATTGTTTCATGAATGTTTCTTCATGAATGAAGGGGAAGATGGTATGATACTGCTCGAAATACGCTCGAACCAATCTAATCTCATCTATATCTGTCATCGATGGCTGGAAATCACTCGGGTGTGGTACCAAAAGATGGACATCCGGGGAGCCTTGACATTCGTTCATCTCAACGTCAGTCAGGTCATTTGTTGAATGGTCGGTTATCATATCTGCTTATTCTCTCAGAGCCGTCGCCAACATAAGGCTTTTTTGGAAACAAACCTCCCTGCTGGGAAACCAGAGATGGATCACTTTGACTTGCCAAGTCGGCAGGTGTGTGGGAAAGTGGGACGGTTTCTGTGCTGACCGGTTGAGAAGCATGGCAATCCGGCGAGTCAATCAGCAACGATCGAATTATAGTCTCCGTGGAACCACCAGGAAACAGCTTCCCCAGTGCCGCTTCAAGCACCTCCAATCTGTTTTCGACTGCGGTGAGGTGTCTCATTGATCAAGTCAGTAAGAAATGTTTCATACGTGATCACGTGAGCACATACTGTCGAGTCAAAGGCGATCTTGCCACTTTCTCCGGATACACACAGGGCTTGTTAAGAGTTCTACAGTGTGCACACGACGGCCGAGTCTTGGTGCACTACAATGCGTCAGTGAAATGACACAGCAAACACTCGAGCGGCAACCACGCTAAGAGAAGTTTAACCTTCGCTTTTCGAGCTCGACATTCGGTACACTGTGCAACGCGTTAGTGGTGGCGCTAAGTTCTCCGCAAACAATACGTACAGCAGGAATGTGAGAATTTCGACCCAGGCTAACCTGCGTAGAATGAGTAACATCACTCATAGTCGTTGGCCGTTATTAATATCAAGGTAAACGTGGTTAGAACAATGGAGAAAATGACCTCGGTGACGTCCGGGATAAGAGTTGTTTTGTCAGCTCTGGTTTCCATGGTTCGACCCGCACCCGAACAAAAAATTAGCCCGCGGCTTCCCTCCTGGACTGGGCTACGTTAAATATGAATGCGTATTCCTATGTAGTTTGTTAGGATTAGATATAAATATTTATATTCTTAGTGACAGTTTACTGTATATATATTTTAGTTGAAAGAGCTGGTTTAGTAAAAAGTAAGTCTAGTATACTGTTACCAATCCCGGTCTAGACCGGCACCACGCATACTATAGTGGCACTCATAACAATCAAGATACCACGACATCGATATTCCCTTCCCATAGAACATCATGGTGTCAAAGTTAAATTTTCAAAAAGTTACCTCCTGCAGTTATTAATCTTGCATGTTCATCAATGTAGAAAATACAACATGTCGTCTGACTCTATATCTTATAGGCCCTAGGGATGCTCTCTCCACAGCTCTTGTCTATTCCCCCGATAAGCAATATAGAGGAAACGTTGGTTCAACATCCATGGCTCAGGGGACTAAGGATGCATGATACAAGGCCCAGCGGGTGGACGAGTACATTATTAGAGCACGTTATTGGCTTTCACTGTCATTGACAGAATACGACGTATTATAGGCTGGAAACGAACCCTTGATGTTATGATGCACAGGAACGATTACTGATATAACCGGTGGATAACGAACCTCTCTGGTTATTTACGGGATCTATATGACAAATGGTATCCCGTACTCATAGTAGGTATCTATCTAATAGTGACAGCTATCTTCTATGTCAATTGAAGGCTAAAACTATATTCACTGAGAGTACAAGTGAGTTAAGAGTAATAAGAGTCATATAGGGCTCTTCTGTAACCTTTTGGCACGCGCTCTACATATTATGGGCACACGGGAGCAGTATAACTAAGCCTATTAGAAGGCCACTGATATTGCAGCTGCTACTCGGCTGTATTCGCCGATTTAGGAACCATGGATATATCACTCCGATTATCCAACCTGCAACGCTTACATTCGCACAAAGGTTTGGGGAGCTTCACGGAAAAAGACAAGTCCCATCCTAAGGTATGTTTCGGAAGGCCGGTGTTACCAACCCTTGCGCAGGATAAAATCCAATATAACACTACACGCCCAGTATTCCTTCCATAATCCGGTCGAAGAGTGGAGGAAACTTGACTTGGACAGTTACATAGAAATCTCCTCCAGCTTTGAAGATAACAGCACTAAAGAGTATTTGTATATCGTTCTATAATACCAACTATTTAATTCAAGTTTTGTCAGCCATGTGGAACAGAGCATTCTCTACCGCTGAACAAGCCTCGAGGATAATCTCTTCGCATACTGAAACGTCATAGCAAGAGCCACTAGGTTCCATGGCTGGGAGACGACTTGGCGTTTTGTGAAAACCACAGCTTGTGTTTATGCGTGCCAGTCAAAGCCTGTTCCGTGTGACCCGTTTCTTCCGGCCGAATCAAATGGAAGAGTATCCACCAAGTTCCCTTCCGGGTCGTTTGGGATTTATAATGAAAGATACCCAAATTCGTCCATCTGTTGTAACCACGCTTTTAATGGACCTCGACTGACCTCTTTCCTAAGTATATCAACCATTTAAAAGCGGTTGAGGGGAAAACATAATCATAAGAACAAGGGAACAAGAAAGGATATGGTGGCAAACGTATCAATACGCATGCTGTCTGCATGACCGGCGCTACCCCGGTACATCGATACATCATCTTGGGACCCCCTGCCGTTTTATCCATCGGATCCACCCAGACAGGGAAAGCGATACTTAAGCCCATTGAGTAAGCCACACTGGGATAATTATCTCCCATTGTCATATCCGATAGTATACTCAATGAAGCCTATGACCCAGTCAAAGCTCCATGGCGCAATACTATGTGTATATGCCGTCGAAGACAGAAAGAGGTGGGTTGACAACACAAGAGCTCGCATTGGCACCCATGCCATGCTACTTTGGATCTAAAGACTGGACAGTCAGCCAGCCATGTATGTTGAGATAACCTGCCACAAAGGCTTTCACGAAGACATATCTGACCAAAGTATAGGCGCACTACCCAAAGAATGTGAGCTCTGCTTGGAGCAGTTGGGCCCGGAGTCCGCGTATCGTATTCTACCGTGTAAACATATCTTCCATTTACCCTGTATCGATTGTTGGCTCTACACGGAAGATGCGAGCTGCCCTCTTTGCCGTCGTACATTCTATGAATACCGCCGCCCAAGAACTATCTGTGTTTTACCACCCAGACCACCCAGCCCATCTGCTGGCGATGTATCGCATAGACGACGCCATGCGTCGGTCGGGGGAGTGAGGTTGTGGGTCAAAAAAAGATTCTCTACTCACTCCTAAAAAATATGGTCTACTTCTATGTGCTTGTCCTAGCTTCGCATTGTACGGTCAAACATACAATGTCTACCGCTCGATGTCTAAATAATGCGACGGCCCCGGTGCAATCAATTGAGAATAATCGTTTGTAGCTTTCGTGCAAAGTTTAAGTTCGTTCCATTTCTTCTCCACGGCAGATTACAGACACAGCATTGACAAGACTCAATCATATCGTAGTGTCAGATCTATCACAAGGGAAATGTACCATGCTGTATAGCGCATGTCGGCCGATACATAGAAATCGCCTTGGCGGGACGGAGTATAGCCTCTGCGATTACGCATTCACGTTGAAATAATCTATAGGTGAGGAGCGTTGAAATGACTATCGCCTCGGGAGAATGTCGTAGGGTCTAGAAACTGAATGGACCATTCCATAGAATTTGAAATCTCACTTGGCCAGCAGCCTGGAACAAGCGGGGCTGGTATATCGGAGACTGATATGGATGGAACGTCTGTTGATGCTACTGAACCACCGAGAAATTGAGTTGCAGGTATTGCTGTCGGTGGAGGGCATGGGTCCACGTCACTACGAGCTTCTCTTCCTAATAGAAAGAAATTGTTAAACGTTGTAGCTTTTGCGAGTCAATTAATTGCACTCACCGACTGCCGAGAAGCGTAAATGCGACAAGTGTTCCAGCATGTCTGCCGCTTTTTTGGCGGCATCAGAGTTGGCACTTAGAGCTTTGAACACTTGAAGGCAGATTTCAGCGTCATCACGCACACATGAGGCCGATGTCCTTCCTTCTAGAAGGTCATGGTCCCGGTAGAATGCTTCCGCGACAAACAAGATGGAGCTGGCACAAATGAGACAGGATATCATTTGCCACCACGGGAAATCGTGCACGAGGCTTTGCTCATCTACAACATAATGCAGGAGTTTAGCGGTCTCCTGAGCCGCCGAGATGCAGGCCCACTCTGCATGCGAGATCTCGTGTTTGTGCTGCATAAGAAGGTCCATATATGATTCATTATGAGCCTGGAGCAAAGGTAGGCACAAAAAGGGACGATAGATGAGAGCTCGAAGGTGGTGAAACTTCACAGCGAGCATGTTGCGCTATGGGCTCCTCGGCTTTTAGTGAGTCAACCAATAAATTGAAATGAAAAGCATATGGAAGATGCATCTAACCTGTCGTTTAAACGAAATAGATCTTTCAAAGGTATGCCCACGGTCAAACCGTAAGTGACGCGGAAGGCCTTCCTTCCATTGTGCCAGCTGCTGATCGAGACTGGAAGCACTATGCAACATTTGATCCGGTCTCAAGTCAATCTGGCTAGGTCGATAGAGCTCGCGGATCACCTGGCTCACAATGGAGGAGAAACAGACTACCGCGCGAAAGTACGCCATCATGGATGATACGTGGATGTCATCCAAGGTGTGCTCATTAGCATCCATTGCGAATGCTGACTGGTCCTGCAACGAAGGCAATTCGACATGGGAGTCTTCCTCGTGGATAGCCATGGGCCGCCCTAATTGAAGAGCTAAGAGTCGGTCCAGAACGTACATAGAGTACCAAGTCCGCCGTTGCTGGCTACGGCTTTCTGTTAATGTTTCCTGGTGCTACCGGTAGAACTAGCTTCTACGTGGAGGCCAATGCTCTGGCCCATGCGAATCGCAAGCCCGAGGGTGTTCCAGCAACTTCCACACCACTTAGCCTGCGCAAGATGCATATAATAAAAGGTACACATACCGGTCTGTCTGGCATATGGCAAGTAGGAAGAAGCATTGCACAAGCAGTACCCAAATGCTGATTAGAGAGCAGTTAGAATCAATGCCATACGAAAAATAAAGACCCTGCTGAAAATATCGGAAATGTTGGCTAGAAGGACTTTCTTTCCTATGAGGGAAGGATGTATAATATGATCCGATGGCAAATATAAAGCCTTAGTATAAGTCAATGAGAGACTTCATCAGATCGGTCGCGGGGAGAAGTCAAGTCCTTACTAAACAGGGCGCGCCAGGGCTGATACTCCACATTGTCGCAGTCTTTGTTCCAGAGGGATTCTAGTTCCTCAAGTAACTGTTTCCTTGATAGAAATGGGTAGGCGATATGGATGGTGGAAAGATAAACATTCAAAAGCTGGTAAGCCTCCTCCTTTGGTGGCAGGAGAAGTGGGCGATTCAACGAGACGAGGTGGTCTGACAAGCCGGGAGAACCATAACCAGGTTCTCCTGCGAGCTCAGACAGTTCAGGGCCCTGGATACAGCGATGTACCGCCCGTATGAAGTGAATTTCACTCACCTTCCCTACATATGAAGGCGGCGTTGCACTGGAGGGCTTGGGCTGTTGATGTCCCTCGGACCCATGTCTTGGAAGCTGTCCATGTGCCAAGTCTCTGGGCTTCTGCCGTCGAATGTTGCTGAGATTCAAGTCAAGAGCTAGTCGATCGCTCGCATCAAGCTTAGTACGGATCTCATCGATGAGCATTTCATATGACTCCATCATTTGGTGATAAGATGCTAAGTTCGCCAGTTGCTCAACGGCTGCGGCTGGGCTATTCTCCAGGAGTTGATCGGCCCCATCGTCCCTCTTTTCTTGAGCTGCTGTCCGTCTTCGCATTGACCAGTTACACTGAAAACCGTACCCTTCACATCTCCCGCATATTGGTTGTCTTCCATCGCACTTCCTCCTTCGTTAGACACGACTCACGGCGGCGGGTTTCGGGAGTATAGATTGAAGTTACCTTGGCTTTTAGTCCTCGACATTTGTCGCAAGCTATTTCAACACGTTGACGTTTCATATTTTGAAGATTGTGCCTGATATTGGGCGGGGGATGATGCAGCATGTCTCGATTCTTGCATGACGTTAAAGGTCCATCCTTCCTTCATCTGATCACGTGGAGGAAATCACGGTATTACTATAGAGAGCAACAACAGCCAATCGACTCTCTAGGCTTCTCACCGCTTTTGCAACTGCAACATCGAAAATACCGCCAGTGCTGCCGGAGAAAGCCTGATATGTCGGCTGCAGTACGGGCCGCCCGGTCCGATCGAATCTGAATGGTCGAGGTCAACTAACCCTAATTCGTGATACATCGCGGCCGAAAGATCCCCACTTTATGTTAAAGAGTAAGTCTTGATGGGTTGCCCGGGACGTTTTCTTGAAATTTCAGGACACAGAATCCATTGGCTATCTAGGATTCGATCATTCACTGGCATCTTGTGCATCTCCGATCCGATATGCATTCTTCTGTGTGGAGGATTCCTGCATAATTGAGAATCTTGAGATTGATCTTCCTTAGTTGTTATGTCTCATAGAATTCTGGTGTCGCTGGTGTCGGATCCCCAACTGTTCTATGGAGTAAACTTTTAATCACCTCGTTTTGATTTTCTTGAGTGAACAGTGACGACATGTCACTAATGATATCCACGGTTTCATCTGTTCAGTCCACTCCTCACGCGCTGTTGGTTAACCTCCGGCGACCCAACCTCACTCAACGCTATTGCCAGTTTACTTACAGGCTTCATGTTCCGCTTAGTTACATCATATATGAACATTAAAATGATAGTCACTAAGTAGAGGTGCTGTTGGGTGGAATAGGTGGGTAGTGCGTAGAGGTTTATAATCAATTTGCTACGGACAAGTACCACCCAGTTATGACACGTTCAGGCATATGTTCACCAGAAGTAGCACACATACCATCCTTCGTCATGTTGTTCTATCATGCAAAGCAAATTGGCGTAGTAAGGCCTTGTGTCCACTGGAGACTTCCAATCTCAATGGTCAGAGCGCCTAGCGCAACTATCACCGTGAGACCGCCGTACAAATACGCATGGCCTCGTTTCAGGGCCGACAACTCCAAGACCCAAGTACTCACAGTAGTGAAGCAGCCACAGAATCCATCCATGATACCTTGCAGGATTTGACAGCCGATATAACTACCCCCTCCAAGGTTTGATGAGCTAATTGTGGCGTGCTGTAAGGAAAATGCCATCCCAAATAACATCGTACCTCCCACATTGACAACGAATGTTCCCAATGGAAAATGCGGTATACGTCCATTCAACTTCATGGACAGAAAAAAGCGTAGCAGGCACCCAATTGGGGAAAACACTAAAGCGAAGAGAAATGGACCTTGCCAGATCTCAGGGGCCCAAAGAGATATATCGTCGTGAGAGTGGGGCAGCAAGGCTACCAAGATTATTAAAGCAACCCAACAAGAGCCGGCAAACAGCATCACGAGTGGGTTCAAAACTCTACGCAAGCGAGAGAATGGGACGGTAGGTGTCCAAGGTGCTGTGAAAATAGCAATATGTGCGCCCAACGACAATCCGGCCAAGGAGAGCCCGATCTCGGTGATTAGGATCGCAATTATTGCCATGAAACTGAACCCACCATTCGGGGCTTTAGTGTCTGCCGCGGTCGGCTGGAAGAGAGAGACGTCTTGATAGGGACCCAAGGGGACAGGGAGATCATTGGCCAGGGCTAGGAAGAGATCCCGTGCGAACGTCGAAAATGAAGTCAGACAGCCACAAAGCCCCGTCGTTAGACCGATGTATAACGGAATCGTCTTCTTCCGCGTCGCATGCTGCGTATTCCAAAGTTCATCACTGATTTCCGGGTCTGCTGCACGGAATAGTTCGCGGTCTTCGCTCAAGAAACCCATGAGACAACTGCCGCCCACATTGGTCCATAACACACTTGTGTTCACAGGCGCTCCTGGATAGAAGGCCAAGCTCTCAATGACCAATCGCACCAATGTACCTATGAATGAGAAAATCACCAGGTAGGAATAGACATGAATTGCTGTCAGAGTTTTCGAGAAGCTGGGATTATTCCGTTTTTCATCGTTCATCATGTTCGATCTAGGTGGCTCATCACTACCGCTCTGTTGTGAACCTGACATTGAACTTGGCACTTTCGATTCAGACACTCGTTGGTCCAAACCTAGTCCTATATCTTCCACAAGGGTCTGAACTTTTTGAATTGCTGTGTACTGGAGATGAGGCAGTCACCTCATCCGGGATCGCCTTTCCTGTTGATAGACCAACGAGGCTGGCCCTTGTTGATTGCGTTCCCGGATAGTTCGATTGATTGGCGTGGGAATCGTAGGGCAGGGGAGGTATAGGTTTCTCCATGGCACATGGGAGTGAAGAGGGTCTGAGTTCCAAATATCATAGGAAACTTATTGATGTAGTTGGCGCAGGCAGAGGAACATTTTTCCCCACGAGTGCTCGTTTGGAAGCTGGAAAACAATAATAATAGAAAGACAGAACGAGATCAACCAACCGGCTCGCGCGATCCGGGGATTGGTATTAGGTCGGGATTGTCTATTCGTGATCGAGAGGTTTCCATTTTCGTATAGAGGATTCGATTCCCCACTTCTGCGCTCGGTCATCGTGGGCAATATAGAAAAGTTGATTTCGCCGGTTCCTCTTGGCTGAATAGGAATGCTTCACAGACAAACATGAGTCCAGACCCTGCCTGCTCCCCCCTTTCAACTCATCATCAGCCATTATCCATCTTGCTTTGGGGAGTAGTTATTCCCATGACGTATCGTCCTGCTAATTGATGATGCCTCAGTCGCCTCGTGCTCCTGGATCTGGAGGACCAACATTCAAGGATAGTATTTTCTGCGTGATTACGCTACGTGTACGGCAGGAGTTCCGGCCGGACCGTCTTAGCCGGTAGCACCTCCGATTACAGGACACCAGGATCTTGACATAGAGGGCCGTGTCTCGGGCTGGAATGTTCTGCATCGACTAGGAGATGTCGATGACGTATAAACTGGGCTTCCAATGATCTGCATCCCAATTTCTTGCATCACCTTGGATATTGATTCACAGTTGTCCGGTACCAAACAGCCAAAACGACTCATTACCACCTTTGATATGTTGCTGGACAAGAATTCAAGAAAACCGGCGGATCCTCACCGTTTACGTATGAGCAAGCACATTGAAAATGGAGGACCTATTTACTTTCTGTATTGCTGCAATTTTTGAAAACGTGTACGTATGCCTCAATTTCGCAATAGGCTGCTTGGTATGACTCAAGACGTGGTCTAGGTATACTCCTGTGTTATCCAGCTTGGTCTCGTGTCTTTGAGATTCAGCGATGTGAACCAACATTAGGGGCGCCGTTCAACAACACCTTGCCGACTATATGATCGCACTGAACCACTTGTGGATTTCCAGTACATGACGATTTGGAATGTCCTACCTGACTCCTTTCACCAAAATGCTTCTGATGATGCAAACTTGGTACAATTGACCTCCTCAACGTCCTCATTTTCCAATAGACAAGAAGGGTGTAATTCGAATCCTTTGCTCAAACCCGTAATTGCCCATCTGATCAATGGCCCAAAAATAGGTAACCCATTGTGTACTACACCAACCCTTAAGCACCGTCCACTAGTTCGCAAATTCTAAAGCCTTGGCCTATGCACTGACCTGTATGGACATTGTCTCTGTAACTAGAGTGGTACAGGGTGTTATCCGTTGGACCCGACCCGATATCAACTCTACCCTTGTGTATTCCCCTAATACGCAATTAGAGGACATGGTGAATAATGACACCAGACTTTCAGGGATATCCTTGCTTTCGACTATCGCTAGCCTGATTTATCAAAATTACTGTATATAGAACAACGACCCATACTTATATGTGGACTATTCAAATGGTGACCACGAAATACATTAACTAGAAGGCGGAATACATTGCGGATAGTTGACCGCTTACTTGCAGCCGTCACCAGCTGAAGTCTTGTCGAAGACATAGCTATATAGTGTGTTTCCTGGAATTTGCATACAGCTGTCATCTCCATCACGTTGCCTCTCGATGTGATAAGTATTTGGCGGCGCAAGTACGAGTAGAATGAGCGTCGGGAGCCCAATGAGGGTACAATGTGCGAGTGATGATTTTGCTCTAATTGGACCGTCACAGTTTCAGTGGAGCGTCTGCTTTTGGTGGATATGGGGTGAGTTTAGACTGCAATTGGCGTAGAAATAAATACTAAGTGTCTGTATCTCCTATGGATACTCCGTGGGGCCTGCTCTTACGGGTCTACTGTCGTTCAATCAAGCTACATTCTTGGTCCTGCAGAAAAAGACAGAGAGAAAAGAAAAGTCTCTAGAGTCTGCCATAGCTAGACAAGTGTCATGGACTCTCTACTGGAAAGAAATCAACTTTATTATTATCATACAAGTTTCGGATCGGGCGATATCCGAGCATGTTCAGGTGGGCCCGTTCTTCAGACAATGTACTCCAACTTCCAAGAGTCCAAGACCATGGGACTGCGTCCATCACTCCAATGAATCTATAGGTATTGTGCAATCCCATTGTGGATCATAATTTAAGGAACAGTAAGCACCTCTATTGAAACCCTCAGTTATTCTAGAAGCCCAGCCCAAGATATTCACCTCCATCCTATGCGCAAAGGATCCTGGGAGGCTTACGGATGAATACTACCTACCATCATAAGGCGCTCTGCTGGGGGGCGTCCTTGGGATACAACACACCGCACAGATAGGCGCGATATCCTACACCGATACGAACATTCCTAAAAGAAGGGTGAAAGCGCCAGAGAAGAAGAATCCCATTTTCTACCCATATAGGAGTTTCGGTTGTCGATCAGTCTCTAGAAGACTCCTGTTTTGCCAAATGTCTCCACCCACAGCCCAAAATTTCCGATTAGCTCGGGAAGCTTAGTATTCGCTTAGCGCTCTTGGCGAACGATATCCCTCCTTGCACTGAGGAGGTTGCATGGTACCTCAGCACCGAGCCTCTCCCTCTTAACGTGCA